TCTTCTTGTATAATCTTACATTCGTTTGTCTCTATTAGAACTATTTACTTCTTTCCGTGTTTGAGTTAAACATTCACTATAAATGGATTAACTGAATACACCTCACAAGTACCTACTCGTGTAAAAAAACGATTTAAAAAAAACTTGTGTTTTTATTCTAATGGAGTTTTTTGATAAGTTATCCAGAATACTGTATCGCCCTTATTAATACCTACCTAATAATATATTAATTATTCTAATAATTTCATCTAATAGTTAACATAATAGATACGTTAAATTTAAGATTATAATTGATATAATTTATCCATATAGAATGATAGAGCACGAGTTATGAATGGTATAACCGTTTGGTTAAGTTAGGAGTTTAATGTTACAGTTAGTAAGGAGAGTATAATGATTTAGGTAGGAATCGAGTAAGTGTCATAGTCCTGACTTGAAGATTGTGCGGCTAAACAAAATGGCCGCACCAACCCGCGCCGTCCGAACATCTGTCATTTGATCTGAACATTGTACAATGTGCCCAGCAAGCAGTTCTGCTCCACACTTCATAGCAAGCATACAGAACGTTGCTAAACGACACACAAATTGTGAGCATTTTCTTCAATAAAGATGACACTTTCAACGGGTCACTAACTGGAAATATATTGAAAAAACATGAGAATTATTCAATTTAAAATCAAAATAATCTTTCATTTCAATTGTCAAAAGTTACTTCAATTAGTAACTGATTCAATGAAATCGTCTGGAAACGTTTGACAAGGTTACCCATCGAAATGTCGTAATTATTGAAGGAAGTGCCGCCCTTTATATTAAGAGTTACCGTTGGAGTCCTACATGTATATTAGTTCCACAATAATTGAATTGTACATACATTATGTCATATCTTAGGAGCTTACTAGCCTTTTGACCCGAGCGCTCTCGCCGGGCGGGTGACAGGGTGTCGCTGTGTTAATGCTAAGTGGAATCATAATCATTTAGTTCTATAATGAATAAGGATTACATTACAACAACGGGCGACTTTGCTATTATAAAATAATGTAAGTAGAATAATTTGTCTACACTTTGTAAGTTGAAAGGTTTTTGCGCTGAATCTAATAATAGAGCACTTTGTATCTTTTATCATAACAACTCGTATCTATATGATTTTAATCTGCTGAATTGTCGTGACCGATGCTCTCTTTAATCTAAAGTACCGCGAGTCGCCCTTATATACCAGCGTAGTGCAGAGCAAATCGATACACACGTGAACTGTCCCACGCATTGTTCTGGATAACTTATATTGGATTAGTTTAAGAGTGAAACAGAGTACAGCGCCTTCGTTCCGAATTATCGCGCTCGACCGTCGACCTTATCGCCCTGAGCCGTAGATAGGAAATTGAACAATACTAATAGAATTTTAGATACTGTACATAAGAGTGGATTTAGTCGAATTCTGATAAACTTGAGCACACAAAAGAGCGGTTGATAGAGGGCGCGACTAATTCATTCAAGGGCGAAGCAGTGCAGCTGTGTCACACACTATAGCATAGCAAGGACGCCGGCGCCGGCGCACGGCGTCTGTGATATACGCTTGTAATTATCGTCCATTGAACCTATTCTATGTATCTATATATAATGACGCGGCACACTCCCAAAGTCTTTCGTTCACAGCTGTGACTGAACGATATATTTATGTTTTCAAACAGTTTTAAATCAGATATTTAACAATGTGTTAAGTGGTTATCCTTCATTGAGTACTTACAATGTCGGATGGACACTTTACACAGTGGGTTCTCTTCATACATGGGTGCGGTTCACACTGATTGCCGTAGCACATTAGCATACCGTTAAATTTTGAATCTCTAAATGTTAAGACTAATGTGGATACGCCCTCGCCATAAAAAACAGGGAACACAGAGATGCTTAGAGCACCAACCGTTTTTCATTTGAGATGTGTTACTTGTATCACGCGTGGGCAGCGTATGAAAGACAAACTTGCTTTCGTCTCGTCTCATTAGATGTTATTAGAATGTTCTCAGACACTTGGGAGGATCACAATATTGCGCCTTATACAAAGTGCACTTCATATCAGGAACATAATTATTACCTCAACACTCCTGCCGTTAGGACGCGGTGTTAGGTCTGAGATCATGCCAGCTGTCGACGGGGATCAAACCGAGTCTGTCGTTCATGTCATAAGGTTCAAAGTGTACCCCCCCCCCTGCCAGTTATCCCCTCCCACTCCCTCTACGGCCTATTAACTCTAAGATTTAGGCAGGCAGATTGCAATTCAACCGCACACCGATGCCAGTTTTTCGTTGAAGCTTAGTTTTAATGCAAATCTCACGATGATGGCATTGAATGAAACTGCCTAACAGCTCCGTTGGACCGATAGGTAGTTTTCTTAAAGCACGCAAAGGAATTCGAGTATTACTCCTTCTTTGATAAAATCATCTAAAATAGATGTTGTACAAGTATTATTAAATAGTAAAATTTAGAGATGATTTTTGATTTAGCAGTCGAAGTGCATTTGAAATGTAGTCAGATATGTGAAGCCCAAGAGTTAAATTACACGCTGACGTACACGTCACCCATATAAATATGTAATCGCGTTATAATAGAACCAATATGCCTTCGCTTGGACTTAATTAAGAATACCCACTTCCGGAGGGTGGTACACATTGGACCAGCACAGTTTTATGTTTGCATTGTAACATCGAAGGAGTTGGTTTTCTCTCTCTTCTCTCTCTCGATCTCGCTCGAGCTCGTTTTCTGAGCAAAAACAAAGGACGATTGTCGCCTAAAAGCGACAAGACATCAACTCCTTCGCTACTACATTGAACCACGCCTACGATCATTCGAAATCTCTAATATGTGTGAACAGAGTTAAAAATAAAAGTTCAGGGGCATTTGATAGCTAGCTATTGAAATGTTTATTCTCGTATATTGTTACAGTTCGCCAAAGATTGTAAAATAATAGTGTTATAATCACTTTTTTGGAATGTCGCTAGTTAAATTGTTCGTTCTTTACTTTGTTTTTAATTTTAATTTTATCACTATTGATTTGTTTATAGTATACTAGTGTAAACTGACGTACTTAACCAAAGATGGACTGCGTTCATTGAGATACATTATTATGGAACTAATACAATAATAATTCGCCTACTTTGCATGTCTAATTTAGTTAATGAACGTTTAAACCTATTATCGAGTTATTAATATGTATATTGCTGAAATATTTCAAAACTAAATTACTATTCAATTATTTATTATTATACACTTATTACGTTTAGTATGCTAGAAATATGATGAAGGATAATAAATAATTTTAATTATATTAGGTGAGTGTTTTATTGGCCCACAGTCACACGATAAATAAATTATATTACTTATAAAAATATATTACAACGTAAATGCCTGATTTCTGTCATATAACTGCCATATATTAACAATTGACTAAGATAAATTCAACTATAGAGTCTGTGCGGAAAGAGAATGGGCGTGGCGAAAAACGGAACTAACATTAAGATTTTTATTTGGCAATCAACCCAGCAATCTGTAAAACGTCAAAGCTTTGTATTGATACGGATTTCTTTGTTGTTGTGATTTCTTGCGGTTTTTTGTATTTAATCATGTCTAAAAGGGGTAAAACCTTACAAATACGATAGAAAAGCACTACAGCGCCCTCGAATCTAAATCCCATTCTCTTTCCGCACAGACTCTACCATGTTTATATACAGTAACCAACACAGGTACAGCACACAATACAGCACTTCTTTTGCTCTTTTGAATGTCTTTGAAAGATATGACAGATTCATAAAATTTATTATTTTCTGCAGTTGTCATAAGTCAGTGCAGTTGATTTTGCAGTTTCGATGCAGTACCATTAGCACGAACCAATATCGAATTCGAATAGTTTGCGAGTGCGAAATTTCATTGTCAAATTTTGTATTGAAACTTGAACAGCAGCGCCACAACGGACGTTCCGAGAACTAAAAATCAGTACCCTTAGCACGAACCAATATCGAATTCGAACAGTTTGCGAGTGCGAAATATCATTGTCAAATGTGTATTAATTTTTAGTTCTCGTTACGTCCGTTATGGCGTTGCCGTTCAAGTTCCCATACAAAATTTGACAATGACATTTCGCACTCAAAAACTATTCGAATTCGATTTTAGTTCGTGCTAAGGATACTGTACACATTGACGCATAAAAAAGATCGTATTCAACTAATGGTTCGTGCTAAGTGTAGGTACCAACCGTACAAAAACTATATCCAAGTTCCTAATTTCAAGAGTATGCAAGATTGATTTCCTGCGAAATTTGTCAGTCGTGATTTTCAAAAACAATTAATAATTTATGAGTAGGTACTATTAAATTTTGCATAAAAATATAAACAATATAAAAATAGTACAATACTAACAAATTGCATGAAATAATAGTCTAAATTATACTAATGGTAATAAATTAATAAAGTATAATAGACAAACGCTCAAAAAGTAGAATACAAATCAATATGACAATTATCACAACACAGAATCCATTTTAATAGAACAGCATACTTAAAAAGCGCAACAGTGGTTTAACTCAGTCTTTGTACATTCACGAAACTAGAATAAGATCAATATACAGGGTTAAATGTAAAGAAAATATAACTAGAAAAAATTCCACACGGACCAGGCAGCAGACGGGACTCGAACCCGCACCCTTCGCAATCCGGGCGAATGCACTGACCAATTATGCTACCCATTCTTAAGCTGCAAGGCAGCGCCATCTCTTCGCATTATAGGTAACCCACAATGTCAAATGAATACTTTTACAAGTATTAAATATTTGAAAGAAGAAATAGCAATTATAGTTATAATTTTTATTTTATTTTTTAAAGCATGTACGGAGGAGGGCCGCGGTCAGTGCATTCGCCCGGATTGCGAACGGTGCGGGTTCGAGTCCCGTCTGCTGCCTGGTCCGCGTGGAATTTTTTCTAGTTATATTTTCTTTAGCATTTTGTATTTTATACTCAGTATTTTGAGCTCGCTTGAAAAGAAATAAGGAAAAGAATAAGTGATGAAAGGTGGCTAAGAGTACACCAAAGGAAGACGATGTTGTATTAGTTTAAGGATAATTTAATAGAAAATCCCATAACTGTAAGTACAACTTTAATTTTTGGATAGTTAGGGATCTTGAGAGAAAAGTGCATATCTACTGCATTTCTTTATTGTTTTAGGGGTTCGTAGGCGTAGTGGCTAATTGTTAGTCTTCGTACTTGAATGTGATGAATCATTCCACATGAATTAACCAAGAATTAGTTGGCTTCATTTCTTACAACAAAATGGCGACGTCATGAGACCACGTTGTGGTGATGAAATATAACAAGGCTTGGTGTACAGTGTGGGCTTCGGATCTTCGAATAATAAGATAATAAGAAGCTGTCACCATCATAACTGCCTTCTCAGCTACCCATTTCAACAGATTTCATCAAGGAATGTAAACTTAGTTTGTCAACGTCGTACAATAAGGTAAAAAAGAGTATGTATTTAGTTTAATAACGTTGGAAATTAAATGTTAACGCCACCACTCTACGATTAAACCCAGTATATGGTAAAAGAAAGTTGTTTCAATCATTTCACAGCATAAACTACACCCTGAAATAATTAAGTCCTTTGTTCTCTGATTTTGATAGTCTGTGAGTAACATATCCACTTAAAAAATATGTTACAATATAAAATCGCCTTTAAAACAAACAGTTCAAGAGCGCTTTTTCCATACACATCTCAGACGTACCTCACCGAACAAAACTTCAAATACATCCTGAACAACAGGAGTGCTGTAACCGCACAAAACTCAACGAGAAGAAATCATCAAATCGACTTCTTGCTAAAGTAATCCGTTATTTTCCTGCTCATTTTCTTCTTGATTTCCGGCGACACGTCCAAATGTATTTTCTCATCGCTGTCCTTCGTAACGTCATTACTATTATCACTATTTAATACCCTACTTTGTTTCAACGGTGATGTGTTAGGTGCGGAAAAGTTTAACGTACCATTTTCCTCGTCGAATTTCTTCATTTCGTCAAAGAGTCTCGTGGTTTGTTCCTTAGATTCATATGGGACAGTTTTCTCCCCACTACTTCCATTTGGGACTGTTCTTTCCCCGCTGTCGTTTCTCAATGGGTTAAATAACTCCCCCCTTTCAGCCGCGTCTACCAGATCGTTCATCTGTCTATTGTACTCGCTTTGGTCCAATTCCTCTTGTGAGAAGAGATCTGGTGAATTGTTGGCCGGTGCCTTTTTTATAGGACTCGATGTGTCAGCCGAAGATATTTCCATTGGTACTTCACTCTGAAATAAGTCAATTTATTATTTTCTATGGGATTAACCAAGCATCATGAATCATCTCATATTAAGGTAATTTTCTACTTGACATCTCATAATAATACAGGGAGAAAAATCAGCCCTTGCTAAATTTCATGTGGATTCTTCTATCTAAGTACAAGATGTCCCGTAGATTTATTAACCAATGGCATAGTGCCGTTCATCAGAGATTGTAATAGCCTGAACTCTATAAGCGATATTGAGTTTAAAACATCAAAGTCAAAGGCACAGTGCTCAAACGAAGCCGCGTCTGGTACAATAGTGACAGTTTCTGAATACAAAAATGAATTAATTATTAATTAATTATTCAATAAAAATCCTTTTCTACTTTAGCATAAACGCATTCAATTCCATTGCTCACAGTTCATTTTAGTAGAATAAGTTATAAAAAGTCCTTCCCAGATTATGATTGTTAACATATAATTCTCCTCTTAAGTGAAGGCAAAGGATACTTCCATACAGCCTGTTCTAGAGTAAATTTATTTGTTTTACAAGTTCTGTACTCAATAATACTTACGGCATCCATCACTTCTACGACTGGTGACTTAGGTTTGTTTTCGTCTAGTAATTTTTGTTGCAGGTAAGCATGCAACTGATTGGGCCGCGCGTCTGTTGAGTATTGCCCTAGGTATTTGTATAATTTCCCTGAAAAAATAAAATTAAGAGCTTCACACACATTCATTTTCTAAAATATTCAAATTACCTTCCTGGCCCACTTTAAGTTTGATTATCGCCTAATAAGACACTAGGCGGAAAACCCTGCATTATGTCACAGCTAGCATATCTCTTTTTAGTTTAGAAATAAAAAAACAACGACGTTTTAGCATACACGTGCGCAATCCCATTAAAGAATTAAACCCATTACTGATTAGAATATTATAAAGTTCGTTTACTTTTTTAAACCTGATAAAGAAATCAATCCCACCTGATATTAAGCGTGAGCTCTGGGGATAAATTGCCAAACTTAATTCTGCGTAAGCACTAGGCCGTTATCATCGGCTATCATTAATTATTAAATATGATAGCTGATGATAACGGATTATTGATTAATGATCCCACTGCTAGAGCTTAGGCCTTCTCTATAGATAAGATGAAATAGGGAGACTGAGCCGTGACCCACCACGCTGGCCCTGTGCCGATTGGTAGGTGCTAATCTCTTATCTATTAGACAAGTCCGTCCGTCTGTCTGTGGTGCTGTTTCAGCGGCCAAACCGTAAGAGATAGATAAAGAGAATATTTAAGTTATAAGTTAAGAATAGTCTGATAAGACTACAAACCGGATTTGAGTAACGTAGCACTTCCGGTTTTCGAGAAATCAGGTTTTGGTGAACATTTGGTTCACTGGTTTGCTAGTAATATATAACATACAACTGTTTCGTGGTGTTCTGTGCTTCGGCACGTTAAATCGTTGCTTTCGGCGTTATATATAATCATAATTAGTCACAGCCACAATAGGGTATTTGACAGTATTAAAAATAAAGTGCCAATTGTTAGCATCTGTGTTTAGAATTAATATTAGCAGGTGTTTTTTGATTTTTACAAAAAAAAATCATAATTTTACTAAAAACCCACGGAAAAGATAATAGTTTTCTTGTCTACTGTCACGTGACCCAAAACGCTTGGGATTGGCGAAGCCCAAAAAGACGTCACACGCAAATAAACTTCCGGTCAAAGTGACATTACATTGTATTGATTGACGTTTTAATAACAGTCGTGTGACGTCACACACTAGTAAGACTCCATATTGTCCAGAGAAATGTTTTCGCGGCAACTTGAAAATGGAGTTCTTGATTTGGTTATTTTTACTGAAATACACAACACAATGATGAATACCCACTTTTTACGGACTCCATAAACATTAGTCAATTACGTGAGATCGTTTTGTAAAACTTGTCAAATACCCTATTACTTAACTTGGATGATAACACGTTCCGAATGCGCTAACCACTGATCCATCGAGCTCAGTCTACAATAAATCACACTTATATTATAAAGGCAAAAGTTTGTGACTGTGTATGTTTGTTACTTCTTCACATCTAAACGGCTGGAACGATTTTAATAAAATTTGTTATAGTTAGCTGACACCCTGGCTTAACACATAGGCTACGTTTCACTGCGGGAAAATATCCCTAATAAACCGCGGGTAACACCGCGGGGCGCAGCTAGTAAATAATATAAATAAATAAATAGTTTCAACACTCATACCAATGGGAGCTCGATGGCGCAAGTGGTTAGCGCGTTCGGCTGCGATCGTTGAAGTTAAGCAACTTTCGCAGTGGTCGGTCATTGGATGGGTGACCAAAAATTTATTATCTCGAGCTCCTCCGTGCTTCGGAAGGCACGTTAAGCCGTTGGTCCCGGCTGCATCTTCCATCCATAGGGAAGGCCTGTGCCCCAGCAGTGGGGACATTAATAGGCTGATGATGATGACTCATACCAATTGTCCTAGCCCCAAAGTAAGCACTGTAGGCTTGTGTTATGGGATACGTATATTTATATAGAATTACATGTTAAACATCCAAGACTGGAGGTCTACTCTCTTTCTCCGAAACGAACTTTCGATAACGATGTTCAAGCGACATCAATTTCGTCAATTTAAGGTTATACTTAATTTTAACGATAAACTATCAAATTGAAGCTTTCTTTGATTAGGCTTAGAAAATGTACACATAAATCTATATACCGACGACGAATATTATTATAATTAAAAACGAACCAGAAACATGGCAAGAAAAGTGCGAAGTTTCGTTCGAAATTTCGTTGAATTAGAGTAGGCCTCCTGGAGTACAAATTGCAAAAAATTCAAATATGTTGTACTCACCCACTGTGACATTGTATCTAGCCAGCAGATTGTAAACGTTCACAATATCGTCCCGTAGTTCTGTATCGTTGAACGTATAATAGGCCATGGGACGTTTGGCCTGCGCACACGCCATGATTTGTATGAGGGACTTCAGGTGCGGAGTCCCGCCGAAGGCTCCGCAGCCCCAGTTCCCAGTGGCTACACCGGGGTAATTGAGGCCTTCCGAACGCGGATCTGTTCCGTATGATACTCCTACCCATGCCTGTAGATACCGATGAACGTTTTAATGGAAAAACTTTTAAGGACACCTACTTTTAATTCTCTCTAAAATTTGGTACATGAATCACTAAGACATACAAAAAATACTCAACCAGAACCAGCAATTCAAAAAAATTTATAAATGGCGAATTATCACAACTCTTTGACTAAGACCATACGATCACCCGGTACGTACACCAATACCTGTATCCTTAGCAAGAAATAATATCGAATTCGAATAGTTTGTATGGCAACCTGAACAGCAGCGCCACAACGGACGTAACGCGAACTAAAAATCAGTACACATTTGGCGTATAAAATAGGCTGAATCCAGCAATTCGAATTCAATAATGGTTCGTGCTAAGGGTACTGATCAAAGCCAACAGCTATTGTCGGGTACATAACCTGACTGAATCCGAATTTGATTGCCAGTGGAATTCGGTTAAACGACTAATGGCTCAATTACACTTGGCCGTTAGCCCGTATTACTAGAATTCGGCGACCGAAACAATATTTACACTGAAATGCAGGCTTGAAAACGGTGTCGGGTAACCAAAACGAAAACTTACGGAATACGGGCGTACTCCACATCTCGGGGCTCAAGACAAGGCTTCACTTTGACGTAAGAATAAGTAAGATGTCCTATAGTCTGTCCATTCTATTATTATCTTTTTGACAGATCGACGCCCATGAAATTTTGTATTGTTCACGTTAAACTGTCATACAAATAATATTGTACTTCATGGACGGGTACCGCCCACTTAGTGATGTGCCACACATAATGATTACTAAGATTGTGCCGCAGATTACAAATAATCGGGAGAAATAAATGAGTACAACCAAATTGTAAGGAAAAAAGTCAAAGATATACTTTTTTATAAACCTTTTTTAAATGAAATTATTAATTATAATCAATAAATCTAATTGTACAGAGTATAAGTATTAGGATAAACAAACATATAAAAAGTATACTGCTTTTTTTGTTGTTTAAATGTACATATATCTGCTCATCACACAAATATTTGTACTAGGTAAAATAATAAATGTAATGAGATTTTGTAATAATTTATTAAAACACCAGTATTTTTGATAACTAAAATAATTTCGATACTTATAATCGATTAAACAATGTTTTAGCATAAAATCGATTATAGCTTTAAATCGAACGAGTTATGTAAAAGGGTGTCACTATTTTTACTTCGATCGATCTGTCAAAAAGATAATAATAGAATGGACAGACTATAGTGATCTTGACTTATGGAATTCTCTACTGTCCTCACCTTATTAAGTTCCCTAGTGATCATGTCCTTGTTGTGTTCGTGACGCGCATTGGCATAAGGCAGCGCGTCTATAGCCAGCACCGCGCAGCGGCGACGCCCCGACGAGTCTATAGGGGTCGAGTCCACATAATCGCCGCTCCAGTGGAAACTATGGCCGTACCCCGAATATGTGCTGTAACGCTCGCAACCTACGGTTCAAAATGAAATAGGTAGAACCGGGAGAGATTTGGACTAATAATAGGGGAACCCGGAATATGTGCTGTAACGCTCGCAACTTACGGTTCAAAATGCAGTACGTAGGATCGAGAAGAGAATTGGAATAATAGTAAGGGAACCCGGAATATATGATGTAATGCTCGCAACTTACGGTTCAAAATGAAGTAGGTAGAGTCGGGAAGAGAATTGGACTAATAGTAGGAGAACCCGGAATATATGCTGTAACGCCCGCAACTTACGGTTCAAAATGCAGTACGTAGGGTCGGGAAGAGTTTGGACTAATAGTAGGGGAACCCGGAATATGTGCTGTAACACTCGCAACCTACGGTTCAAAGTCAAATTCAATATTATTATATTTTATTATATTTATTCAGTCTAGGCTGTTACAAGCACTTGTGAATGTCGAAATTTTTTTTTTATTAAACATAATTTCAGCTAGTTGATATGTATATGTATATCTGTTTCACAACGTAGAGAGAGACATACCTATCATCATGAGGGCTTCATTTGGTTTCAACATCTCCGTAAACAGCATCGATATCATCAGCTCAGGGCATATCACGAACCTAATCTCTTCTTGGACACACCCGAAATTAAGAACTCCTCCGCCTAAAAATCTATAACAAAGAAACAATGTTTGACATACCTTCTATAAATAAAAAAAATGATAATTATATTGTCTCGGTAGTCGCTAATACAGAATATCTTTTAACTTTACTATACTTCTTTACTATAAGATACTTAACGGCAAAAACAATTTTAACGAAATTTTGTGCGTGCATTTGAGCGTTGATTGGTTTAGATTTACATCTGGACCCATTAAGTGGTGCTGCTGTTGGATTCTAGGACTTATGTATTTTTTACTAAGTCTGCTAGTTTTATTAGAAAAAAAATGACTAAATATGTAGAGAAGACCCGTTCTTGATTATGCAAAATCTCGCAATCTTAATGCTTAAAGAAGTAAGATAAAAAAAACCGGCCTTGGCCGTGTGCGAATCGGACTTGGCCGGTTTTCTATAAAATATAAGACACTACCTATATTATACTGTCGAGCAAAAAACGGCAAAAATTTCACGTCTGTTGTATGGGAGTAATTTTCATCTATTTTAACTATTTATTTCTAAAGTGAAGATCCACCTTTGAAATTCTGTGAATATTTCAAGCATCTACCTGCTGCCATTATTAATATAGAGCACAAAACGGCAAAAAAACACTTGTAGTACCAATGCAACATATGTGTTTTTTTTGCCCCTACTTAATATTAATTTTATTCTTTGTTTAAGTATTTGTTGTTATAGCGTCAACAGAAATACATCATCTGTGAAAATTTCAACTGTTTAGCTTTCACGGTTCATGAGATAAAGCCTGTCGGGAGACAGACAGACGGACAGCAGAGTCTCAGTAAGTGTTTTCTTCACAAATCAATATATCAATAAAAATACCCTTACTTATTGTTTTAAACTTTCATGGTCACTAATATTATAGAAATATAAGTTATTCACATCACGGAGGAACTGGTTACTCCGATCATGGCGCTTGCAACAGTGCCGAAATATCGGAAACTCGCTAAAAACAAGGTACATGGTAACAATACTGTATAACTTATATTACTATAATGTTAGTGACCATGAAAGTTTAAAACAATAAGTAAGGGTATTTTTATTGATATATTGATTTGTGAAGAAAACACTTACTAAGACTTTGCTGTCCGTATAAATTATATTACTATAATACCCTTACTTGTTAGCGAAGTCCACTTGTATGAGCCCTTGGGCATCCTCTATAGTAGTCTCACTGTCAACGTGCACAGGCAGCGAGCACACTGGTCTCTCTGAAGCAGCCCATAGAGGTAAAGCGTCTGCAGCCACAGTGCGACGGGAGAAACTCACCACTCCGACCGGGACTATACTGCAAACGGGACTATATGTAGCCCAGACCCTCTGGCATGACCACCGCGAACTGATTTATAAACGCGGTACAGCGGATGTGATTGTGACATACAAGTCCGTAACAAATCAGCAAACAAGCTCATTGTTCACAAGAAAATTTCAAAATAAATGAGTGCTAGATCATAGTGTGCTCGCACCTACTTCCTCCATGTCATACTTTGTCATGTCATTCATACTTCTACGTTGCCACCGACTTACTGTGGCCACTATTCCTACACGAACAAACAAATTTGGTGACTCATTTCTTTGTTGTACTATTTGTAAGTGGAATTCTTTACCCGTGCACGTGTTCCCTCCTTCCTATAATCTGGGGTCCTTAAAGAGAGGCGTGAAGAAGCATTTTTGCAGGCCGGCAAGGTGAGGATGGTTGGTGTAGCAGTTTACAACTGCTGTACCAGCTATCTTCGCTTTTGGACTTTATCACCACTTAACATCAGGTGGGGTAGAGTCATTTGCTTACCTCGCTATAAAAAAAATTCCTTCCCACCTTTATATAACCACAGTAATTGTTTGCTATGTTACTATAACCATGAGGTCACACCAAGTAAATAATTATAAATAAATATTTCCAACACACACCAATTAGCCTAGCCCCAAAGTAAGCATTGTAAGGCTTGTGTTATGGGATGCTAGGGTAACGGGTAGAATACATATTCTGTATGTGCATATATAATATATATTAAACATCCGTGACTGGAGAACAAATGCTCGTATTCATCACTCAAACATCTGCCCCCACCGGGATTCGAACCCAGGACCTCTCGAGTCGGTGACGGCACCATTAAAACCCGGCGTACTAACCAGTCGGCCACGGAGGTCGTCAGTCAGTAAGTGTTCCAATATAGCATGCATTTAAACACAAGGTGGTAATTTTAAAAATTTTTTAGACACATTATTATATAACTGTTTTCCGACATACTAGTCCGTAAAAATATTTAAAAAAACATGCATATTCTTTATTGTATAATATTTAAAATTAGGGGCCATCCATAAAATACATCACACGTTAAGGGGGATGGAAGGGGGTCGACGAACTGTGACAAGGGGTGGGAGGGGTCCTAAGTTTCGTGACGTCACATTTCAAAGTCTAATACCTACTTTTGAACTATTAGAATCTTCAAAATATGTAAATCTCTTTCTGTATGGGGTTTCATTTGTTTTTTGGGTAATTTTCGGAACAGCTGTATTCATAATAATTTCTAAATTCAAAATAGCAAAATATGTGACGTCACACTAGGGAGGGGGACTCACAACACACACTCACAAATGTGACCAACTGTGACAAGGACGGGTAAAAAATCACATAACTAGTGTGACATACTTTATGGATGGCCCTTTATAATTATAATGGTATTATCACCTTTTGTTGTAACTCTTCTAAAATAATGACAAATACATTTGAGTTTCTCCAGTATTGAATCTGACCCTGATGAATTAAATAATCTGCAACAAAATGTGAACAATTTAATAATGAGATATCGTCGGTGATATTCTGAAACCGCGGAACTAACAGTGTTTAAAACCGCGTAAGGTAGGTGCAGTGAATTTTACAGGAACGAAGAAAAACATAATATTTACTGAATTACATGACTTTCTATTGTTTAAACATTTAAATTGTCAAATTATAATATTCTTCTTGGTATTGTAGGCATTAGTTATGTTAAATATGTATTAATTAATTAGTAAATCGACTTTCGCGGTTTTATTATCTCAAATAAAATCAAAATGAGTTTTTTTATGTCACTTAAGCGGAATTGTCCGCCGAAATAAAACAAAAGAATACAATCAACATCCTATAATTATTTATTAAGTCAACTTCAGAGTTTAATTTTTGGCACATATTTATCACCGGTACATTAGGTAATCAACAATATACAGGAAATTAACACCATAAATCCCCATAATGTTAAAAAAAAGTAGCTCTTTATAGCTAAGTGTGTTAAACATACCTTGTTGAGAGGGTACTTACTAATTAACAGTTAAAACTAAAAATGAAGAAAAAAACGTATATAAATATTACTTCTGAGTAGAATAATAATTGCACATTGAGGTCTTTGTTAAAAATGAGATCAATAAAACATTACTTTTTCTTAAATGGCAAATTATCGTAAAATAAGTGTCAATCTGCAGGTATCACACTCTTTAATTGCTGTAAGTGCTGATACTTACTGTCTAATATAAGCAGTCTAGATGAATACAGGGGAGGTACATTATAACTACAGCTGAAATAGGTTTTGGTCTCCGATGAAGTGGGCTGAAATCATCTTTAAAGTGTTTTTTAAACTCTATTGTGCCGTTAGGATTATACTTTAAAACCCTCAGATCCACTACGCAATCGCAGCAGAACGCCCAGGACGAATGGAATCATAAATTTGGTATTCTTTTAGACTGTAGTCTTTAAAAAAGGTGTAATCTGGTTGAAAAACCTGGTATGGAGAAGGATGCTTCCTGGCTTCTTTTGTAATTGAGGCATACTGAGAAGGAAGAGTTACCTGACATCGCTTGTGTAATTTCCCGCAGCAAATGGAAATGGGCGGGACATGTCTGTAGACGCGAGGATGGCAGGTGGAGCAGAAAGGTAATGGAATGGAGGCCGAGAACCGGACGCAGAAACGTGGGGCGTCAACCAGCCCGGTGGACAGATGACATCATTAGGATAGCCGGAGCGAAATGGATGCAGTCTGCCCGAGATCGCAATAGATGGAGTGCAATGGAAGAGACCTTCACTCAGCAGTGGGTGGATAGTGGTTGAGGAAGAAGAAGAAGAAGAGAAGGAAGAAAACTTTCAACATTTTTCAGTTTTCTTTCCACTACGGAGTGAACGGAGGCAACCTCCATTTGAGTGTGACCTTTTTCCAGATACTTTTCTGTAATTGTTGTATTTTTGTCTACTGCTAATCTTATAAGGGCATTAGAAACTATTGAGTTTCTGTTCTGTGCAGTGCAGCCATCCGTCCAGATGACAACATCCCTGCAATCTTCTTCTAATAACTTAGTCAAATAATCAATGAACAATGATGCGTAAGTGGTAGCTCTTAAATCACAGGCGGTTTCGTCGAACCAGTAGCAAGTTACATGCATACGCGGTTTGGGCACAATAAACAATCACCTGACGTTACGCGGATTAAAAGACATTCGATTCCACGGCTTCCTCCAATAGGAATAGGCCCAGCCATCATCACAGAACGCAGCCAATCACTACAACGAAGCTAAGCCCGCGAAATCTCGATTTTGCTAGTTTTGTAAATACGCGGTTTTAAACACTGTTAGTTCCGCGGTTTCAGAATATCACCGACGATATGGTTTACAATTAAATTGGTTTTCATATAATTTTACAAACTTGTAATTTTTTTATGTAATACGTAATAGTTAAGTTTTGTTCTTCCAAACTAAAACAAATTGACTTTATCAAAGAAGGTACTGCACCTGACTAGACTATTTTAATGGATATGTACGAAAAGCATTATAAAATATGAGAGGATATTGGTGTTTCGTCATCCAGGCAGGATATATTCCTCTATTCTAGGCACATTAAACATATAGTACTAATAGAGTTTACTGCACCGTGAGAAATTAAGATTCCAAAGGACCACACAATTAAATTGAATAAATACTATTTAACAAATGAACTAACTAAAAATGGCTATCTAGTTATAGTTAATTTATAGTAGTAGTTAATTTATATGCAGTAGAAGTAGGAGCGAGAGGTATACCAAAAAAATCTCTCTATAATCTTCTAAAAGACCTCGGCCTGTCGAGAACTGCAGTAAGTTCAATTTTGGAACGAGTAACTAAGGCTGCACTAACAGGCTCCTATAAATTTGGCTAGGAGGGGCAACTCCAGCAGTGAAGGTGAGCGTTGATGCACATCTTAAAGGAGGCCTCCTTAAACCGACACCTGGGTCGTAAGTCCCGGGAACTGTTCAGAGTTTCTCTCTCTCCCACACAATGGACCCAGATGGTGAATCCATGGATTGCTAAGAAGTTTGCCTAATAAAACCTGTTAAACTTAAAGCCATAAATTTTTTTTAGATACCTGTTCAAGTTTATGTATGGATATGAAGCATATTCTGAAGACTTTTTTGTAGTATTTCTTCTTGGGAATGTACAGAAGAAAGCATTAGCCAATAAGCTTGCAATCTGTTGCTGTGACAATGAAACAGATTTATTTTTGTGTTGCCTGTAATAAATTATGCAACCAATTATAATATAATTGAATTTTATCACTATCATAAAACATAATGAGAATAATGACAGTATTATCTTACTTCAATAGTGGTATTGGCGATTGAATCAACTTGGGCAATGCTAATGTCAATTTCACAATTTCTGGAAGTGTTACATTGAAAAAATATTCTGACTCTTCTTCCTCCAAATACTGAAAAATACAAAACATGAATTACAAAAAAGAGATGATATAGAAAAGAATTGCTACAGTTGAGTAACATATTAGCACCTATGACAAACGGTCATTGCTGCCACTCCCTTAGGTTTCTTGAAATTCAAGTATCATAACAAATTTTTGTATTTACTTTTAACTTACTTCATTAAACAGTTTATGTAAAGCTTTAAACTTCCACAGACTTTTAAATTTAGTATTGTATGATAATATTGCATCTGCCAGCTCTTGACTGTTGCGTATTGGTTTTGAGAGAGCCTGCTCTATTATCTCCCAGCGTTTTATAAGTTTTGTTTCACCATTGCTCTAGAATAAATAAAATAAAGAACAAATTTCACATACTACAGATAAATTGTAATAATTTAAACTTTAATTTATCAATACATACATTCTCAATAGGATATAAACTTTGGTTAGAGCATGGCATTCTCACGAAATCATGATTCCACAGATCATTTCCCAGCTTTGGTTTAGGTGGCGAGTCTTGATGGGGTCTTCCAGTGCTTGGAATATGGTACAGCACAGCGTGACTGAACGACGGTACAATTAGCGGGAACTCAGGAGCCCCCCATGGGCTCTGCGAGCCGTAAATCTCCGAAATAGGAACTCCTCTCCAAGTATGTTCACCCATAGTTTTGAAGTTACTGTGCTCTATTACAACAAACAGTTACGGTTAAAACAAATAGTGGACAAGAATGGATTAAGACGAGTCTTGGATATACTGTACTTCCAGGGCCCAAAAGTAAAAACTTCAGTTTTGTTGATTGTAATTTCGCATTTTTGTTGTTAAAAAGGTTTCTGTTAACCACATTATTTAAAAAAATGTCACACTTATGTACTGGTAGTTTTTTAGAAAAAAATATTGAAAATTTTTACTTTTCTTATTAAGTGGTGATACTTCACACTAGGTTAGGTTAGGTTAGTGTTGTGACCATAACGCGCGAGCCGAGCGAGCAAAGCGAGCGTGCCGCGGCAGCGGCCGGCGAAGCGCCAGAAAAAAAAACTGTTAAAAAGACCTTTTCTACAAAAAAAACAAGTATCACCTTTTGGGCCCTGGAAGTACAGTTTTACCCGAGTCTTCTTCCTGTCTTGGTTGAACAATCAGGCTTTCACTAACTTACACCAACTTCTTGGGTGATCTACATACAGTACATTAAAATCCTACCTCGTGAGGTTATGTTCTACTTACGATGAAGGGGAAAGAAGTATTTATGGAGAATATTCAAAGTACTGTGTTTCTTCAACATACAATACATGTACTAAACACAGACAACTTAGATACGTAATAAATTTAAGAATTTGTCGAAATGAACCTGAGATAGCAAAGTTTAAAGATTAGATTTCTTTCTTCAGTGATGAAATACAACAACAACCAAAAACGTCACAGTCAACATGTACCACAGACTAAGAGTACAGAAACAGCCACAGTTACAAAGATTTCAATCCTTAGATATGCCCTTACTATAGTTTGGCCGCTCTGAAAGCTGACAGCACAGGAATAGGCTAAGTAGCGTGATGATACGCTACTTAGCCTATTCCTAATAACTATTCTCCAAACACAGACATCCCTTAATCTCTCAGTACCCTACGACTTCTTGGGAAAATAGGAATAGTTTTATATTTTTGGATAATTAAACCAAATGGAGTAAAATTTATGTTATAATGAAATGAAAACAGCGATATTGATACTTCAGTATAGTGTTGAAGTTATATCCATCGTCTCCTTACCAAAATATCGGCTAGTATTGCAACTTGTGTTATGATTACAGTATTTTCTTTAAATAACATACCTAAAGTGATCATCTTCTATCTAAATATATTGTAATAACAGATTTGCAGTAGGTACAAATAAGCAGCCATTCTTGAGTTATAAGTGTTTATTAAGTGTCCAACTAACACGACTTTGTTTTATATGTAGATTATCCGAGTAAACTATTGAACGTTTTTGTGTTTGTTTTATTTCTACATAATTGCAATGTACATATTCACTACATAATTAAGCATTTGTATTTTTCTAAATTCTAAATGTATAATAAATAAATCAAAATGATCGCCGCAGATAGGATCACTAAGCTTATGTAGACATTTATATTTTTTATTTAATTCAATCCTTTTGATCAGCTACTGTCTGCAATATTGGTTAAATAACAAAAAAAAAATCTAGATGAGACTCGCATATAATAGCATTTCTTTATTTTTCGATAATCATTGACTTTCACTATTGTAATGTGTCAAAACGGCCATCATCATAACGTCATTGTAAAATATAGCCATAGTTTTTCGGTGTCAGGGCATATCTAACGATTTAAATCTTTGCGCAGTTTCACAAAAATGTACACTTAACACGAATCAATACCGAATTCTAATAGTTTTCGAGCACGAAATGTCATTTTCACATTTTGTATGGAAACCAAGAAACCAAAGACCAACCAACCAATACTATGGAAACCTTTGAATAAGTAAGATACTTATTCAATGACTTATGCCAAATTGGTCCATTGAAGGATTAGACTGTATGGCCTTAACATCTTTTGCCTTTATTACTGGAATTTTTGATTTTGACAATGACAGGAGTTTTTGGCGGGATTTCATCGAGTGTGGTTGGCGTCTATTTTAATTATTCTTAAATTCATTCATAGGGGATATTGTGAAATAAAATTGGTGTGATTTTGTGTTACAACTGTCTGCGTAACTGAAGAATTAGTAGAATCGTCAAAATATACGCTATTCCGGTCAAGTGGACGTGAGAATTTTATTGTAGTATTGACTACCTCACAGAAGCTTATCGAAAATGCCAGCTCGATACATTTACATGAAAACAAAAGCTCGATACAGATACAGTAAAAAGAAAAACAGAATAATTTAACTTAAGACTAGGCTGCATGGGCATTGTTTCCCTTGCCTTCCCTGAAAAGGGAGAATTTAACAAAAAAAATTGACAATGACATTGACATCTAGTAATAGCGTCCTCCTCCTCCCTCAGTGGCTCAGTGCCACAGAACACATATACCCAAGGCTCAGTGCTTCCTCAATCCTGTTACAAGAAACAACAATACACTCCAATTATTTACATAAAAATAGTGTAAAATCTCAATTCACGGAATTCTATAGATCTAATCGAATATGAACTTAGAGTTATTGGGTTAGTATAATTATTATTGCATCTTTTATAATTACTGGTTTGCAAATTCAAGAAGAAATAGCCGGTGTTTATCCAACTATTACAATATTTCAAGCTAAATGGTTTTTTTAATTTTAAAATTATGTTTCAGAGTCATTTGGACAAAATTATCCCGAGGTAAGGTCTATACATAATTAATTATTTCTTATGGTTCCTGCATTTGCCTAACAAACTATATTTATCTTCATAGTAGGTATATTATGATTTTAAGTTAGTTTATTTGAAGGTTATTGCTAATAACCCTGCAATTGCCCGTTTTATTTGCAGGAATTTGATGGTACACTTGATTCAATTTCACTAGCTGCAACATGCGCCTTTAATCGAAGGGGTACTCTCTTGGCTGTAGGATGCAATGATGGTAGAATATTTATATGGGATTTCCTAACACGAGGAATCGCTAAATCAATATCAGCTCATGTATATCCTGTCTGTAGTCTAAGTTGGTCTAGAAATTGTAAAAAGGTAAATTAAAATTGTTTGATACTTTAATTTTAATTAGTAAAATAACAATCTTTTTATCATTTCTTATGAAATGTTTTGACTATCGGATATTCCAATACAAAACTGTAGCTTTTATTAATTTACCTAAAAATAATTTTACATTATTAACAACAAATTTTAGCTGTGGACTTGAATTTGCTAACATTCTCTATTTTCATGCTCTCAGCTCCTATCAGCATCAACAGATCACAATGTATGTATATGGGATGTCCTATCTGGTGAATGTGAGCAGAGGTACAGATTTCCAACACCCATCCTCAGGGTTCAATTTGATCCTAGAAATGATAGGCGCTTCCTTGTATGCCCAATGAGGCACGCAGCCCTGCTTGTGGATACAGAAGGAGAACATAAAATACTGCCAATAGATGAGGATGTAAGTTTTTTTATATGCAATTACTTTTTATTGCACAAATATAACAGTAAGATATAAATCTAAAGAAAATTTTACTAGAAAATTTTCCATGTGGACATGCCGCTTAAGAAAGGCTAGAGAAAATTCGACACGGCCATCAGGGCCCTGGTAGCATAATGGTCAGTGCATTCACCCAGATAGCGAAGGGTGCGGGTTCGAGTTTTCTAGTAAAATTTTCTTCAGATTTTAACATCTAGCAGTTACTTACATGCTTAAAAAATAAATAAAAATAAAAGTTAGTTATAATTTATAGATGAACTGTAAAGGGGGTTAATCGCTCCCAGCCAATAGTGAAGAGATAGGTATTTTTAAAACTTATAGTACTATTAACCTCTAAAAAGAGGGTAGTGAGAATATTGTGATGCAGACATTTATATGCAACTAGCTTTCCCAGCAAACTTCGTACCGGCATAAAAAAATAGGGGTTGGTGTTAGAAGGGTGAAAATTTAGGGTTGTATGTATTTTTGAATGATGTATCATAAAAAAATTTAAAAAAAATTATCTAAAAATGAAAAAAAAATTTAGGGGTGGATTACCCTTAACATTTAGGGGGATGAAAAAAAGATGTTGTCCGATTCTCAGACCTACCCAATATGCACACAAAATTTCACGAGAATCGGGAAAGCCGTTTCGGCGGAGTTTAACCACAAACACCACGACACGAGAATTTTATATATAAGATGTCACTTGTCAAGAGCTTCATGAAACATTCCGTGCAACCAAGATCTTGTGGCACTTAATGACATTGGCAGGGGGCACTGCTGGTGAAATAAGGATTAAATAAGTATGTAAAATCTGCTCACTTAGGTAAAGGTATAATTTGCAATTACTCGGAAAGAGTAATAGAAAATAATATATAATAGTTATATAAAAGGCTTGTTTACACCTTCCTACGTAAATAAAAAGACTTCTTTAAACCTTCCGAAAAATTTGCTCCGATTTGGGCCACTCACCACAAGATCTTAGCTGCACTGTATTTATCTACTGTTTTTTCTTAAATAATTAAATAATGTTGTCAGTTCTCAAGGACTGATCTTTAAAAGTGATTAATATCAATCTCTTCAAGATTGTTTATACTATGGACTATGGAGTACTGATATAATTACAAAGATATGTTTTCCAGGGTGATATAAATGTAATAGCCTCTTTTGATAGGAGAGGAGATCATGTATACACTGGAAATGCAAAAGGAAAAATACTCATTTTGGACACTCAATCATTGGCCGTCATAGCTAGTTTTAAAATTACTGTTGGCACATCCAGTACTACTAGTATTAAAAGCATAGAATTTGCTAGAAGAGGAAAGTAAGTAGGTGTTTATTACCATTTTTAAAATTATATTTTTTTGTATACAATTGATAATTGCATAAGTTTAAAATTTATTCTTCATATTACAGTTTACTGTATTTATTAACTTTGAAGACATTGTCGGGATTTATTCTGTGGTTTTCATATTTCAGCTGTTTCTTAGTAAATACATCAGATAGAGTAATAAGAGTTTATGACACAAAGACTGTTCTGAAATGTGGAATAAATGGTGAACCAGAACCCATTCAAAAATTACAGGATCTAGTCAATAAGTAAGTGAATTTCAAATTTTCTATATTTTTTTTTTTAACACACCAATTAGACTAGCCCCAAAGTAAGGACTGTAAGGCTTGTGTTATGGGAAGCTAGGTTAACGGATAGAATACATATATTGTAGGTACATAAATAAGCATTTTTATATAGAAATACATATTAAACATCCATGAATGGAGTACAAATGCTCGTATTCATCACACAAACATCTGCCCCCACCGGTATTCGAACCCAGGACCTCTCGAGTCGGCGACACCATGAAACCCGGCGTACAAGCCATTCGGCCACGGAGGTCGTCAAATGCTGTTACTATGGTGTAACAAAAGAGCTTGATGGCGCTAACCACCCATTAGCGCGTTCGGCTGCGATCGTTAAAGTTAAGCAATTTTCGCATTGTTTGGTCTTTGGATGGGTGACCAAAAATCTTCTATCTTGGGTCTTTCGTGCTTCAGAAGGCACGTTAAGACGTTGGTCCAAGCTGAATCCGCAGTCGTTAGCACCCGCCTATCCGCACTGGGGCCGTGTGGTGGGTCATGACCCAATCTCCCTATTCCAACCATAGGAAGGCCTGCGCCCCAGCATTGGAGACATTAATAGGCTGATAATGATGGTGTAACAAACAGCAATAATTGAACACATTACTGAAATAATTTAGATCTGAAATCATGATACACACATTTTTTCCCCCTAAGGTAGGGTTGCTAAGGTAAAGGTTACTTTGTTCATTTAAACTAATAAGATGTTTATGTTCATTAAAAGGTATAGGACTTTATATCTATATATATAAAACTCAAAGGTGACTGACTGACATAGTGATCTATCAACGCACAGCCCAAACCACTGGACGGATCAGGCTGAAATTTGGCATGCAGGTAGATGTTATGACGTAGGCATCCGCTAAGAAAGGATTTTGATCAATTCTACCCCCAAGGGGATAAAATAGGGAATGAAAGTGTGTATGAAACTTCGTCAATTTTAAACCGATCGGGCTGAGACTTTGCATGCAGGTATAAGAAGAATCATAGATGAATGTCATTGTGTATAATACAAGCCTTAGAACAAAAACTGTAGTCTACACTTCAGCTCTACACTGAAGCGAAGTGAGGGCGGGCCGCTAGTGTAACATAAACTCCATACTTCAAAGTAAAAGTATTGAATTCAAAACTTTACACATTTACAGTTATCTTTCAGTTTCACACTAATCGGTTCAAACCCAAAATTTTGTCTCAAATCTTTTAAACATATTTCATCCATTTTCCATTTTATTTAGAACGACATGGAAAAAGTGTTGCTTCTCCGGTGACGGCGAATATATATGCGCTGGTTCGGCGCGACAGCACGCGCTCTACATCTGGGAGAAGTCTATCGGGAACATAGTGAAGATCCTGCACGGCACCAAGGGGGAACTGCTGTTGGATGTGGTCTGGCATCCTATAAGGCCCATCATAGCTAGCATTAGTGCTGGTAAGTTTGTGAATCCCAAATTATATATATAAAATTCTCGTATCATAATGTTAGTTACCATACTCCTCCGAAACGGCCTGACCGTTTTTTTTTACATTAATTTTATATACATATTCCGTGGGTCTGAGAATCGGCTACTATCTATTTTTCATATCCTTCAGTGTTTAGGAGGAATGTTATCCCAGGAAATTGATCGAACACTACGTTGCACACTGGGCATGCGTGGTGGCTTATGGCCCAATCTCCCTATTCCATCCATAGGGAAGGCCTCTGCCTGACGGTGATGACAGAGAGTTCTACTAAATGTTGCTACCTCTGTTAGCTAAAAGATGTCCAGAATGGTAGGAAAATATTTTGGACGATTCAAAACAGCTTTCAATAAGTTAATTTGAATAAAGTACAATTCATTTTATTTCTTTGTGTGTTAGGCGTGGTGTCGATCTGGGCGCAGAACCAAGTGGAGAACTGGTCGGCGTTCGCGCCCGACTTCAAGGAGTTGGACGAGAATGTAGAATACGAGGAGCGGGAGAGCGAGTTCGATGTCGAGGATGAAGACCGGTCCGTCGACCAGTCGGGAGACACGCAGCTCGACGAGGAGGTCGATGTAAGTAACTATTAATACAACTGGTTGACTTTGAGGAGTTGGACGAGAATGTAGAATACGAGGAGCGGAAGAGCGAGTTTGATGTCGAGGATGAAGACCGGTCGGTCGACCAGTCGGGTGACACGCAGCTTGACGAGGAGGTCGATGTAAGTAACTATTAATACAACTGGTCGACTTTAAGGAGTTTGACGAGAATGTAGAATACGAGGAGCGGAAGAGCGAGTTCGATGTCGAGGACGAAGACCGGTCTGTCGACCAGTCGGGCGACACGCAGCTCGACGAGGAGGTCGATGTGAGTAACTATTAATACAACTGATCGACTTTAAGGAGTTGGACGAGAATGTAGAATACAAGGAGCGGACGAGCGAGTTCGATTTCGAGGATGAAGACCGGTCGGTCGACCAGTCGGGAGACATGCAGCTTGACGAGGAGGTCGATGTAAGTAACTATTAATACAACTGATCGACTTTAAGGAGTTGGACGAGAATGTAGAATACGAGGAGCGGGAGAGCGAGTTCGATGTCGAGGATGAAGACCGGTCGGTCGACCAGTCGGGTGACACCACAGAACACAGAAAGAGGTTAGAAGGGTGATGAGCGATCGCCAGTATGAAAACCGATGTCGCCGGCTCGCCCCCACTACACTTCCACCTAATAGATAATAAGCCAATGAAACGATGCGACATCAAGCAACCGAACGAATCAGCGCTCACAACACACAACAGCCGTGTCTGTGAGCGTTCATTCGTTCAACCGATTTTTCGCTAGAGGTGAGCACTGAGTCGATGAAATATTATCGATATTAAATATGCCAAGTGCGAGTTGGACTTGATTGTATGGTAATTTTAGTATCCTGTCAAAGTCAGTAAAAATACAGAAAATGATTAAATGTAAAACGCATTACTACAGATAGTTATTTATTGACCTTGAAACAATATATATTTATTTAAACGGGGACGCTTTGTTTCTTTTTGAAAGTTATTTTTCAATAAGAAATGTAGACGTATATCTTCAATTACCACTTTCGTTAAATCTGTTACGTGGTTAGATTATAGGAATTCACCGACTTGATGAAATGATATGTCGTCAAATAATGAAGTGCCAATAAACTTTTTTAATATTTTTGGGACTAAAATTTCTTTTTTGACATTTTTTAAATTATCTGTATGTTGTCGTATCACAGTTTCTGCACTTTTGCATATTTATTACATCACCAGACGGATATATCAGGCCACCTTTATCTTTTACCAAAATAAATTTATGTAAATTATTACTTGTATCTGATATTAGGGCTCCAGTGCAAATATCACATTTGATTTTTTTTATTAGGACATAAACAATATTGCCTGCTATGTATCCAATGACTTGTTTACTGAAATCAGTAAAATTTAGTTCCTCATAAGCATCTTCATCCTCTTCGTTTTCAGATGGCTCTTCACATGCTCTTTCTACTGACTGTGTAGACAAGTTAATTCTTTCTATGGCAGGGCAGTTCAAAATAGTTAAGTGCTCTAGCTCCGTGCAATTCCCTCTACCAAAATCTTTGATTTGGATGTGTACTAACATTTTTTTATATGCAGATTTAAATTGCCTTGCCGTGGGATTATTATTAGAACCACCATGCGAGCTCAAGTTGCCAAAAAGTAATTCAAGGTGATCTTGACTCGTTTTATAAAATGGAAAAAATATCAATTCTCCTTTTTGTACTAGGTTAAAATAAAAGTGCCTAACAGCTTCGGCACAGCCAACAAAACCTAAAAACCCTACTTTTCTTTGGGTTTGAGTCAATGGCGGTCCATTGACACATTTCAAGCTAGATATTATTATATTATTATATATAATTTATCGCTCTATTTAATTACTCCAAAAAATCGTCTGCGTTTTTGGAATTGATAGGTTTTTTATACCCATACTGTGACATGGTTCTCGAGTTAAAAATATCAAAAAGATTATTAATGGTCCTCAAAAATTGAGTTGTAGGCAAATTGTATCTATAACAAAAATATATACATACGGAAGTATATAAATTTACGACTCTTTCATGTGGTATTACACCGATTTTAAAATACCTATACCCAGACTTTTTTATATCATAATCATTTTCATTGAAGTCTATTGAGCAAATGGTGCTAAATTTTGTGGAAATCCAGTCTTCTCTACCTGCCTTGATCCACTTTTCACGTATATCTGGATCTTTGGGAAAACTGAAATACGCTGAAAACTTATTTAATAACTAGAGGTATCAGCCACATTAATTTGTGGAAAATGGTAATAGAGGGTCACCCTTAAAAGATAGGCATTAGCTGTAGCGGGCTTTTTTATAAAACTTTTAAAGAAGAACAATTCCGTTATATATGGTTTTTGTGTAACTTTTACTGTTTACGCAGCGTACACAACCGATGCTCTGAAATGGGTCTTTTCCATATTTTTTTATTGGTGCTCCGCTCCTCTTAGTCGTATTATTATGATTTATTAATCTATAGCCTTCCTCAATAAATGCACTACCCAACACAAAAAGATTTTTTAAATCGCATTAGTAGTGCCTGATATTAGCGCGTTCAACCAATTAAACAAACTCTTTAGCTTTATATTTATATTGTATATACATTTACAATCAGCTTTTATTTATTTATAAAAGTTAATTCCATTATTAGGTGCTAAATTCCATCGATAAAATCTATCGACAATGTAAAGTGTACGACGCAAGACACCACTAAAGTTGTGGTAGTTTGTACCTACTGTGTGCAATGACCTTGTACTGCGTGCGGCCACGTGCAGCGCTTTGTGGTCCATGCGTCATTCTTGCTCGAATCGTACTACATTACGTGTTTTGAACGTCGTCGAAAAATGACGAGCGTACTTTGTCAGCAATGAATATTTTTATGGAAATATATATGTGATTTATCGTATAATTAGTATTTCATGAATTTTTACAAAAATATCAGTAAAACTAAGAAGTTTTATACTTACCGATGAAAAGAAATTCCTGCTTTAGGTAGATTTGACACTTGACTTCTTGCTTTGCAAGTAATTACAGCACACGAAGGCATATTTTAAGCGATAATCACAATACTCTCTCACTGAACGTTCGCGGGCAACTAAACGACGCGATCGCGCGTAACGGTTAGGTTATGAGCATTTGCTCATAACTGGGACGCGCCTGCCCCGCCCACAAGGCCATTCTAACCTCTTTCTGTGTTCTGTGGGTGACACGCAGCTTGACGAGGAGGTCGATGTAAGTAACTATTAATACAACTGATCGACTTTAAGGAGTTGGACGAGAATGTAGAATACGAGGAGCGGGAGAGCGAGTTCGATGTCGATGATGAAGACTGGTCCGTCGACCAGTCAGGCGACATGCAGCTCGACGAGGAGGTCGATATAAGTAACCTCCTTAATAATACAACAAAATTTTAAGAAAATAGCTATCTAACTAAACAGCATAAAAACTACATATAAATGAATACATATTAGGTATGTCACATTATAATTTAATATTTTACTTTCATTTTATTTTGTTCATAAGTTACTAATACATAAATATAAAACTAGATTATTTCAAAACATGGAATAAAGTCCCTAATGCTGTCTTGTTCTTCTTTTCATCAAACAAAGGTATCACTTTGGACCTGCACGCATTTAGCACTCCGGCTACGTTAGCACATGTTGCATGTGCTAACGTAGCAAAACTGCGGTAATCTGTCATCGCGTATGCTGCATTTCGCTCTGTCTGTCTGTGATTTCCTTTGATTTTCCACATATACATCTCTGACAGATTACCGCAGTTTCGCTACAGGCGTGTGCTAGTGTGCTCAAGGCGTAGGTCAAACGTTTTATGAAATAAAATTATACTTTATTCAAATTGACTTCTTGAAAGCTCGTATGAATCGTCCAATATTTCTTCCGGACATTTTTAAGATGATGAAAAGAATGGGCGCAGGAAACTTAACAGAAGCAGCAACATTTACATAAAATCATGTCGCTACCAATACAACGTTTTGATTGCTGTGCCATAGAATATAAATAAATAAAAAAATGCAGTCGAACATAGAACCTCCTCCTTTTTTGAAGTCGGTTAAAAATAATGTTTATATGTGTGAATAACCTGTATTGTGGTTATGGTCTTGTAATAGTCAATGTTATATATTCCATATGTCAGGTGGACGTAACGACATGCGAGGCGGTGGCGGCTTTCTGTAGCTCAGACGAAGAGGGAGAGGACGAGAATGTTCTCTCTTTCCTGCCCATCGCGCCCGAGATTGAGGACCCTGAGGTGAGCAAACATAGCATGCCATGATATGCAGTAATATTATCACCGACAAAGAGGGAGTAGACGAGAATGTTTTCTCTTTCCTGCCCATCGCGCCCGAGATTGAGGACCCTGAGGTGAGCGACAATAGCATGCCATGATATGCAAGAATATTATCACCGATAAAGAGGGAGAAGACGAGAATATGCTCTCTTTCCTGCCCATCGCGCCGAAGATTGAGGACCCCGAGGTGAGCGACACTAGCATGGCATGATATGCAGGAATATTATCAGCAACTAAGAGGGAGAGGACGAGAATGTTCTCTCTTTCCTGCCCATCGCGCCCGAGATTGAGGACCCTGAGGTGAGCGACACTGGCATGTCATGATCTGCAGGAACATTATCACCGACAAAGAGGGAGAAGACGAGAATGTGCTCTCTTTCCTGCCCATCGCGCCCGAGATTGAGGACCCTGTCTTGAGCGACACTGTCATGCCATGATATGCAGGAATATTATCAGCGACTAAGAGGGAGAGGACGAGAATGTTCTCTCTTTCCTGCCCATCGCGCCGAAGATTGAGGACCCCGAGGTGAGCGACACTAGCATGGCATGATATGCAGGAATATTATCAGCAACTAAGAGGGAGAGGACGAGAATGTTCTCTCTTTCCTGCCCATCGCGCCCGAGATTGAGGACCCTGAGGTGAGCGACACTGGCATGTCATGATCTGCAGGGAACATTATCACCGACAAAGAGGGAGAAGACGAGAATGTGCTCTCTTTCTTGCCCATCGCGCCCGAGATTGAGGACCCTGAGGTGAGCGACACTAGCATGGCATGATATGCAGGAATATTATCACCGACAAAGAGGGAGAAGACGAGAATGTTCTCTCTTTCCTGCCCATCGCGCCCGAGATTGAGAACCCTGAGGTGAGCGACACTGGCATGCCATGATATGCAGGAATATTATCAGCGACAAACGGTTAATCGCGAATTTCGGAAAAACTGCAATTGCCATGGAAAAAACTCAGTGGCAAAATTGTAGGTATCAACAAGTTTTGTATTTCTGAAAAACAAACACGGAATATCAGTCCATATCATTACTTACACTCATAGAGTAACATGGACGCGGCAAGGACGGTAGTAACTGTTGCACAGAAATAAGTATCCTATAAAACTCTACTTGAGGGGCCGGAAGCCAGTGCATTAATGTTTTTTTCAAGAATTTATTCTCAGTCGAAACTGAAAGTCAAAAAATCATATAAAATATCAAGATTTGCAGCAAATCGTAAATTGTCTGAGCTATATATGTACATAGTGCGTAGTTGTAACATTGAACGCGACTTTATAATAATTTATGTTACCCTAGTAACATTGCACAATGCAAATATACCTCCCGGCAAACTTCTTGAGCAACGACCATAGACAAGAAAGCCTGCGCACTAGCAATTTTACATACAAAAACGTTTACTGCGCAAGTTTATTTGTCTGTGGTTCTGCTTATGAAAAATGCCGCTTCCTAAACCTTGTTTTTTACGAATCTAATATATCGGAATTGTTGCAAGTAACTACGCGAAAGTAGGTACTTGGTAGCAATTCCGGTCTTGAATAACTATTCAGGCCCATTTGCAGCAAATTTGCCAAATCTCGATTCAACTAAAACTAGATATTTGTTTCTTAGGTTTTCACGCACATCACTCATTAAATAAAACTAGTTTTTACGGGTTAATGCACGAAACTTTATTTATTTATTGACGTTTCGTAGCCTTTACAGGCTACGTCACCTGTAAAACTAGATGTCACCAGGCGCGGTCGCAGCCTGAAACTCACTACACTAATAAAAAAAAACCGGCCAATCGCGTGTCGAACTCGCGCACCGAGGGTTCCGTACACACCTGACGTTTCAAAAATATTTTTTATTATATGATGTAACTAAAAAAATACGGTTTTCGCAATTTTTCCTTTATCTGTACTATAAGACGTTACTTTGTACCAAATTCCATGATTCTAAGTTCACGGAAAGTACTGTGTAGGTTTTGATTCCCGTGCGAGTTTCGAAAATTTGCGGCATAATAGTACAGTCAATCTGTCGAAAAAAATATCGTTTCAGTGAAAAAAAAACCTAAAGGGTAAGTCTTGTTTTTTCTGTTGCCAAATGACGTCAGTAAGCCACCTTGGCGATGGGCATGTTCAACTCGTAGGCGTTTTTTGAAAAACTCAAAAAAACCCTCAAAAATTTTTTGAAACGCATTTTTCTTGTTTTGTATGCATTTTAGAAACTTTTTTTTTGACCATAATTGTAGAGGGTGTTGAGTGCTACAATTTATGTCATTGTTGCAATCTCGTACAACAAAAAATGCGCATTGTAGGCGGAGCTAAAGTCTCAAAAAAGTGTTTTTTCACTTTTTCACCCTGAAAATATCATTTTAATGGAAAACTTTAAATGGCAAAGTTATTTCGTGCATAATTACCAACAACTTTTGTATAAACAATTTTTTTGTAGTACTTACCGTTTTCAAGTTATAAATTGCGCAGGTATGAAAAATCCAATAGAGCGGTTTTGGGCAGTTCACGTACACATTTGCAGTGCACATTTCAATGGACGTTTTACTATTTTTTATTTTTTTTCATGATTGAAAAACAAAAAAAAATGAAAAAAAAATAGTTTTATTTTTAATATAACTTGAAAACGGTAAGTAATACAAAAAAATTGTTTATACAAAAGTTGTTGGTGATTATGTACGAAACAACTTTGCCATTTAAAGTTTTCCATTAAAATGATATTTTCAGGGTGAAAAAGTGAAAAAACACTTTTTTGAGACTTCAGCGCCACCTACAATGCGCATTTTTTGTTGTACGAGATTGCAACACTGACATAAATTGTAGTACTCAACGCCCTCTACAATTATGGTAAAAAAAAAAGTTTCTAAAATGCATACAAAACAAGAAAAATGCGTTTCAAAAAATTTTTGACGGTTTTTTTGAGTTTTTCAAAAAACGCCTACGAGTTGAACATGCCCATCGCCAAGGTGGCTTACTGACGTCATTTGGCAACAGAAAAAACAAGACTTACCCTTTAGGTTTTTTTTTCAACCCTCAACCTACAGATTGACTGTACTATAAACGGCTGTATCTTTTGATTGCTTTGGCTTAGAAGTTTGATTTTTTCACAGCTCCAAGGGACAGTAGACTTGAGTATTAGTATGAATTACAGTTTGATACACGCGTTCCTGAGAAAAACGGTCTTGACAGACGGACAGACGGACGGACGGACGGACAACAAAGTGATCTAGATGTCATTTCCAAGTTATTTTGGCCACCGTACGTAGTTTATAAAAACACCACTAGATGTCTGCAATGAGATAAATGTATCGCTGTTACGAGATAGCTAGAAATTTCCTTTTTTAATTTGGCAAAATTTTAGATATTTTTCAATTTGACCTTAGATTTGGACCTTCGGACCGCGCCTGGATGTCACCCATAGACTGACCGTACAAAAATGGCAAAGTCATTGTATGGGCTTAATCTAGTTTTAGTGAAATTGGGATTTAGCTAAATTGTTGCATGTAAGCCATATTGTCAGACCCCTCTTTCCCAGTGGGCACTTTGGGCAAGTGCCCAGGGCTCCGCGATCGATAGGGGCCCACCTCAGATCAAATACATAGTCCCTAGTTCCTGTTAGATCACCAAACGGGGGTCTTAGGGGCTCCATTTTCCTAATATGCCCAGGGCCTCAAATAGGTCAAAGACGGCACTGCATATTTTTGTTGATCATAAAAGTTTGAAAAAGATTAACTCTAAAGAAAATATAACTAGAAAAAATTCCACGCGGACCAGGCAGCAGACGGGACTCGAACCCGCACCCTTCGCAATCCGGGCGAATGCACTGACCAATTTTGCTACCGCGGCCCTCACGGACCGCGTCGAAATTCTTTCTAGCTATTCTTAAGCTGCAAGGCAGCGCCATCTCTTCGCATTATAGGTAAACCCACAATGTCAAATGAATACTTTTACAAGTATTAAACATTTGAAAGAAGAAATAGCAATTATAGTTATAATTTTTATTATTTTTAAACCATGTAACTGCTTGATGTTTAAATCTAAAGAAAATATAACTAGAAAAAATTCCAAATTAGAAATTTAAGAATAGCTAGAAAGAATTTCGACGCGGTCCGTGAGGGCCGCGGTAGCATAATTGGTCAGTGCATTCGCCCGGATTGCGAAGGGTGCGGGTTCGAGTCCCGTCTGCTGCCTGGTCCGCGTGGAATTTTTTCTAGTTATATTTTCTTTAGATTTAAACATCAAGCAGTTACATGCTTTAAAAATAATAAAAATTATAACTATAATTGCTATTTCTTCTTTCAAATGTTTAATACTTGTAAAAGTATTCATTTGACATTGTGGGTTTACCTATAATGCGAAGAGATGGCGCTGCCTTGCAGCTTAAGAATAGCTAGAAAGAATTTCGACGCGGTCCGTGAGGGCCGCGGTAGCATAATTGGTCAGTGCATTCGCCCGGATTGCGAAGGGTGCGGGTTCGAGTCCCGTCTGCTGCCTGGTCCGCGTGGAATTTTTTCTAGTTATATTTTCTTTAGATTTAAACATCAAGCAGTTACATGCTTTAAAAATAATAAAAATTATAAAGATTAACTCGTTTTTTTTATAACCTCCCAAAATAAGTTACAATTAAAAATTAATAAAACAAAGCGTTTACAACATTAATTATTATCAAACCAAAATGTAACTTTTGTTACAGTTTGATTTTATTATAGTGTTAAAATGATATGGGGCCCAATTCTCGCGGCGTAGATATTATATCGGCTTCGAGATAATATCGAAAGTAGGGATATCTATTGAAAATATCTACTGATGGTAAAAAATGCTATTCTCGTGGATTTTCGATATTCCAATAATATTATATCTATCGTAGATATTCTTTCACTGCCGAATGCGTTCCGTTTTTCTCGATTAAGTTAACATCATAGTCTATATAAATAAATAATAAATTAGAGCAGAACTTTACAAGCAACAAAATGATATTTTATGAATTCCATTCATATTAAATGTGTGTATACATTTTTTGAGTATAAGAAATCTCAACTTTACCTAAATTGTATGCGTATATGATTTCAACGTTATGTATAATGAAACGTCAATATTATTTAAAATTCTCCCTTTTCAGGGAAGGCAAAGGGAACAATGCCCATAAAGCCTAGTCTTTAGTTATATTAATCTTCTTTTTATTACATTCGAATGTCGGTGTGAGGCATTCTAATGTTTCTTGGAGTGTTTGGCACGACATTTATGGAGTCAACTTTTTCTCTAAGCTTCTGTGAGGTAGTCAACACTACAATAAAGTTCTCGCGTCCACTTGACCGGAATAGCGTATATTTTAAAGATTCCACTAATTCTTTAGTTGCGCAGACGGTTGTAACACCAAATCACACCAATTTTATTTCACAATATCCACTATGAACGAATTTTAGAATAATTAAAAATAAGATACCAACCGCACTCGCAGAAATCCCGCCAAAACTCCGTATCGTCAATAAGAAAATGGTGTCGATTCTGGCATGATTCTCTAAACCTAAACGAAAATTTGACAAAAGTGTATCCTTGTCATTCTCCATACAGAATGAAAAGGAGAAACTGATGTTAAATTTAGTTTTAAGTTTAGAGAATCGTGTCAGAATCGATACCAATGTCATTCATAACTTTAAAGATTTCTAACGAAATTTTTGTTTAAACGTAATTTTTTTATGAAGTCCGCGTCCCTCATTTCAAATGGGCCCTCTTGCTCGCACAACGGCGGCGCCTTAGCACAGCAGCAGCAATCACGTAATTTATTAAATCATTGACGAAAACATGAATCAACTCATCCATCGTTAATATAAACTGGTGTCGATTCTGGCACGATTCTCTAAATCTAAACTTAAACTTGACAACAGTGTTTCCTTGTCATTCTCTATACAGAATGAAAAAGAGAGACTGATAATAAATTTAGTTTTAAGTTTAGAGAATCACGCCAGAATCGACACCATTGTTTACCTACTTCTTTATTTACTAATTATTTATGAAGGCAGTTAACAACATCTTGAGGTAACAATAACTGGCAAAGACACACGACAACACAATAAATAATAGGTAAAAAAAGTGGAAATAACAAGATTGACATGCCAAGATCCATAGATATTTATATATCGAAGGCTCTTTTACCAGTCGATGTATGTCTACTGATCATCCGTAGATAAATATCTATTGCGACATGGTGAGAATAGGGCAAAAAGGTTTTCCTTCGATAAAAGTCAGATCATTCGATATATATCGAAGGTGATATAATATCTATGCCGCGAGAATTGGGCCCATGGGCTGAAATTTACAGAAAAATAATAATATTTAAAATAGAATTTCAACATTTAAACACTTGCAAAAGTACAAATGAACTGTGGTTTTTTGCGAATGAAGTATTGACGATTGTCCAAGTACACGTGTAAATATCATTTTTATTTTTTAAGCATGTAACTGCTCGATGTTTAAATCTAAAGAAAATATAACACTCTCGGACTCTGTGGGACTCGAACCCACATCCTTCGCTATCCGGGCAAATGCACTGACCATTATACTACCGCGGCTGTGATGGCCGTGACGAATTCTTTTTGGCCTTTCTTAAGCTGCAAGACAGCGCAATCTCTTCGCATTGTAGGAAACCTTTAATGTCATAATGGATTTTTTTCTAGTTACATTTTCTTTAGATTTACACGTGTAAATGTTGCGTTCAGGATGGGTGGGCGGCGACGCAGGAGACAGTGACGCCCACAGAGACGCCCGAGAAGCTGGAGCCCGCCTCCAAGCGGCCCAAGACCAAGAGCTACGACATATCGCTCAAGATCGCACCACCCGGTAAGATTTGCCATTCTTTAGTACAACAAGCTTTTATTTACCTCGCACTGTTCGTTTGTATGTATAGTCTGTTCCTAACGAATTCAGACCAAAAATAAACAAAGAGGTAGGTAAGTCTGACCATAGACAGTTTAGTGATGGGGATTCATAGAGCCTTATCAAAATCTTATTCTTAGAAACTGTTAAGATCTATAAGGCTTAATTTGTAGCATTAATAAATTTTTATCGTCATTAAACGAAAAAGAACTCTGGCTGTTAACTATATTTCGTTACATAATAAAACTTTCTGAACGATTGGTTTGCGTATATTTGTCAATTATATATGCTTCTGTGCTAGAAGTAATTCCAAACTATGCCACTTTGAAATTTTAATATCCAGGCTGAAACAATGAGCGAATAATTAAAATTCCACACCATCCGTAATTAAGATTAAAGATAATAACAAAACCAAAAAATAAAAAACCAACCTAATTGCTTCTATGAGCAATAACACAAAAATTACGTTTCATCAACTGTATTATTCATTGTTACTTATCAGTTCGAATAAATAATCGATTTACTATTTGATTAGGTAACGTAACGTAGGGGAAACCACCCAATCATTGGCACTCGTCGTATTATTGGCACTTTGAGTTTAATTCGAAAAAAACAAGGAGACAATAGATTATTCAATGTCGTTACATATTAAAAAGGAAAACCTAGTATGGTTATGAAATTTGAAAATTGGCAGCATTATTCCTACAATCTATTGTTTCCTGTTTATTTCGAACTAAACTCAAAAGTGCCAATAATAGGAACAGTGCCAATGATTGGGTAGTTTCCCCTATATTGAAATCATTTTGAATAGACTTTTCGGTGCAACACTGTTCAACCATAAACAACTGACAATTCCCATCTTTGAAAATAACCTTAATTTTCGACTCAAGCTTTTATTTTATTTTTTTCATATATTTATAAAGAAACTAGCTGTGCCCCGCGGTGTTACTCGCGGTTTATAAGGGATATTTTCCCGCAGTAAAACGTAGCCTATGTGGTAATCCAGGGTGTCAGCTAACTCCATACCAAATTTTGTTAAAATCGCACCTGCGGTTTAGACGTGAAGTAACAAACATACACACTCATAAACTTTCGCCTTTATATTATTAGTGTGATGAGTGCTATTAAAGATAGTGAATTAATATGTCAAACCCCTTGAAATGCAAATGAATATGTTGAGAAATCAATTTAGTGAGTCATTGCGTGGGAATTAGGAGGTTAAGTGTTTGTTTACTTTTGGTCTAAATTCGTTTGGAACAGACTATAGCTTCAAAACTTGAAAACCAATTTTGAACACACACACACACACACACACATGCACGCACGCACGCACGCACGCACGCACGCACGCACGCACGCACGCACGCACGCACGCACGCACGCACGCACGCACGCACGCACGCACGCACGCACGCACGCACGCACACACACACACACACACACACACACACACACACACATATATATATAATAAACATACAGATGGAGCTAAAGTAGTTTGACTTTGCACTAAGAATCTTCTTTAGTTCCCATTTCAAAATAAAAACATAAATAGAGCTTTAAGTATAAATTTTCTTTTATATTATCACCCCTTTGTGATTATTTTTTTCCTTTCTGTTACAGAACAACCGTTATCGTTTGGTGGGAAAAACAAACAAGCAGCCGGCAATAAAAAAGTTGCGGGTAGACCTAGGAAATAAAGTTCATTTTGCTATAAATATTTGTTTTGTTTAAATCATCTTTAGACAATGGTGTCGATTCTGGCACGTTTCTCTAAATATAAACTTAAATTTGACAACAGTGCATCCTTGTCATTCTCTATACAGAATGAAAAGGAGAGACTGATATTAAATTTAGTTTTAAGTTTAGAGAATCACGCCAGAATCGACACCAATGTTTATCTTACCTTTTTTGTTTCCTTGTACCGATCTACATGTGGTTGAGCGGCTTTTTCTTTAGTTTTTCATGGTGTCGCGGTAAAATTAAATGAAGACAAGCATGCGAGGTAACTGAGAGCATTTACATATTCATCATCATCATCATCAGCCTATTAATGTCCCCACTGCTGGAGCACAGGCCTTCCCTACAGATGGAATAGGGAGATTGGGCCATGACCCACCACGCGGGCCCAGTGCGGATTGGTGGGTGCTAACGACTGCAGATGCAGCCGGGACCAACGGCTTAACGTGCCTTCCGAAGCACATCAGCTATTTACATATTATCCGATCTAATATCATTATCGGACGCCGATCACCGATATCCGATTTCGGTGGTGTCCACATATTTCCTATAAAATCAGCCATAGCGTCGGCGTAGTCACAACTCGACATTTGGCAAAAATTGAGTTGGAAATACCATTATAATCAATTTTTTTCTACGTATTTCAACCTTACAGCTATGTCTATATGACTAACACTTTTGCAAAAAGACCATTTCTACCTTTGGACTATACATTATCGGGTTAGTTAGTTTCCTTTTTACAAAATAAATTACAACTGAACTGGAACATACTTAATCCATGTTAAAATCCATTAAAATTACTTGATAAGTTTTAGTGAAGCCCCATACTCGTGTGAAGTCGAAATTTTAACTAACTTGACTATCTTCACGATCGGGGATATTCAGTTCAAAGAATTTTTGGTTTTCTACGGATAACTTTATTAAATAATGACGATATGGAATCCGTAATAATTGGTAAAAAAACGTCGCTATTCTTCACTAGGTACTGCCTACAGCACACATTACAAACTTTATCGCCTGATAGGTCACGGGCGTCATCCCCGATATAGGGCCGGACAATGTGAAAGATAGGACATACATATTTCATACATTTTACTTGCCCCGATATCGGACCAGATAATGAATAAACGCTCTGAGACGCCGTCGCGAAAAATAAATACATTAGATTCTTTATTATTTTTTAATGTTTTTCTATATAAATAGTACTAACGGCCGCCCGCGACTTCGTAAGCGTGGAGTTAGTTAGAAATAAAGGTTCACTGCTCGTTCCCCGTAGGTGATAGCGTGATAATATGTAGCCTATATGTTGACCAGACTTCTTAATAATATTCGTGTCAAATTTGAAGTAAATCCATGCAGTACTTTTTGAGTTTATCCCGGATATACATACCTACAGACAAAAATTGTAAAAACTTTATTTTTGGCTTCGGTATCGACTGTAGATCACACCCAAGTATTCTTTTAAAAAAGTATTCAATGTACAGTTTTTACTTTCCTACCATTTTATTATATGTATAGGTAGATGTAGTTTCTCGCGATTGCGACCATAGGTGTAGGTAGACAAAGAACAAACCGCGATATTAAAGAAAATGTTTTATTTTGCAAAAAGAAATCATATTTATTGATCTTTAATAAAATTCATATCTAGAGTATACAGTAAGTACTTATCGTCTGTATAAATAAATCTCACTTAACAGAACCAAAAATAATACATCGTTTATTCGAGACCAAAAAGACTCATATTACTCTCTTTGTTAGCTCTCTAACTTAACAACTAGTTTTATATGATACATAGCGTATATTCTACACGGACGTCGATTGCCCGGATGTCGTTATATAAATAAAATTATCTATCGCGATTATGTACAAGGTTAGGGGGAGTCCCGGCCTGATCACTTCACACTAAACGTAAAGCTAGACTACCACTGATTCACTGTTTGCTAATAGTTCTGCAGTCGATATATTCACGTCACATTTATTAAACAAAACAAGAAAACTTAAACGGGTCCCCGTTGTTAATATAGTAAAGTTATTTGTTAAAATAAGTAATAAATTAGGTGTCCAAATCGTCTTCGTGTTGGCTCGAGAAATAGCTGACGAGTCCCCCAAAGACGCTGCCTTCTTCTCTTGGGGTATCGCCATCAACCGGTTCCGGTTTAATGTTCAGAGAGACGGGTTCCGCCGTCGGAGGGACGTAGGGTTCCGGCGGTTCGGATTTCAGCACTAGGCCGTTAGTCACTTCCGGTTGGGCAGGTTCTCGACTCGGGGGTCTTTCGTCCAGCGATTTCGGTGATGAAGTTGGTTCAAGTGTTTCTCCAATCTCCGGGTGCACGGGACGGTTCGATTCGGTGTATGGGACTGGCGGTCTTGTAGATTCAGTGTATGTTACCGGCGGTTTTGGTGATTCTACGTAAGGTGCCTGTGGTCTCGGCCTTTCTGCGAAAGGTCCCGATGGCCTAGGACTGTCCGAGTAAGGTCCCGGCGGCCTAGGAGTGTCTGAATAAGGTCTCGGAGGTCTCGGCGATTCTGCGTAAGGTCCCGGTGGCCTCGGCGATTCTGAGTAAGGTCCCGGCGGCCTTGGAGTATCGGAATAAGGTCCCGGCGGCCTTTGCGATTCTGAGTAAGATGCCGGTGGCGTAGGAGTGTCTGGGTAAGGTCCCGGTGGCCTCGGCGATTCTGAATAGGGTCCCGGTGGCCTCGGTGATTCTGAATAAGGTCCCGCTGGTCTCGGCGATTCTGTGTAAGGTCTCACCGGCCTCGGTGATTCTGAATAAGGACCCGATGGTCTCGGTGATTCTGAATAAGGACCCGGTGGTCTCGGTGATTCTGAATAAGGACCCGATGGTCTTGGCGATTCTGAATAAGGTCCCGGTGGCCTCGGTGATTCTGAATAAGGTCCCGGTAGTCTTGGTGATTCCGTGTAAGGTCTCGCCGGCCTCGGCGATTCTGTGTAATGTCCCGGTGGTCTTGGTGTTTCAGGGTAAGGACCTGGCGGCCTCGTAGATTCAGAGTAAGGCCCTGACGGTCTTAAAGATTCCGAGTAAGGCCTTGGCGGTCTGGGAGATTCTGAGTAAGTTCCTGTCGGTCTCATAGACTCTGAGTAAAGACCTGGAGGCCTTGCAGATTCCGTGTAGGGCCTTGGCGGTCTTGTAGATTCAGAGTAAGATCCCGGCGGCCTCGTTGAGTTAGAGTAAGGCCCCGTTGGCCTTGTAGATTCTGAGTAAGGTCCTGGTGGCCTCGTGGGGTTTGAGTAAGGTCCTGCCGGTCTTTGAGTTTCTGAGTAAGGTCCTGGTGGCCTCGTAGAGTTCGAATAAGTTCCTGGTGGCCTTGGCGAATCAGAATAAGGTCCCGGCGGCCTTGGAGATTCTGAATAAGGCCCTGTTGGTCTTGGATGTCCTGGGGGTCTAGGAGAATCCAAATAAGGTCCTGGTGGCCTTGCTCCTTCTGAATAAGGTCCCGGTGGTCTTGTTCCTTCCGGATAAGGACCCGGAGTTCGGGTCGTTTCAGAGTAAGGTCCCGGCGGTCTATTCGGTTCACCGTAAGGCCCCGGAGGTCTCGTAGGTTCGGTATAAGGACCCTGAGGTCTAGTTACTTCAGGGTAAGGTGCCATTAATCTAGACGATTCCGCGTAAGGCCCACCCGGTCTCGGCTCGTAAGATGCCCGGTAAGGTGGATTCGCCCTAACAAACTGTGGCCGAGGACCTCGTAAATACTGCGATTGTAAATTCGGATCTTCGCGCTCATTGGGCATATACTGCATTTGATGCATCCTTTGCAAAGCCGAAGGATCGGGGGCGTAAGGGCCGTATGGACCATATTGTGGTGCGTACGGGCCTAGGGGATAGCGGGGACGGCGATCTTTGTTTTCAGTGTGTTTTATTTTAGGGTGATTTCGGGGAGGTTCCGGCGATGGCGGTCGAGGGGAGGGGGAACCGGCGGGAGAACGGTATTCCGGTTCCGTTTTCACTTCCGCTTTGATTTTGAATGGCTCGTTAGAGGGGGAAGGGGTGGGATTCGGCGATGATATGGGCGGGGTTTGAGTGGGATTGGGAGGGGTCACTGGGGGTGGATTCGTACGGGGTAGGTTAGGGCGAAGTTGCATGGGAGTGCGTATATTTACGGATGGGTGACCGGGCATATTTGATGGGTGGTTTGGAGGTATATTATGTCTTGGTGGATTCTGCTGTGGACCTGAGGGATTATGTGATGGATTGCCGTGGCTTAAAGGTGATTGTGCAGGGTTATGGTTTAAGGGTGATTGGGAAGGTCGTATTGGCCCTCGGTAAGGTAAATATGGGTTGTACCCGGGCGGATATTGGGGCCGTGGCCCTAGACCCGGATGCATTTGGTACATGGGCATATTCTGGCGGGGACCGTACGGAGAGTTGCCCGGTGGATACATCATCGCCCCCCTGTTTGGGAAAGAAAATATGTTTCAGTGATAACATTTTAATAAATGAGCAATGAAAATAATTTTATTTATTAAAAGAGCTTATTTGGCTTTTGATTTTTCAGATTTCTTGACGGTTACTTAAGCATCTATGGCGATCATTAGAATTTCTATATGAACTAAATTATGTCTTTTTCTAGCAGAAACTAGCATAAAGTCTATAGCTTATAATGTCAACGAAAACCTATATTTTTATAGGTAAATTGTTATAAACTAAGGTTGTAGCACCAATGACCGACAAGAACCAAAGATCGACACTTCTTTCTGTGATAAATGAAAACAAGAGCCGGCAACCGATTACTAAATTTGAAAACACTGGGCGCTCGTTGTTACCAAACTTAGCGATCGGCCACCCACTCCCATTTCCATTTACAACATTGAATAAAAATCTAATATATAAAATTCTCGTGTTGCGGTGTTTGTGGTTAAACTCCTCCAAAACGGCTTTCCCGATTCTCATGAAATTTTGTGTGAGAATCGGACAACATCCTTTTTTCATCCCACTAAATGTTAAGGGTAATCCACCCCTAAATTTTTTTATGATACAGCATTAGTAAATACATATATAACCCTGAATTTTCAACCCTTTACAATCAACCCCTATTTTTTTATGGCGATACGAAGTTCGCTGGGACAGCTAGCAATATTATAATAAGATTTATTGACGTTTACTTATATGTAGATAATTGAATAGAAAAAATTGCATGTTACATTTTTATGACTAAATAGGTTAAGATACCATTAAGATTAAATGTAACACCATAATTTGTACCTTATTTAACGCAAATAAAAAATTGAATTGTTCACAGAAAATGATGTCGATCACTGGGTCCTGTCAGTCATCGGTGCCATTACCTTAAATAGGTATCTAAAAGTGAAATGTTGGTTTTGTTAGTTACCGATACTGCTGGTTGATCATGTGCGGCATCCTGGTTATTATGCTGGGCTCCTCGGTGATGGGTTTGTATGGCTGAGGCGAACCCGCTACTGACAACGTGCCTACGTCAAAAATATTCAAATCAATTTACGCACTTTCACAAACTTACTAATGTATTTGTCTCAGAACAAAAGCTAAAGCATAGAAAGAGTTTAAATTCAACTCATAAAGTCGAACCATATAGTTATCTTTGACGACCTCCGTGATCGACTGGTTTGTATGCTGGGTTTAATGGTGTCGCCATCTCGAGAGGTCCCGGGTTCGAATCCCAGTGGGGGCAGAAGTTTGTCTGATGAATACGAGCATTTGTCTCCAGTCATGGATGTTTAATATGTATTTCTATATAAATATACTTATATATGTACTGTATATGTATTCTATCCGTTACCCTAGTATCCCATAACACAAGCCTTATAGTGCTTACTTTGGGGCTAGGCTAATTGGTGTGAGTGTTGGAAATATTTATTTATTATTTATTTATCTTATTTTTACATATACACCCAAAAGGGACAAATATATGTTGCTATGAACCATACTATGAACAGCGTGCGTACGTGCATGATACTTTACTCTTTCTATGCTTTAGCTTTGTATAGCTTGTTACGTCAAATTGGTCAAACCTTGGTTTACTGTACGATACTGAATCAAAAAGCAATCTAATGTCAAATGCAACCTGCCATTACGCCACTAATACTTTTTGGTTAGATAATACTTTGTTTGGAAATCATTTCGTTAATCTTTTATCTATGAAATTGTATGCTCAAACGTCATAGCATTACTTTAGCTTATGTTTTAGTTTATTTATAAAGTCATTTGATCTGTTTCCTCACCTTCCCGGAAAGCGTTCGGCGGCGGTTGTTCAAGTCGATGTGTGTTCTGCATGCGATCTTCTCCCGTGAGAACGCCGCGCAACTCCGCACGAACCTTATAAATTAACACAAAATTTTAATAGCATATTCCTAACATTACATACTTAAAGTCAGGCAATTTTAATAGGAGACATTTGACAATTCATTAAAATTCAACAACGTAACCTTGTAACGACCGGCATAAAATATATAAGCACTGCACAATAGAGTATTTGATAGTGTTAAAAATAAAGTGCCATTTGTTAGCATCTGTGTTTAGAATGAATATTGGCAGGGGTTTTTACTTCTTTTACAGAAAAAATATTCATAATTTTACTACAACTATAATTAAACTAACGTAAAAGATAATAGTTTTCTTATCTATTGTCACGTGACCCAAACCCGCTTGGGATTGGCGGAGCCTAAAATGACGTCACACGCAAGTAAACTTCCGTTTGAAGTGACATTACATTGTATCGTTTGACGTTTTAATATCAGTCGTGTGGCAGAGAAACGTTTTCGCGGCAACTTGAAAATGGAGTTTTTGATATGGTTATTTTTACTGAAATTTACAACAGAATGATGAATATCCACTTTTTACGGACTCTATAAACATTAGTCAATAACGTGAGATCGTTTTCTAAAACTTGTCAAATACCTTATTGCAGACTTTTTTTCAATTACGATTACATATTTATTGTAATAATGACCGTTAAAAGTAATTTTACGATTTGCTTTCACTACTAAACCATTCTAAACATAATAACATTTTTTTCTAAAGAACTGAACGTCGTTACAATGTTGCGTCGGTTAACCCTTTTTCTTTTTAAACACTGGGGATGTTACTCTAAAAATCGATAGCTGATAAGTTAAATCGAACACAATGATTACTTGTGAAGAAATATCACCATAAATGAATAAACACGTTGTGATTATTTATTATATATACGACGATTAGACGACCTCCGTGACCGAGTGTTTTGTACGTCGGGTTTCCAGGTGTCTCCTACTCGAGAGGTCCCGGGTTCGAACCCCCGTGTGGGCAGATGTTTGTGTGATGAATACGAGCATTAATACTCCAGTCATGGATGTTTAATATTTATTTCTATATACAGTAAAACCCGTTTAATACGATCCCTCGCATAATACGTCAGTCCCTGCAACTTGAGACATGTTTTCATACATTTCTTAACGCTTAATACGATTCGTCATCCCGTTTAATACGCCTAAATCGCCAACACGCAACACACATTACCTCTTGCGGCAGCGGCCAGCGATTGACGTGACAACTGTCGAGCGACGCAAGCTAAATCACCCCAGGGTTTTCCGGGATATTCTTCCTTAGATGACAATGTGGCATCGTATGAAATTTAATCAATTGAAGATCTTATTGAGAATGTGACACACAAGAAGACGGGATGGGCCTCCTACCCGCACCCCATTGGCGGATGCACTCACCAATTATGCCGCGTCCCTGATGCCCGTGTCGAATTTTCTCTATTATTTCATTTGTTCAAATTGACACGTTACATGGTGGCAGTAAAACTCAATGTCAAGTGCTTGAGAATAACGCACAATAGACACGCGATTGTGAGTCTACTTGTTTTCGTACGTCAATGCTATAAACTCTCTTACACGTGAGCTATATAATAGTGCTAGGCCGCACTACGGCGAAACCGCCGCGGTTTTATACCGCGTAGTTTTGTGAATCATGGGAGGTAATGCAAGCGGCCTCACCAGCGGTTTTTTCCCGCGACTGATTTTAAAACCGTGATTTGTTACAGAATGGCTCGCGGGTAAAAATCGCGCCAAAATTTGTAGTCCATACAATATATTTACGAAATTTGTGACGACGTTTTCTTTTTCTATTTCTTAGTATTAAAGCAACAATACATACAGCTTTCTTTAAATCCATCCTCAAACTGTGATAAATCGTGTCTAGTTTCGCGGCTTTTAATCGTAGTGTGTGTGCTTCGGGCGGTTTCGCGGTTTTGCGTTTTACCGCTTGCGGGAAAAAACCGTAGTGCGGCCTAGCACATATATATGGCGGCAGTTCCAATTTATCGTACTACCTTTTCCGTAATGTGGCATGGACAAAGAAATCCACAGAAACTAAATCGTCACTACAATGCCACGCCGCCGGCACTTCATATGGCTATTCGTGTTTGCTATATGTCATTTTTATGTTGTTGTTTGTTTTAATAATTCATGATCATGGATACAAGTCCTTCAGTCGTATACATAAATACAAAACCTTATCTTCATTTTTTATTTACATTAGAATGTCGGTGTGACGCATTCTAATGTTTCTTGGAGTGTTTGGAACGAAATGGACCGAGTTTAGTAGGTAGTCAACACTACTATAAAATTCTCACGTCCACTTGACCGGAATAGCGTATATTTTAAAGATTCCACTAATTCTTCATTTGCGCAGATAGTTGTAACACAAAATCACACCAATTTTATTTCACAATATCCACTATGAACGAATTTATGAATAAATAAAATAAGACGCCAACCGCACTCGATGAAATCTCGCCAAAAACTCTCATGTCATTTTTAAATCTGGCTGTCCCACAGAACATAGATAGAGGTTAGAAGGACCTTGTGGGCGGGGCAGGCTCGTCACACTTGTGTGAGCAAATGCTCATAAGTTGACCAAAATTTGGTTATGATTTGCGTCCTTGCTTTCGGGTGTGAACGCTGATTGGTTCGATTGTTTGATGTCGTGTCATTTGATTCGCTATTATGTATTCGGTGGAAGTGTAGTGGGTTCGAGAAGGCGACATCAGGTTCCCTTATAAAATGTCTATAATAACCCTTTCTGCGTTCTGTGGGTTGTCCTAATCATACTTCATAGGGACAGGAAAGAAAAACTACTTGTTGTTGACAAGTTAACAAATAGCAAATACGATAAACAATCTGAAATTCTGGCTGGCATCAAACTGAATTATAAATATAAAATTTTTGAAAATCGATAGTCTTGTAAGTTTTTTTCCCCGAATAAAATCAACCTGCTGCTTTGTGGAATTTAGTTATCAATAATTAATTTTGTTACATAAATTTCCGCGAATACAAAACAATCTAACTACTAACTAACCTGTAACCTAGGCGTATTTGGGAACCTCGGCTGCTCCTGAAATTCTCCTGGGTGAGCGACAGGAGCAGGGGAATTGCTGGGATACATTTGGGGCCTTTGCATATCCGGCGCCATCTGTCGGATGCCCACGGGATTATACCCCACATTTCCGCCCATGGGGAAGAAAGGCTTCTCTTTCTTCATTCTCTTGCTCTCTTGTAGAGCTATCCTCGCTTGCCTCTTCTCCTCTCGCTCTTTCGCCTTCTGCTCTTTCAGTTTTTCCTTCTCCTCTTTTTTCTGTAAGCGTTCCAGTCTTCGTGCCTCTTTTTCTGCTTGCTTCGCTTCGCGCTCTTGCCTCTTCTTCTCTCTTTCAACCTAAAGAAGTTATTGAAGTATGATCATCTTGTCCCGAACGAAACGGATGTAAAGAAAGGTTTATTTTTATAATTTTAACAAAAAATTATTACGCCGTTCCTTACCTGATTAGTAGGTACTGGCGGTGCGTCAGGTTTCAAGTCTGTGGGTCATAATAATAATATAATTAATATGCTGTCATGACCATACATTCAATCTACAGATTAACGTGCCTTCTGAGGCCCTAGCACGAATTTTGACAGTCAGTGCCTATGAAAACTATGCAGCGCCCCAATTATCGGACGTAAGAAACTAACTTTTTCCATAAAAAAAATAACGTTAACAATACGATTTCGGAAATGTCAAAATTATTGCTTGGACCTCTGAAAAGGAATAAGAGACATATTATGGCGCGTCTGATGGTAAGCGGAGGCCTTCCGAAGTCGATAACGAAGCTTAAGATATCGAAAATATAACTCGCATGGTGTTATAACTTGCGGATAGGATCAGCAGCACAGACAGATCGAAATAGATAACGCAGGTGAATATACTTCGCGTGCCAAAAAGGGAGGCCAACGGTCTTTCTTTTACGCCTTATTTATTTCTTCGCACATTATTGTGTTTCATTTTTCCAAAACTTTGATTTTCTTGCGGCATTGATTTTCCCTGGAGTCTCACTAGTACAAAAGACATATAGGCCAAATTTCGGCAAAATCGAAGAATATTTAGAGGTTGCACATGTTGGCCACTTTTTTTCTCGCAGTAGTGAAATACGCTATACTGAAACCACCTTATTAATAAACAGGACTAAGCTTAGACTATTTACACCGTGTTTTGTTCATATCACTCGAATCCCATTTGTCATTCGATGAACAGAGATAAAACAGAGTAACTAATACAAGTTTATTCTTCGTTTATATTATAATTATTTAGCATTAAAGTCAGGGGTCCTACTTATAAAATTATAAGATAGCAAACCATTCCTAGTTTATTTTAAGATGTTAATGTAGTAGTACTTGTAAGTTAAATAAATAGTTGATGACTAAACATTATTATTATTAATAATAAAGGGATATGGTTTTGCAATAATCTAATCTATGTTTAGAGTTCTAAAACGGTGGTGTAATTACACTGGACAACATGAAAATTGCCTTTTACTTGAAACTGCACTATATCTTTAGTATTTGACCCCCTGTATCTAAATATAGAACTTAAAATTAATAGTTAGCTCTTCAAATTCATTTATGCTATATTTACGATAATAACTGGTTAACTTGGTAGATGTCACTTTATATTTTAAAGTAGATTTACACACTAGTAAATACTATAAATTACAATATTTTTTAAAAGTAAGTGAGTATGTTGGAAAATAGTCAAAATTATCTCTTTTTCTTAATTTTATTGAATTTAATGAATACCTTCTATGATTGTTAATATTTTTTATGTATGACTTGCCGGCGTTTTGGATTATTCTGTAAGCCTGTATGTTTAACTTGAATAAATAAATAAATAATTAAATTACGCTTGTACATGCAGGTAACAAAACGCACCACACTACAGACTGGGTACGTTTTTTCATGCTGGCATACCAGTCGGAATGCAGTTATCTTATATACAGGATTCTCCAAATATAAAGATAAATATGACATTTTTTATGTTCGTTGTGACGATTATTTTAAATTATTTTCTTGAAATTTATTGATAAAGTGACTTTTTAATGTGCGTTTTATGTTTTCTTTATTCAGTATATTTTTTATTTCAATTGGTAACTTATTTACTAAATTTGGAAGATGACTTAGGTCAGTATTCCATGAAGCGTTCGCAGTGTAAGTACATACCTTTGATCTTGACGCCGACCAGTTTAGCGAGCGCATCGTCCGGGTCGAGCGGTCGCGGCGCCTGCTGGGGGCGGCTCCTCCCCCTCCCTCCCCTGCCCCGCCCGCGGCCCCTCCCCCGTCCGCTCCCACTAATACTGCCACTCCCGCTAACATTAGCACCACCGCTACTGCTGGTTCCCGCCAATTGTGCGTCTGCAGGTGAATGCAAACAGTTTGTTTGCGTTAGATAGCGTAGCAAAGTATAATGCGATTCAAATAAGAATAAGAAAGCCAATGACCTCTATGTGTCAAATGTCGTTTGAAAAGTACGGTTTGCAAAAAAAAAATTGGAACCCTTTTTTAGCACTCCGCTAATTCAAGAATAAAAACTAAACATTTGTAAACAAACAATAACAAATATTGATAGGTAATTAATATCGGTTGATATTTTTTTTCACTTACTAAGCTTTGGCATTGAATGGTTGATAACCTAAATCGTCAATCAAATGTCACTTTAAGTTGCGTTCAGAAACTCGATTTCAAACTTTCGTTTACTTAAAGCATGCATGTTCGTATGTGACCTAGTAATAGTACATGATTATTCATAACTACTCTGGCGGTAATGCAGAGATGAGCGGAATAGAAGAGCTAGATTCTGATTAATGTTTTTTCTCATAGTCTTAATAAATAAATATTATTAAAAATCGGGCTTTTTTTTCCTCAATCTTAGTAAATAAATGTTATTAAAAAAATCTGATGCTTTTTCTCACTTAATCTTAGTAAATAAGTTTTATTAAATAAAAAATTTTTTTTGCTCACTCTACCTATTTTATTCGACTCTAGCTAGGGTCCTAACACAGAAAAAGGTTAGAAGGTACCCTTTTGTACGGCCGGCTCGTCCCCACACCACTTCCACCTAATAAATCAAACTACGCGACATCAAACAATCGAACCAATCTGCGCTCACACCCGAGAGCAACGACGCAATCAGAACCAAGTTTTGGTCAAGTTATGAGCATTTGCTCACACATAACTGTGGCGCGCCTGCCCCGCCCACTAGGCCCTTCTAACCTCTTTCTGTTCTGTGGTCCTAGCCCTAGGACCAAGCCACACCCTCACCCGCTGTTCCTCCTGTTTGGAGTCCTAACTCCAGAGAGAAACACAGGAAGATCAGAGGGCGAGGATGAGGGGGTGGCTTGGCCCTAAAGTCTTCATAACACGGGACTAAAAATGCAGATGACAGTCGACCGGTGTCATCGGTACACGGGGCAAGTTCACAATTGCTAGCGAACTCGCTGGCTTGTAACTTGTAAACTCTGCCCGCATCAACGAGGCTTTGCACTAAAATTAGTGCCCACTACTGGTAGAGCTCGCCAACTGGTAGATGCAAACCAAATATTTGCATTCAATAGCGTTATATTGTTTTAAACTTTCATGGTCACTAACATTATAGTAATATAAGTTATAAAAGACTTCGTCGGAAGGTAGACCGATATGCCAATAACAGCCTACGCGCAATTACTTCAGTTACTCCGTGATCATGGCGCTTGCAACAGTGCCGAAATATCGGAAACTCGCTAAAAACAAGGTACATGGTAACAATCCCGTAAATAACTTATATTACTTCAATAGGGTTCTCCCAAATAAGTATTTGACTAATGCTTAGTACTTTTACTTTGACAAAAATAGGGAACCATTATAGCATCACTTTGTTGACCGTCTATAAAGAAATTCTTTTGTTTTTGGCCCGGTCCGAGTAAAATTTTAAACCGTCCATAATATAACAAAATTACTCACTAAGATGCGCCTGCAGTTCCTCCGTCTTCGCCTTGGTGACGTCTTCTGGAAGCTTCTCTAGCGGCACCACCACAGTCTTCTTGATGAGATCACAGAGCGCCTTCCGCCGTTCCTCGCTGGAATTCTCCGCCGCCTCTTCCTTGCGCCTCTTGGCTCGGTCCGAGTCGGAGTCAGAGTCGAGCTCCGAGTCGTTTGACACTTTGAACTCGTCCGAGCTGTCCGGCATGTGTTTACCGCTCGATTTATGCATCTCCTGTAACGAAGAATAGGTGTGAACTGGTTGAAATAAATATTTAAGGGAACAACATGATGCATGTGTTCGAATTAACTAGTATAAAATGCAGCTAAGTTCCATTAATAGGGTATTTGACAAGTTTTAGAAAACGATCTCACGTTATTGACTAATGTTTATGAAGTCCGTAAAAATTCATCATTCTGTTGTGTATTTCAGTAAAAATAACCAAATCAAAAAACTCCATTTTCAAGTTGCCGCGAAAACGTTTTTCTAGACAATATGGCGTCTTACTAGTGTGTGACGTCACTCAACTGTTATTAAAACGTCAAACGATACAATGTAATGTCACTTTAACCGGAAGTTTACTTGCGTGTGACGTCATTTTAGGCTCCGCCAATAATAATAATAATAAATATTTCCAACACTCACACCAATTAGCCTAGCCCCAAAGTAAGCACTATAAGGCTTGTGTTATGGGTACTAGGGTAACGGATAGAATACATATACAGTACATATATAAGTATATTTATATAGAAATACATATTAAACATCCATGACTGGAGTACAAATGCTCGTATTCATCACACAAACATCTGCCCCCACAGAGATTCGAACCCAAGCGTTTTGGGTCACGTGGCAATAGATAAGAAAACTGTAATTTTGTACGTGAGTTTTTAGTAATATTATGTAAATTTTTTTTGTAAAAAATGGTAAAAACCCCTGCCAATATTCATTCTAAACACAGATGCTAACAATTGGCACTTTATTTTTAATACTGTCAAATACCCTATTTACTCCCTACAAAAAACAATATTAAATCCCAGTTTTTTAAATAAAGTTTGGTTTGATAGAAAAAGGTTATTTTGTAGGGTTCAGGGCCCCAAAAGGAAAAATTAAGCTTGTATAGGATCACTTTATGGTTAATTTTCCTGTCTGTCAAAAGCCAGAGGTGTTTAGCCGAAATTAAAACCATATACCCTGAGTCTCCGGTTTCTACGGTCCCTTGGAAATATAAAAAAAATCAAGCTTCCAAGTTAACGTGAAAAAAGATACGGCCGTTTGTCTCAATAAATGAACGGAACCCCGTTGGGCGAGTGCGACTCGCAAAACAAAACAAGTGTTTTGTTTTTACAATATCTCTATATTACATATTCAATGATACATTAATGCTGGATATCATTCCAAAAAAGCAAATTCCAAGTATAATTTACCACAGCCACCCAAACTTGAGATAGTGCAGTTACGTAAAATAATTATCTTTGACCCTGGGTATCGAAGCCGGCATCTCAAATAAGAAAACGCAATATTATGACAACACCTACGAAGTTTATCAAATAGTTTGTGTATTCGCCAGTAATATTACTATGTATTTTTTTAACTAAATAAAATGGTGATTAAAATACAGTTTTCTCACTTATACTTCTAATATTAATATATCACTAAAATTATTTACATTAACAGCAATGGTGCTAACAATAAAACTAAACATCACTTCAAGCAGCAATATTGTCTTTTTACAAATATAATTGATCAGGCTAGGTAATTAGTTAAACAATTTATAACCGTAGGTAATTTATAAAACCTTAAAGATAAAAAATGGAGTTTCCAAGTAAACCCACTAATACAACCTTCATTTTTACGACATCAAAATCGATGTGACTATAGCATCTAGATTATCTTTAGTAATCACAAAATATAACATAATCGCACAAAAACAAAAATTGTTCCGAACGTTATGTTAAAATAACACAGACGACCGCCATTACTTTTAAAAAACAAATGTCAAATGAGCCATGTGAGTATTAAGTTTCCCGCGCTTACAAAGTGAACTGTGATTGGCTATTGCAATTTTAAAACAGGAACAGTTTAGAATTAAAAAAAAAACAATTCTTTGTAAGAACCTCCTTGGTAGTTTAATATATTTTTATAAAAGGGGAGCCTGTTCTAATGTTGGCCCTCTTGCATTTACACTAAAATAACAATAAAATAAGTATATAAATAGCAGCATTTTACCTGAAATAAAATGCATATTAAAATACTTACCTCACTGAAAGCTTTATATTGAGATAGCACTTCCGTTTCCCGTCGAATTACCATCAGTTTCCGTACTTTTATTCACCTTATATCCGGTCCAGTGGCGACACCTGGCAGAAGCGCGGCCATTTTTGTTTTCCTAAGTTTTGACAGCGCCATATTAACTCATTGGCTCAATTATTTCACCAGGCAGAATTTAAAGTGAAAGCTTTCAGTGAGGTAAGTATTTTAATATGCATTTTATTTCAGGTAAAATGCTGCTATTAAACTACTTGACCGTCACTGAAAGCTTTATATTGAGACCTGTTTGTTATCGCCTGGTGATCGCCACGTACATAGATATATACGCCAATGTGACAATTTATGATAAATTTAAATATTAACATTTATCAGATTATATGAAACTGTTTATAGAAACGAAAAAGCTTAAAAATGGATCAAATAACATTATTTGAATCCCGCCTTTAATTTCTTCACGCTTACGAAGCTGCTTTAACATATGTATTAGCTGATTGCTATATTCCTTTACTTAAACTTGCTTACTTAATTATATATATATTTGCTTTCTTAATGACCGGACGCTTCCTTGTGTAGCATTCATTTGTATCTTTGTTTATCACAAAAAGGCGTAGGAATGCTAGAAAAAGAAGTAAAGTTGTTCGATACTGAGTCTTACATTTTACAAGACTGTACTTTTTTCTTGAGTACCAAAAATCAGGGTCCTATTTACGATTACCAGTATTCGGTACATGTCACCAATCGGATTGTCTCTAACTACTTTCACCTGTTTTGAACCAAAACAAGGCTAAAACTAATCTTCGTCGGTACCAATACAATGATTCGGGTTAATTTGAAGTAGGAACAAGTCATGTGTACCACATGCTGAACCAAATAATACGCAGCATAATTACTGTATGATGTTCAGAACAACAACTAGTATGACGAGGTATTTGAAACAGATCATTATGATGTAAAGAGTACATTATTGAAGAAAAGGAAATAAGTTAACTTATAGATTCTCCAGAATAGTGGGTTACGGAACGATTCTTTAAAAACAATCAACTTCAATATATGTGTTTGCCAAGACAGGTGAGCTTAGGTAATTAGACTTATCATCCATTGGTATATCATCTAAAAACTACTGACTTATTTAAAATAATAGTACTTATTTTGAGATAAGTCACGTGTTAAAAATAAGTCTCAAAAATCGTGTTAGCTCAGATCCGAGTCCACAACCTGCGGGATTATTCCGATAAACATTCTTGTTCCTAGACCAATGCAACCACGCAAGCCAGCGTTTTCGAGCCATCTGATACAGACAGACAGAGCTGTCGCTCTTTGTAGAATATGATGAAAAGCGTAGTGCTAGCATATCTATATGATTGGAGTGGAGATTGAAGTGAAGTGGTAGAGCCGTGTTCTTCAATTATACTTCCCAAGCTTTCATATTAGATTGGCGGGAAGTGATTGCAAGGTCGATTGCAGTGAATACATAATTATTGTTAGAAGTAGGGAGTGGTTGATACAACCCCACGCAATGACAAAAATGTTAAAACCGATCAACTTCTGAAGTTTACTCTTTTACAACGAAATTCTCAGGTATAGTTTTTATATTGTTGCAGGGTTGCCGTGATAAATTATGCTATAACGAAGTTTAGACCAGATTTTATGAAATTCATTTGCCATCCTGGAATCTATAATTGATTATAATTTTTCCTTTTGTTTTTTCATTTCTTAGATCAAGGTCATTTATATGTATTAGTTAATACTTAATAAAGATTAAGTTATTTATAAGATTTACACAGCTTACTTGAGGTGTGCATGTAGTATGCGTAGGGTTTAAAGTATATTTATTCCAGACAGTCATGGCAAGGTGAGAAAGCGTAAGTTTAATATTAAGAACAGTTTTCAGTATTTTTTACTAAAAATAACATAAAGTGGATAATAATGCTCTTCAAAACCTTTCAAGAATTTGGTAGATCGTGCAATCTTTCTTCAGTACATAGCACCACTTATATATCAAAATGATCATGTTGACCATCTCAGACACCTCATACACGACATTTCCAATATTGCATGTTTGCTTTTGCATTTGGTTTGCTTTTGTTATTTTCAAGGCAAAATATGTTATCATCTATCTATCTGGCAGATAGTCCTTAAATAGCAGAAAACTTAGAATTCTTTACATTTTTATAGTGTACTGCACTTGAGATTGGAGTTTGATATATATTGGATTTAGATAAACAAGCTTTTGAATGGCATGCTATACCACCAAATTTATTTAAGAATTATTTGTGGTGCTCCCAATTTACCAATTCTCCTGCACTATATTTCAAACATTAATTGTTTCGACATTCCTTTTCCTTTTGAAATTATTACAGCACGTCCTTGATAACTATATTACGGTAGAACAACCGTAGTGATCGAGTCTACACTTCAGACCAATTAGCCTAGCCTCTTAATAGGCATTGAAAGGCTTGTGTTATGGGCTAACGCATAGAAATGCATAAGATGATGCATAGATTAGTATAATTATGAATAAATATGTGTTAACAACCAAGACTTAGGCACCGATGCTCGTTTTTATCATACAATGATTTGCCCCACCGGACCTCGGAGTATGCGACACCTTAAAAACCAGTGTACATTGCACTTCACAACGGGGTACATCAACATTCGATCTTCGATCTTTCTAGTCTATTAAGAGGGTAGTTTATAACCGATACTTATGTGTGTACGCAAGCCATGAGCGGCTATGTTGCGTTGCGTTGATGTATAGATTTCCACACGATGGAAGTAATGAATTATGTCAAGCGACATTTATTATATTTTCAAATTACTTATTTTTAATGTTTCGAATCGTTTGCACTTTTACAGACCCCATGGTCACAAAAATAAATTATGAATAACGAATAGACAATATGTTAAATTATGCATAATTTGCTCCACTCGAGTGTCGTATGTTACCGGTGCTTACATAATAGTACGAACTCCATAAGCGAACATGTCCTAAGGAGAACATATATTGAGCTTCACGTAATGGAAATAATATATTATGTGTGATATGACCCCACAAGGGCGATTATAAGATTGATGACGATATTCTTCCATCAACGATTTGTTACCGATACTTGTACGTGTAGGCCAGCCATGGAAAGAATGTCCTTATTCATAAAAAGTTCCATGCGGTGGAAGCAAATTATACATAATATACCCCCGCGAGGGGCGGTCATTAGAGTTTTGGTAATATGTACCCCGCGAGGGTGGTTTGCTACCGGTACTCGTATATGTAGGCAAGGCATTAGAGGCATTTCATAAGGTTCCACCTAGTGGAAACAAATTGTATATAATATGCACCCCGCGAGGGTGATTTGTTACCGGTACTCGTATATGTAGGCAAGGCATTAGAGGCATTTCATAAGATTTCACGTAGTGGAAACAAATTATATATAATATGCACCCCGCGAGGGTGATTTGCCACCGGTACTCATATGTGTAGGTACGCCATGGGAGGGCATGTCCTGACACGACTTGGGCTTCATGAGATGAAGCTTATTATGAGCTAAGCTATCACTTGCCTCTGCGCGAGTTGCTCATTAGGTTGATGAAATGTCAATCACTTACATCCATGACAAAATATAATTATAAGTATAACTTTATACGAGAAAAACAACCTCAAAAGCTCTGAATCATTATGTGGTGATTGGATGGTGGTGCTTCATCACAGAGATCACTAACTTCTTAAGCAGTGCTTTAGTTTTTTCTTTTTAGCTTTGTGCCCTCACTAGCTGTAAAATACCTCAGAAACGATTCTGTTATCTTATCACTTTCGTTAATAAAATTAACAGAGCAGGTGCCTTCCCGCAATGATTAATTTTTATTTTAAAATATGCGTTTGCTGAAAGAAAATTATTGTCAGGAACGAGATATATTATAAATTATCATCATACTTCTTTACCTCATTGTTTGTTTCCAGGTTGATAAAGCCTGGACTATGATTATATTTTTCAATTTACATCAGCATATCATTTAAAATAAACGTTGAATGCCTTTCGAACAGAGCCTTCCTTTATCCTAGTTTAGTCACACGACTCACATAAGTATATTTATAACGTGTATTGGTCAGTAAAATGTTAGAACTTTTTATTCATAAGCCTTTTGATATTGATAGCTGGCCATGTTCAGAAAACGGCACATCGACATTACACATACCTTATTAAGATTGTACATAGTTCACTTACCCCTCGAACAATCTTTTAATAAAAGGGCTACTTTTCTTAAGGCAGCGATGCCGCTTTCGTTATACCAGAAGACGACAAATTCAAACAATTATTACTGCAGCTGCTCGAAGAACAATTATGACTAGATCCACACATATTGCTGCTTTTGCCATTAATGCTAGTCAGTCGGCGGCTGAAATGTCAATATTGACCGATGTCCTTCACTCTAAACTGTAAAATAATTTAATTAAGTATTTTGTAATACATTTACCAATTTACTTTTACACTTACTTATACGGAAACATTAATTGAGTACCAAGAGAAAACACTCTTAAAATAGTTTAATTATAAACGACCAAGAAGGTCGTAAAGTATTGCAAAATTTACTTTAATGTAGGTACTTTAATTTTTTAAACAAAAACGCACCTTGAAACACCGTCCAGTTTTACTCACGGCTTATTATTATTTTTAAAACAAAGGTGTTGCACAATTTAACATATTTGTTTGAAATATGTTAAATATTATTATATATATTTTATATTTTTTATATTTTATCACAAGGGCTGCAAAAACTATCAAAAAGAATAATAATTTTACTTACGGTTCCTTCACTTTTAATACGTAAAGTACCTATTTGGAATAACACGAACGGCAAAAACCGTTAAATAAAATAGTTTTACTTACAGTTTTATCACTTAATAATAATAAAACCTTTAAAATCTCACAACGATCGCTCAGATTGAGCGCGTGTTGCTTCGACGGGAGTCAGAACGCCAATGAGTTAATATGGCGCTGTCAAAACTTAGGAAAACAAAAATGGCCGCGCTTCTGCCAGGTGTCGCCACTGGACCGGATATAAGGTGAATAAAAGTACGGAAACTGATGGTAATTCGACGGGAAACGGAAGTGCTATCTCAATATAAAGCTTTCAGTGACGGTCAAGTAGTTTAATAAAATACTTAGGTAACAGAAATCTTTTTATTATTTTTTAATGACGATTCTTCAATCTTCAGTTGAAATTTCGTGTTCTACAAAATGTATCTTTTTTTTAAAGTTTGATTGTCGCCGGTTCGCACATGCTACGAAAAGGCAACTTTAACGAAGTCATTAAGGGATAGGTGTTTTTAAACACTTTTTTTTTCTAACTTAATGTGTAATTTTATCGGCGTAATTAGTCAAATATAACTACTGCATAGATGAAAATTGTATTGTAGCAGAATTTCATCCAAAATTCAACAAAACATCAAAGTGTAATTGGGTTTTGAAATCACGACATAAATATTTAAAACTGAATTTGTCAAACCACTGAGGTTATTACTGAAATATCTTGGCGATATAGGTGTAAATTGGCATGGAATATGTAGACGGTACGCGCGTATGCTGGCACGACGACGACGTCGCTCACGAGACGCTAGTGTGTGGGGTTACACTTAGTAGAGTTAATGATTATTAAATATGTTTATGAAGTTCAAGTGTTTTTTAATTTGATGTAATTGAAGAGTCTGTCAAGACACATTCACAGGTTTAATAAATAGAGTATTTGACAAGTTTTAGAAAACGATCTCACGTTATTGACTAATGTTTATGGAGTCCGTAAAAAGTGGATATTCATCATTCTGTTGCGTATTTCAGTAAAAATAACCAAATCAAAAACTCCATTTTCAAGTTGCCGCGAAAACGTTTTTGTGGACAATATGGCGTCATACTAGTGCGTGACGTCACACGACTGTTATTAAAACGTCAAACGATACAATGTAATGTCACTTTAACCGGAAGTTTACTTGCGTGTGACGTCATTTTAGGTTCCGCCAATCCCAAACGTTTTGGGTCACGTGACAATAGATAAGAAAACTATTATCTGTTTCGTGGGTTTTTAGTAAAATTATGAATATTTTTTTTGTAAAAATAGTAAAAACCCCTGCCAACATTCATTTTAAACTCAGATGCTAATAATTGGCACTTTATTTTTAATACTGTCAAATACCTTATTAAAAAAAATATAAATTAAGGTTTTTTTGTGGTATTTAATAATAATACTCACATCTTCGGACTCGGTGTCGGGCAACTTCGTGTAGCCGATCTTCCACTGCCTGGTGCGGTGTTTGGGGGACCAGTCGTTGGGTTCCGGCGTTAGGGATCCGTAGGTGAATCGGATCACGTTTGTTAAAGCGTCATACTGAGTGAGCTCACTATCTAATATATAAAATTCTCGTGTCGTGCCGTGTGTCCGAAACTACTCGACCGATTTTCGTGAAATTTATATGCATATTCAGTAGGTCTGAGAATCGGACAACATCTATTTTTCATTCCCCTAAATGTTATGGGTGGTCCAACCTTAATTTTTTTTTGATTTTTTTTTGTTTTATATTTTTGTGTGATACATCATACAAAAATACATACAACCCTAAATTTTCACCCTTCTACCACCAACCCCTATTTTTTAAGCCGGTACGAAGTTCGGCGGGGACAGCTAGTATTATTATACTTACATCTTCAGACTCTGTATTGGGCATCTCCGTGTAGTCGATCTTCTTCTGCCTGGTGCGGTGTTTTGGTGACCAGTCGTTGGGTTCCGGCGTTAGGGATCCGTAGGTGACTCGCGATCGTATCACGTTTCCCATCGCATCGTACTGAGTGAGGCCGGAGCGTTTGCGAGACTTCTTGGACGATTTCTCTCGCCGCTTGGGTGGTTTCGATTTTCTAGTTGGGTAAATGAGATATTTTTTTTAATTTTAACTTCGTCAAATCGTTTGATACAAACATAATGTGTAACAATAATTAATTGTTGTTTAATCCGTGGATCATGTTATCCATCGTTTTCCGCTGTCTTTTTCATCTTAATTAATTACTACCTATAGCGTGTACTTTAAATAGTGTGTAATATATTATTATATATTCACACGAAAAGCAGTTGATTAATTTATGTTGAAAACAATTTATTAGTTAAAATTAAATAATTGAATTTTAATTATATGATATTTTTATCACATAATTTTACTGGTTGAAAATATTTTTGTTCAAATGCAATATCTGAATATTTTCCAAGTTTTTTTTTCAAGTTGATTAATTGGTCAATATTTTTATTAGTTTGGTCTATGATTGAAATTAATCATTACGATAATTTTATAGTCATATAGATATAGTCGGGTATCTTCATCTATATTATTACACTCGAGTTGAAAACAACATGAATATAATGTTTTTTTTTTATTCGGTATTTATTAGCTTAATTTAATGGTTGATAAATATATTCAACTATACTAGTACAGAAAAACAACTTACTTGGATTTCTTGTGGGACCACTCCTTCGTGCCTCCAGACTCACTGGATGTGTCATCAAGCACGCCTTTCTTCTTCTTTTTCACTTCGGGCGAAGACTCCCTCAATTTAGGTCGATCTATGAAAGGATAAAAGCAATATACAATGGTGGTCACATAATTAAAGACTAACTGACCACAAAAAACTTACTTATGGTACTAAAATTAGCTAAAAATGGTACTTAATCTAGTGTAATTGTTATTATAGTATACATGACGTTGTATTTTTACAATGTGGGACAAAAAATAGTTGTGTTCGTTAGTAGTTTAGACACTGTTCACTATGGGAACATAACACAAACTTTCATAACGTACTTGTAGCTGGCCAGCTAATTAAAAACAGTAAAAGCTGTGTTCTGAATTTAAAAAAATTAAGAAAAAACTGCATTCTGTTTTTCTTTGTTTTGCCACGTATTTTAATGAAACGTCGATTTTGCATATAAAATCTATTTTTTTAATTAAAATTAATACGTTATAAACCCAGGAATACGGGAAAAAGCAAGAGTTGCAATTCGTCCACTAGGAAGATTATTTTCAACTTTCATAATAAAGATTGGTCATATAGAAAAATAGCAAACCACTTGAACTCTTCTAAGGACATGATTATGAATGCTATTAAACATTTCAAGAAGTTCAACACGACCGAAAGCGTACAAAGAAAACCGAGACCAAGAAAAACTACTCTGCGAGAAGACTCTAAGATGGTGTTGTTGGCAAAAAAAGATCCGTTCAAGGGATCAGAACTGATACGTTCGGAGTTGTATGGTGCAGGAGGGTTGAAGGGTGTGTCTGCAAGAACAATTAGACGGAGACTATGTGAGGCAAACCTTGTACGGAAGAGTGTCTCAGAAGGTGCCACTTTTGAAAAAGCAAAATGTTAAAGCAAGATTAGCATTTGCTAAAAAATATGTACACTGGACTGAACGAGAATGGAAACATGTGCTTTTCTCTGATGAAACACAAATTAATATAATTCTGACGGAAAACAATATGTTAGACGCCCCCGAACAAAGAAATGGATCCAAAGTATACCAAGAAAGTAGTTAAATATGGGGGCGGAAATATCGAAGTTTGGGGCTTTTTCTCAGGACTTGGTGTTGGACCTGTGAGGAAAATAGAAGGCAACATGGATAAAATTCAGTACAAGAATATTTTAGAACAAACCATGCTGCTCTATGCCGAGCAAAATTTACCGGTCATTTGGACTTTCCAACAGGATAATCATCCGAAACACACTGCAAAAGTAATAAAAGACTTTTTAAGGAACCATTCTGTGACAGTTTTGGATTGGCCCCAGTACAGTCCTGATTTAATCCCAATAGAAAATTTGTGGTACCAGGTGAAGAAGACAGTGGCGACAAAACGGACATCAAACATCGATCAACTTTACACAGCTTTTAGAGAAGCTTGGAAGCAAATTCCGGCGGAAGCTTGTAAAAAATTTATCGCTTCCATGCCCAAGCGATGTCGTGCTGTCATTTCTGCCAAAGGACATGCGACCAAATATTGATACATACCGGAAAGTTTATAAATGTGTTAGGAATATTGTGTAATAAAGATAATTTTAATAATAACAATATTTTTTTCTATTTCTTCTAAGCAAATCGAGTATCTTTAATTAGCTGGCCAGCTATAAATACGTTAAAAAAGTTTGTGTTACGTTCACATAGTAAGCAGTGTCTACACTACTAACGAACATAACTATTTTTGTCCCACATTGTACGAATACAACATCGTGTATGAAGATTAAATACCAATTTTAGCTAGTTAGTACCATAAGTAAGTTTTTGGCTGTTAATTAGGGGGTGTCTTTAATTAAGTGACCACCACTGTATGAAGAGCTGGCGAACAAAACGTTACATAAAATTAAATTTTACAGGAGCTGTATAAAACTGAATGACATACCTACAGTGAGGTTTTGGCATGGTTTTTAATTAAAAATTATTTGAGATTCATATTCAAAGGGCCCGAAACCTCCGGACTGTAAAAAAAAGTAGTTTGACCAGATGCGTAATTATACCGTTTTGTTCGCCAGCTCCTTATATATAAAATTACTTGTTCGTTAACTTCTTGAGCAAAATCACAGACAAGTAGAAGTTTTTTAGATGTAAAATTGCTATCAATCTAAATTTATGCGCAGGCTTCTTTGTCTATGGATGATACTAAGAAGTTTGTTAGTATTTGTACCCCATTAAAGTGTTTAACCCATAGTTCAATTAAAATAAGGGTGTTTACTATACCATTATAAAAACTGTTATTTATAGTACAAATAATTCCATTAAGTATTTTTTTAAATTTAAACTATATCTATACAGAAGCTTCGATAAGGTATAATTAAAAACAGGTGAAGGATACCGGCAAACGAAAAACGCAGTTCCGGAGGCAAACAAGAGACTTGCCCGCACCCTTACCAGACTTAATAGGGACAAATTCCGCATAGTTATGGGAACCCTGACTGGTCATTGTCCCCTGAACAAGCACCTATACACATTAGGAGTAAAAGACAGCCCCCTATGCAGAGGATGTATGGAGGCAGAGGAAACGCCACAACATGTCATTATGGAATGCAGGAGTGTGGCCGACCAACGGGCACGACTTCTCCAGTCACCCGCATCGCTTCCGGAAGCTTGCAGCAGTCTGTCAAGACTGCTTTCCTTCTGGACTAACCTAGGCTGGCTGGAGTAAACGGGAATGTTTCAAGACACGCACAATGGTCCAATGATTAGGACTAAGTGCGGAAACCGCCCTGAAAAACTAACTAAGGTATAATTTTATCGTACCTTTCCTATCCGTTCTGCCGGTCCGCCTTATGGGCAACGAGTCAGAAGAGTGAGATTCATTCGAACTGTCGCGCTCCGCTGAAGACGATATGTCTTCCGATGACGTTTCTAACCTATAACCACAAACATACACACATAAAACTATTATGTAACATTTATTTGATTAAAAGAGCCATAACAAGAACACAACTAAGGTTAATATTAATTGATTCGTAAATTATGTATTTGCAACAGATAGTCACTTTAAAATAGCTCAGACATATATTAACAGTAGTTTAATATTATTTGTAAGTTTATAAAAATAGTATTATTTTAATACTAGCGGCCCGCCCTCGCTTCACTTCGGTGTAGAGCTGAAGTGTAGACTACAGTTTTTGTTCTCAGGCTTGTATTATACACAATGACATTCATCTATGATTCTTCTTATACCTGCATGCAAAGTCTCAGCCCGGTCGGTTTAAAATTGACAAAGTTTTATACAAACTTTCATTCCCTATTTTATCCCCTTGGGGGTAGAATTGATCAAAATCCTTTCTTAGCGGATGCCTACGTCATAACATCTACCTGCATGCCAAATTTCAGCCCGATCCGTCCAGTGGTTTGGGCTGTGCGTTGATAGATCACTATGTCAGTCAGTCAGTCACCTTTGAGTTTTATATATATATATAGAAGATATTGATTGATACTGTAAGGAAAACGAGCGTTGGCTTGCCAACAATTATGCTTATAAGGAATGAAAAGGACAGACTGATGTCAAGTTTACAAATAGCAAATAGGAATAGCCATGTGAAGTGAATAGCGAGTAATCGGTATCATTGCTGAACAAAGATCCATTGCCGCCGTTGGCTGAAGTTCATCAAAAGTCCTGGCTTTTATTTTATTTAGTTAAACAAGACTTACAAAACACATGCTTTATAATGCCTTTCAACCTATAGCATAATATTTTACTGAATGAAAGAATGATTTATTTTTCTCACACAAATTATAATTAAGTAAAAGGGCATTGAATGACAATTACAGTAAAAACAATGCAGTTCTTCGCTAGAGCTGGAGATTGTAATAGGTTACAAAAACCTGTGTTTCTACCCCAGGCTCAATAACGCAAACACGAATAGTCACGTGCAAGGGTAGCATGATAGTTTTTCTAGTATAAATACATATTGGGCTGGGCTGTGGGGATCTGGTGACCTGTAAAATGGATTTCAACCTTACTTCAGACCCGGGTCTCCATAATAGGGGTGATGACGGGGTACAGTAAACGAAATTGTATTTAGTCCGTCAGTTAGATGATCAAAAAATATTTTTTCTTTGGGCAATTAACCAAAAAATGACAAAGTTATAGCGCGTCAAAGTTTGGGAGTAGGGGCTCGTGACGTCACTTTTAAATGAAAATTGTACCAAAACGTGACGTCATGCGACTTTTCAAATCAATATATCTCTGCATGTTTTTATAATATGTGAAAAAAGAAAAAATACTTGTCGAATACTTTTTGATAATCTACCTGATAAATGAAGAAAAAAAAAACATCATCCCTATTTAACCAAATCGCCAAATATTATATTACTAATATTGTACCTACTATTTTGCTAAGCACAAAACTGGTTATGGGGAAATTAATTCAGATTTGTTATCATATTATTATTTATATATACTAGCGGCCGCCCGCGACTTCGTACGCGTGGAGTTAGTTATTCGCACATACTTTTGGACCCCAAAAGGGGGTTTATTTCTAAAGATACATTATTAGTACACCTCTACGGCATCTATAGAGCATACATGTTAAATTTCAAGTGTCTTACTTTAAAACATAGGACTTTCATAAAACTTCCAACCCCCGTACTACCCCCCACCCCCTCAGGGGTGGAGTTTCGTGATAATATGTTGACCCGACTTCTTAATAATATTCTTGCCAAATTTGAAGTAAATCCATGCAGTACTTTTTGAGTTTATCCCGGACATACATACAGACAAACAGACAAAAATTCTAAAAACTATATTTTTGGCTTTGGTATCGATTGTAGATCACACCCCAAGTATTCCTTTAAAAAAAATATTTAATGTTCCGTTTTGACTTTCCTACCATTTTATTATATGTATAGATAATATAAAAACGGTACCCTGTGTCCTTGAAGTCTTCGTCCGTCTCGTCGTCATCCTCGGAGGGCACTTCTAAGGAGTTGAGTTTGCGCGGTTTGCGACGAGTCTTCTTGCGGAATTTCTTCACTTCGATTGGTATTCCCTTAACAATGGATAATGTTTTAATGATGTGTTCGTGGGTGCTTAAGTGTTATATCTCTTATCTATTAGACAAGTCCGTCCGTCCGTCCGTCTGTGGTGCTGTTTCAGCGGCAAAACCGTAAGAGATAGATAAAGAGAATGTTTAAGTTATAAGTTAAGAATAGTCTGATAAGACTACAAACCGGATTTGAGTAACGTAGCACTTCCGGTTTTCGAGAAATCACGAATTTCAAACGAAACCACACAAAATCTCCGAAGTTCTCAATTAATTAAATACATTTTTTTTAAATCAGGTTTTGGTGAACATTTGGTTCACTGGTTTGCTAGTTGTTAAATAAAGAAATAAAAATCGAATGCATCTCACGGCCATACGTCATATCCGTTTTCCCGGTAAAAATATGGTAGCATACCAGTACAATATGGAGTCGGATTCGTGACGTCATTACCACTGGCCAGTATACTGATGTATATTTCCGAATACACCCTTAGTCTGTTCCAAACGAATTTAGCCCAAAAGTAAACAAAGAGGTAGGTCAGTCTGACCATAGATTGTTTAGTGATGGGGATTCATAAAGATAAAAATCTTAGTGGTGAAACCGAAATTATTGTAAAATTACATATGCTAAAGTTATTTTACAGGAATTTCAATTAAATTTAATTTGAAATTACATTTTTAAGTTAAATTTACCATAACAATGATAAAAAGTAGATAAAATATTTTTTAATGCTTTAATCATGTGTCAATGATTTTTAGCCTATCCGCCTTCAAAAGCCAATTAGAACAAAAATAGGCTGATTATGTCCATTTTTTTTATGATTTTTGGAAGTTTAGAAGCATGCGGAGTTTTAATTTTAGCGAGAACCTACGGAAACTCCTTTTTGTACTTTTAAATTGCAGTTGAATGTTTGAGTAAATCCTACTAAAAACTAAAGTTCCAACTTTCAAGCCTGTTTTGAGTAAATTCAAGTAATTGCAGGAAGATGAGTAATTTTTGGAACGAAGTTCCTTACGGCAGGCTTGGAGGGGATAGGGATTTTGCTGCGCGACCGAACTGAAAAAAATGTGATAGTAAAACCGTAAGAAAAAATCCGTGGAGAAAAGTGCGTGGAATAAAACCGTTAAATGAGACGTGCGCAGGCGCGACAGTCGCATACACAAGCGAGTTTGCAATTTGTGTCGATTCTACATTAGCCGAAGGAACTTCGTTCCTACCTGGTGTCCCACGACACCACATCATTTCTTTTTTTATTAAAACTACATTCAAGACAATTATGTCGCAAAAAAAAAGACTGCAAAATAACTACTACGAAAAAAGATAAAGAATTTTTGAAACCTCGCTGGCAGAAATCATTAAAAATATACAAAAAAAAATATTACTCGAAAACTAAGAAAAATCGCGGAACATAAATGGGGTGTTTTCGGATACCCCCAGGTGCGAGGAATCTAAAAAAATATTGTTGACGTCACTAGTTGGACCATCCTGTATATGTGTCCCTAATTTGGTCTTTAATATGTAAAAATAACTATATGATTCGACTTTATGATTTGAATTTAAACCCTTTCTCTGCTTTACTTTTTGTTCCGAGCTTTATCATATCGCGTTTTGGTGGTGAAGCTAGAGACAATGGAACGAGTGATAGTTTTTTCTAAAAAACCTTTAGTTCAGGCTTCACTCAGTAACAGTATAATGTTTTTAATCTAAAGAAAATATAACTAGAAAACAATCCACGCGGACCAGGCAGCAGACGGGAATTAAACCCGCACCCTTCGCTATCCGGGCCAATGCACTGACCGTCTGCTGTCTGGTCCGCGTGGGATTTTGTTCTAGTAATATTTTCTTGAGATTTAAAACATCGAGCAGTTACATACTTAAAAAATAAAATTTATAAGTATGATGTTGTTAACTCACCTGTTCCTGAGCCTCCCTTTCCGCTTCCCTCTGCTCCTCTTCAGCCGCCTCGATGATGGTGGAAATGTCTTTCCCCCGCCCTTGATTGCCCGCACTAGTTGTAGGTTCCACGTATTCCTCCTATGTAATAAATCATCATCATCATCAGCCTAATAATGTCCACACTGCTGGGGCATAGAACTTCCCATGGATGAAAAAGGAAGATTGGGCCATGACCATGACCCACAACGCGGACACAGTGCGGATTGGCGGGTGCTAACGACTGCAGATGCAGCCGGAACCAACGGCTTAACGTGCCTTCCGAAGCACAGAGGAACTCGAGATAGAAGATTTTTGGTCACCCATCCAATGACCGACCACTGCGAAAGTTGCTTAACTTCAACGATCGCAGTCGAACGCGCTTACAACCTGCGCCATCGAGAAATTCCTAAATTAAGGAATTTAGTTATCAATAATTAATTAGGATTCATAAAGGACAATGGGCAAAACATAACCCAGCTCCACCAGCAATGCGGATTGGTGGGTGCTAACCATAGATAACAGAAAGAGGTTAGAGGCGTGATCATAGACCATTTGTACGGGAACCGATGTCGCCGGCTTGCCCCCCTACAATTCCACCTAATAGATAATAGCCAATCAAACGACGCGACATCAAATAATGTCTATAAAACACGAAAAATAGTACTTATTTTTTTACTTCTTAGTTCATTTTTTTATCGGCAGTCGTGTTATTTTTTTTACTACGTTTATTTATAACTAGCTGCTGTTGCCCACGATTTCACCTGCGTGTAATTTGTTTAAAGGAGGACTTTATTTATAGATATTCACGTGGCGCGGTAAATAAAATAGGCACCTATTCATTCAAATCCTTCCAGCCGTTTAGTAGGAGAGGTAACATGCACTTACATACTTTTGCATTTACAACATGATGCGTATTGATCCCACGAATATTAGTAAAATCTGAATGTTAAAAATCACTTTTATAGAATATCGAAATATCGTCACAAAATTACTTGTGTTTATAAGGATATCGATATACAATGGGACAGCCTTGGGGCGTCACTATGTGAAGGCGCCATTTTTGTTTCCTAGGAACTTTAGGTATACACGTCTTTTTCGTAGGTTTTAGTACTCAGAGATAATAAATAAATATTTCCAACACTCACACCAATTAGCCTAGCCCCAAAGCAAGCAATGTAGGCTTGTGTTATGGGATACTAGGGTTCTATCCGTTATAGAATACATATACTGTACATATATAAGTATATTTATTTAGAAATACATATTAAACATCCATGACTGGAGTACAAATGCTCGTGATCATCACACATCGTGGACCTCTCGAGTCGGCGACACCCTGAAACCCGGCGTACAAACCACTCGGCCACGGAGGTCGTCAAATAGTAAAGATAGTAGGAAACAATAATAAATTAACATTCTTCCCTACCTTAATAGCAGAGCTGATGAGACGATCGTATTCCTGGGCATGGTAGCTGACTGGTAGCGCTCGCCTCGCTCGCAAGCGATACACGGCGCCTTCCGATTGAGAGGACCAAGCACTACTGCCGCTACTGTCTGAAATTGAATCAAATCATACTTTATTCACCTTTTAGCCAAAGTTCCGAAGAGAGAAATTAAAAAGTTTAAGTTAAAAAAGTGAAACTTTTATTACACCACTACAACTTTTTGAGGTGAAACTTCTTTACGGACGGGATGTAAATGGAAAAATTCTATGGAAAAGATGAAATGGAAATGCGTCACGAGCGCCACACGACTATATATATGTATGTGTGTGGGATGCGTGCGCAGCTCATTCCGACGAGCATGAAAGTTGGAGGATGAAGGACGAAGGCTGAAACGCGAGCGTCACACGCGACAATATACAGAATGATACAAAAATACAAATAAAGCTTGAAGGGCGTTGAAGTACATCATATAAGGAGTCTTCTCTAATTTTCTTAAAATACTTGCATGAAGTTTTAACTTTTTATAAAAACAGTTATTTTTAATGATTAATAAAAATATCGATTATTTTAAGACACGTCACTATTTCGAGGATCATTAAAAACAACTGTTTTTATAAAAAGTTAAAACTTCATGCAAATATTTTAAGAAAATTAGAGAAGACTCCTTGTATGATGTACTTCAACGCTCTTCAAGCTGTATCTGTATTTTTGTAACACCTGTATATGTATACATATATATGAGTGATGTGTGCGCTGCTCCATTCCCCTATCATAATCGTCGTGTTCAAGCACTTCTTGATTGGGACACATTTTGAGCGCTCGTGGTGTATCTAGGGTATTTAATATCGTCGTTTTATGCATACCAATAATTTAAAAAAAAAACCTTTTTGTAGGAGTATAATGAATTTTCATAAAGTTTTGGACCCTATAAAGGTACAGCGGTCACAAGATAGGCTTCTTCGAACGGAATGTGTAAATAATATTACAGGAAATGTAATAGAAACGTGACTCTACCGTTCAGAAAGAATTTTATTAAATAGGGTATTTGACAAGTTTTAGAAAACGATCTCACGTTATTGACTAATGTTTATGGAGTCCGTAAAAAGTGGATGTTCATCATTCTGTTGCGTATTTCAGTAAAAATAACCAAACCCAGAACTCCATTTTCAAGTTGCCGCGAATACGTTTCTCTGGACAATATGGCGTCTTACTAGTGTGTGACGACACACGATTGTTATTAAAACGTCAAACGATACAATGTTATGTCACTTTTACCGGAAGTTTACTTGCGTGTGACGTCATTTTAGCTCCGCCAATCCCAAGTTTTGGGTCACGTGACAATAGATAAGAAAACTATTCTTTTTCGTGGGTTTTTAGTAAAATTATGAATATTTTTTTTTGTAAAAATAGTAAAATCCCCTGCTAATAATAATTCTAAACAATCTGTGTTTGTGCTAACAACTGGTACTTTATTTTTAATACTGTCAAATACCCTAATGAACTTCATTCAAATTGACTGTGAGAGAAAAACAAATGAAAAGCTCTTCTGAATCGTCCAATTTTTTTATACAACTTTCAGGATGTTTAGCTGATAAGAAGATTTTTTCCCTCCACCTGTCCAATTCATTACGTCTTTTAACTGATGATAAGTAGAACAGGCACAAGAAACTAAAATAGAGATTTGGTGGCTAATTCTTTTGTCGTACTATTTGCAAATAGAACTCTTTGTAATTATAAAATTACAGATATACTCAATCATCTCGATCAATATTATGTATTAATATGGACTCTCTATTATAAATTGACGAACATTAGAAATAATATGAACATAAATCGAAGATAAGTAAAGAGTAAAAAACCCCGCATTTTTTATAATCTAAAAATTCCTAAAAGACTGTTAATTAACAAAGAAAAAAAAAGACTTATACAAATTGATTGTTATTAATTTCAAGCAATTAACTCACCAGACTCGGAACCATCTTCTTTGTCCTTCTCCGGCTTCTCTTCCTCGGTGGGCGGGTCCGGCTCCTCTTCCTTCTTCCGCGCTCGCTCTTCCTCCACTCGCACCACGAGTTCATCGTACTTAGTGAGTTCTTTTTCTAGAGATTCTATTAACATATCCTGTGAACCAATGTTCAATACATATAATTTCTAAAACAATTTTTTTATTGGGTCAGGTAAGATTTGTAGATCAGTCGATATAGTTCTCGACGCAGCGCCGTACCATTAAAACAAACGTCAATCTATACAATATAATGTCACTTCGACCGGAAGCAGTGCTGCCATATCTACCAAGTTTTTGGTAGATCTACCAATTTTCACTTCAGTCTACCTATCTACCACCCTACACCTAAAAACTACCTATTTTTTAATTATTTTGACATATCACCACTTTGAATTATTTTTATATCGACGAACGACGTTGCGATGTATTGCGTGAGCCATGCAACGATGCGTCAAGCATACATAGAGTCCAGGCTATAAACCACAAAAAAAAGCAACAGTTCGCCATGAATTCGGCGTTCGCACCATTTCGCGCCCATATTTTACTATTCCTACTATGGCCTATTCCCGGTTGGCTTGTTGCGGAATTAATGTTGAATCTTTGCTCCTGTTTTATTGCAAAAACTAATTAACTGCGTATTAACGGTGCTCATTGCTGTTTGTTCTATGTTGCGTGCATTTCTTTATATAATGGATTCTGACAGCAGCGAAAGCGATGCATATAGTTCTAGGTTAGGAACTTCGCCACGAAAACCTAGAAAAAGGCACTATGACCAAAAATATTCGAAATTATGGGAGAAAGACAAGGAATTTGCAGGTTGGCTTTAAGAAATTACTAAGGGTGACGGACATTTTTATTGCAAATCATGTAGGTGTGATCTGAAGTGTGCTCTGCATTGCATTGCATGTATTTTTAATCTTAAAAAATCTTCTAAATTGAGGTGGTAGATCTACCAATTTTGCATTTTACATTCTACCAACTTCTAGCAACATTTGGCACATAATCTACTAATATTCTAAAATTCGGGATGGCAGCACTGACCGGAAGTTTATTATTTTAGTCTTATATAAGTTGTCATTTAAGTCTTCGCCAATCAGTCACAGTTGTTTTAGGTCACGAGCCATAGAACAAAAAAAATATTTCTATTTAATATTTTTTTAGAATAGTGATTAATATTTATACTCGCAAAATAATAAAACCGCTGCTAATAAAATCATATTAAATACCAATAATTGGTACTTTATTTTTCAAACTGTTGTAGGAAGGCCAAAGGGGAAGATCTTCTTCGATCGTGGTGGTAGCTCGGGGACCGCGACCCGACTGATGTTGGTCGGACAATGCATATATTAAGTGTTAGTCTCCGAATTTCACTTGCGCGATGTAGGCTACAATACTTTTAGAGTTAAGCACAGGTAGCGCCATTTCTTGACGAGGCGCGTGATTACTACCTCCATGTTGGATATGCGTTGGGTGTGTAGATATCGCCGCCACACTGTCAATTTCTTAACAAGAATTTAGCGCTATGTGTACCTCGTCCCGCGCTAAAAATGGTGGAAAATTTCCGTCCCACTTCACGTAATCACTCCCACAAATTGCACGAAAGCGAGAGGAAAGGATGTTGAACATCAAAAATAAAATATAATAAATATACTCACATGGGCGCACGGGGCACAGTACCAGTTCCCGTGGGGCACTAGGAACAGTACGGGCTTGAGGCAGGACGCGTGGTAGCCGGCGTCGCAACGATCGCATAATAATATCCATTCCGGTTGTTCGCCGCTACCGCAACGCTTGCAAAAACCATCGTCTGTGCCTAGAATATGACACAAAAAATATACATTACATAATATGTGCAACAACTATCAAATATGACATAATTATTCTAAATTTTATGTCAAAATTCAAACGTCAGGATAAAAAGTTATATTCAGCCGACCTTTTCGATGACACTTTTGACATTTACAGCGTGTAACTAAAGACAAAATTGCATATTTCTAGATTTACAGACAGACCGTTACTCGGAGGGTTCAGTAGCTCTCCTACTATTTAGAGACCACTAAGTTTAGAGAACCCTGCCAGAATCGACACCAGTGTGTTACTAAACAGAAAATTGCATATCCATCGAGGCTTTTCAGAACAAGCATCTTAGAGACGTTTTAATAAAGCAGTTGTGGATCAAATCAATTAAACAGCTCGGTGATTATCACTAGCATCTGTTAAAAGCAGTTAGCGGTAAGGCCTTCAGAGCGTAGGTTTAGAACGCATCATTGAAGTGACAGGTTGCTTATTGTGAGTCAAACGGCCAAAGCGCCATCTGTAATGAGCTTTGCGTTTTCTTCCCCATTGATAGGTATGAACAAACATCAAATGTCATACTGAAAGATATAATTAAATTAAGTTTAAAGTAAAGGAAATATTACTAAAAAAAATCCACGCGGACCAGGCAGCAGACGGGACTCGACCCCGCACCCTTCGCTATCCGGACGAATGCACTGATTATTATGATTCCGCGGCCCTGATGGCCGTGTCCAATTCTTTCTAGCCTCTCTTAAACTGCAAGGCAGCGCCATCTTTTCGCATTGTAGGTAACCCACAATGTCTGCTGCGAATTTTTTTCTAGTAATATTTTCTTTAGATTTTAACATGGTTAAAAATAAAAGTTATAAGTTTAAGTATGTAAATATCATTGAAATGTTAACTTGCAAAATGGCCCAGTTACTTTAAAGTTCGACTAAACACTAAAACAGCTTAATCAATGATTTATTTTACCTTCCTGCAGGGTCCGCGCCCTCTTCAACGGCTCGGCGGGCTCGCCCGCCTCCAAGTCGGACTCCGGAGAGAATTCGTGATCAGATTTGTTAAACTCCACTGTAAACAAAACATATTAGATATAAAGAAAATATAACTAGAAAAAGTTCCAGACCACGGCAGCAGACGGGACTCGAACCAGCACCCTTCGCTATCCGGGCGAATGTACTGAACAAATCACAGATCGTCCACAGACTACATAGATATTAAAATTCTTTACACAAAGTTGACGTCATACAGTAGACCATTAAAAATAAATTCAATTTTAATAAATTGGTCTAATTTAGAAGAAAAGGACATAAAATCAATTTATTATTATTTTTCAGTTAAATCGTTTGTCCCAATCTTTAAATATAAGCAGTTTTCAAAAATTTGGAAAATACCCTATTCCTTCTAGCCTTACTTAACGCTGCAAGGCAGCGGCGCCATCTCTTCGCATTGTAGGTAAACCACGAATAGGATAGTTGACAAGTTTTAGAAAACTATCTCAAGTTATTGACTAATGCTTATGGAGTCAGTAAAGAATATATTCATCATTCTGTTGTATATTTCAGTAAAAATAACCAAATCAAAAACTCAATTTTCAAGTTGCCGCGAAAACGTTTCTCTGGACAATATGGCGTCTTACTAGTTTGTGACGTCACACGACTGTTATTAAAACGTCAAACGATACAATGTAATGTCACTTTAACCGGAAGTTTACTTGTGTGTGATGTCATTTTAGGCTCCGCCAATCCAAAGCGTTTTGGGTCACGTGACAATAGATACGAAAACTACATATTATCTTTTTCGTGGGTTTTTAGTAAAACTATGAATATATTTTTTTTGTAAAAATAGTAAAAACCCCTGCCATTATTCATTCTAAACACAGATGCTAACAATTGGCACTTTATTTTTAATACCGTCAAATACCCTATATTAGATATCTCTAAACATTTTAAAAGCTAAAGAGTTTGTATGGTTGAACACGCTAATCTTAGGAACTTCTATTCCAATTACCGATTAGAAAAATTGATTTTGTGTTGACTTATACATGTAACTTGAACAGCAACGCCACAACGGACGTAACGATCGAATTCAATCTCGATATTCGTCAAAAGTCTAGAAGAATTGTATGGAAGATTTTTAACTATCGTAACGTCCGCTATGGCGCTTTTCAAAGTGCCATACAATTTTTTTTTATAGATGGTTCAAATCAAAATCGACAAATGACTCCAGATGAAGTCCAGACGTGAAAATAGCTGGTACAGCAGTTCTACCTGCCACCTGAGTGTAAATATAATTTAAATTGTTGTCTGTATTAGCTGGTTAAAGTTTTTTGGGTAACTCAAAATCAGGGACCAGCCGGATACTCGTTGAAAGGGTTTTGGAAGGGGGTTTTTAAACGCTTCAAAAAAGAAACCCTATGATACATGTTACACCTTCGAACGGGTGTAGTTAACCCATTACGAACGGGTTACCCTTTCAACACCCTAGGTTAAGCTATTCCAACTCAAGACATTGTAATATGCACTGATTACAATCGACATTAGTTTGAAAATTGCATAACCACGACTGCATGTCCGTGTACTGACTTGCCGAGCGACTTGTAAATATGGAAAAATAACTATTGTCTATATGATCTTGATGATTCTATCAATTTTGCTCATCACACATGCTAAACATTGTAATAATATTTATTTTTTCGTGTCTATACTTGTTTATTTTCATCATTCGTCATTTGATTCGGAACTCGGACGGAACTACGGAAGTACCAGGCCATTTATAAGTCGCATCGTGCTTTAGAGAGAGATACTCGGTTAGCTTCGGCTTTGTAGAGCGTCATCTCAGTCACACGAAATACTAACAGTCCGGTATCTATTAAGAGCTGCCAAAACCTTGTTTTAGGATTTTTTTAGAAATCAATACAAAAAGAAAACATGTAGGTAAAAGACAACATAATTATATGCACTACGTGTGTTAATTTATTTATTTTAATGAAAACCTATAATTTTTATTTCCAACCAAAATACAAAAAACTAATAGATATGCGAAGTCTCATTAAATAATCACTGCCATCATCATACTTATTTTTTTTCTTTCTTTCACGTAATATTTATATTTGTTTTATTAACTCTGTATATATATTTTAAGCAGAACGCGACTGTTCTTTAGCGTCGTTGAATTACGACTGACAAGTCAGCGACTAAAGGTCAGGTTGACAAAGGACAGAGACGGCGCTATACGAAGCCGAAGCTAGCCGAGTATCTCTTTCTAAAGTTCGATGCGACTTATAAATGGTCGGGTACTGTAAAAGCAATGTTAACACGAAAAAAAGCTTTTTGAGAAGGTAACCTCTTCAAAAGCTTAAGTCATTGAAGGGGTTAACCCCTTCACGTGGTTACCTTAATAAAGGTGTTAACCATTTCGCTAGGATTCGAGGATGTAACTCGGAACAAAAGGTAACACTGCAATATGAGTTACTCCATGTACGGGTTACCCTATCCAAAGGCTTAACTCTTTAAGTGGGGTTGTGCAATCCCTGCTCAAAATAGGGTATTTGACAAGTTATAGAAAACGATCTCACGTTATTGACTAATATTTATGGAGTCCGCAAAAAGTGGATATTCATCGTTATGTTGTGATTTCAGTAAAAATAACCAAATCAAAAACTCCATTTTCAAGTTGCCGCGAAAACGTTTCACTGGACAATATGGCGTCTTACTAGTTTGTGACGTCACACGACTGTCATTAAAACGTCAAAAGATACAAGGTAATGTCACTTTAACCGGAAGTTTACTTGCGTGTGACGTCACTTTAGGCTCCGCCAATCCCAAGCGTTTTGGGTCACGTGACAATAGATAAGAAAACTATTATCTTTTTCGTGGGTTTTTAATAAAATTATGTTTTTTTTTTGTAAAAGTAGTAAAAACCCCTGCCAATATTCATTCTAAGCTAACAGATGCTAACGATTGACGCTTTATTTTTAATACTGTCAAATACCCTATTCACGTATAGTGAAAGTGACTCACAGTCGGGCTCTTCGGGCAGTTCGAACAGGGGCTCGTCGGACTCGGAGTCCTGGTCGGGCCCCGTAGAGTCGGCCGCTCGCCATTCGTTTTGTTTCCCCCGGACTCGAACTTTGGTCTTCTCTTCCTCGGAACTGCTGGCGCGCCACTCCTCTTCATCCTTGTCGTCCTTGGCCTGATCATAGCGAGAAATAAAGAGTCACATACATTTATTTATAGACAAGCAAAAAAATCAAAATTCAATATCGTCTATTCAGTCTAGGCTGTTACAAGCACTTGTGAATGTCGAAAAGATACGCCATCGTTTCGCAAATCTACGGAGAAGAACCGGCAAGAAACTCAGCAAGGGCTGTGTTTTTCTCCCTGTATTATATACAGAGTTGCAAATTGAAAAATGACTTCAATATGAGATAACTCATGAAGTCACTTTCCATTACAATTTAATGATATAAAAAATATGACTAAAATAAAAACAAAAGACAATACTTCTGCTAGGTAATGACTTAAGCAGTATTTATCGTTTCATACTTTTACTAACGTTCAGAGCAAACAAGCCTATGCCACTCCCCTCCTAATGGTAAGTGGCCACAATATCTTTATGAACTACGGAAGTACCAGGCCATTTATAAGTCGCATCGTGCTTTAGAGAGAGATACTCGGTTAGCTTCGTATTTATCGTTTCATACTTTTACTAACGTTCAGAGCAAACAAGCCTATGCCACTCCCCCCCCCTAATGGTAAGTGGCCACAATATCTTCTAATAGTAAACGCTTCCGATATCAAAAATGTCACTCGCGCCGTTTCCTACCCTGACCTAATCCCCTACCCTTTGGAGCCCTGGGGGCCATTCGCCTAGCGGAAATTCTATGGAAAACGCTAACGCTTTCGATTTTATTTTGTTTTTTCTGACCGCCAAAAGTTTTTAAATACCTCACGCTCATTTTTTTTAATATTGTTATTACCAATGCAAAAGAAAAAACAAGAGCGCGATGCATTTGAAAACCTCAGGCGGCTAGAAATAACAAAATTACTTACGATTTAAGCGTTAGCGTTTTCCAAAGCATTTCCGTTAGCCGAATGGCCCTCTGGAATCTTACTCACCGATAGAAACACAACACCAACAAAAGGCAGTGTTATTTTAAGCAGTTCCGACACGTGTTTTGATTTACACAATTAACAAAAAACATATCAATAGTCAACAAAATCGTAAACAAAACTTTGTTTCACTACACATATTTGTTTGCATCAACAATCTTTTTGCTTTCCGAGCCCGATACATACATACATAAATCTCTCCGCGCGGGTCGGAAGCCAGGACATGGAGGTTACAGAGAAGGAGAACGATCGCTGTAGAAAATAGTGTCCCAGAAATATGGACAAAATAAGTGAGGCGCTGCGATCGTAAAGTTGTCTCAATAAAAGCGGGCTGTTGTGCGCTAATTTGACAAGACCAATGCCGCGAAGAAAATTTGTACATTATTCAACTAACTTCATCTACTTGTACTCATAAGCAGCTAACTTTACAGATACTACTTAGCGACGGCAGCGCGGCTGGTGGCTGAAAAATGAACTATAAATTCTACATATTTTCAGGGAAGGCGGGCTAATACTTCAGCACGTAGCGATCGTTCTCCTTCTCTCTAACCTCCAAGGGGCAGGGTATTGTTTCAACGGCCAATTTTGACGACTCGCTCCGTTCCAAACCTACGCTCCGAGTACGAGTTTTCAGTCTGACGTTCAAATTTTTACATAAAATTTACGAAATTTTTGTCAAATTTGATATTTGTTGCACCTGGATCGTAGTTATTGAACGTAGTCCTGTGTATTTTGTGTACGATAGCCCTGTGAGCAGTAGACGGCGTGTGTAGAGGAACATGTTTCGTGAAACGAAAGTTCTGTGATGTATTTTTGTTGAATGTTTTCAAAAAACTTTTGCTGGAGACCCTGTTTTACTGTGTCTTGTGTGAGGTGGAGGTTACATCCCCAGACGGGCGGTCTCTTAATTCTACTTAAGTAATGACTAGAGCAATATTATTTTATCATTTTACTAGTGGCCCGCTCTTGCTTCGCTTCTGTGTAGTGCTATAGTGTAGGTAGATTTTTCTCACCTTTTAAACTTTCCCTAGACCACCACGAACATTTCAAGACCAAGATAAGAGATAAATCCGTTCAGCCGTTCTCGAGTTTTAACGAGACTAACGAACCGTACTTGATTTATACAGGGTGTAAAAAAACTGACTGTAAAAAAAATGACAAAGAATAAAACTACGCATTCTGTACACCCAAACAAGTAATATTACAACATATAATACGTGGGAAACATTTGTATTTTTAAGTTAAATTTTTTTTTCCAGTACGCAATATATAGCTCGGCGTGCTACTGTGCCGCTACGCAAAGAATGTGCCTGTGTGTTCTAAATAACGTTTTGAAAATATTAATGTATAAATGTTGAAAAAAAATCGTGACTTTGACCTTCAATATCTCTATAACCATAAATTTCCCAGGTATAGTCCAGAAGAAAAAAATGATCGTCATGATGTGAATAATACGTGGCCTTCGACTTCGTTAAAGGTTTTTTTATACCCTGTATATATATATAAGAAATTGATCAAAGTAAGAACTTTACCCTGTTGAGAAATTCTAAAGAAAGAATAAGATGTAAGAACTGTCAAAAATGAGAATTCTTATAACAAGTGCCATTAAAGAAACGAATCGAAAATGCCGACGTAACCATGACATTTTGCTCCACTTGCATGTGCTGTCCTAAGTAACGGGCGAGAGGGACAGAATGCGCGAGTCATTTTACTAGATTTTCAAACAAAGTATTACGCAATCAAAAAGTATTGATGGGGAAGTTGCATTTGGCAAAATATCGTTTTTTGATTTGGTAAGATAAAAATATGAGTCTATTTTATGAGTTGAATTTAAATTCTTTCTATGGTCAGTTAGCTCAAAAGTGTCAAATGAAAGTCACTGATTCTTTAATTTCTAGTGCCTGGTCTATTGCATGCATATCAGATAGTGACAAAGCAAAATATTTCATTACCTTTTTCTTGTGTATCATTTTGAGTTCCCTCAAAGTGACCTCTTCCAAATGCCGTCTCTCGGCCTCTTCCTTGATCTTCATTTGAGCGATCCTGCGAGACTGTCTCACTGGTGCCACATCGGAATCTTCAGAGTTACCCTTTTCAACATTATCTTTGCCTTTGGTGACCTCTTTGCCTTTGGTGACCTCTTTGCCTTTAGTGACCTCTTTGCCTTTAGTGACCTCTTTGCCTTTATTGACCTCTTTACCACGAGTCTTCTTTTTTAATACTTTCTTCGATGCTTTCTTACCGGCTGCACAGAATTAAGTAATGATAAATATCATTTGTTCATGAATCTACTCTAACTAAGGATAGAATCATAGAATGGATTATTGAAATCCCACCCATCTTTATTCTCCTTATCATTTTCTGTAATGCACGATAAGGACTGTTGTCAAATTTTGTTTTAGGTTTAGATAACCATGCCAGAATAGGCTATTTAACAAGTTTATGAAAACGTTCATACGTTACCAATTAGTGTATAGTGACTAAATAAAAGTGGACAAGAGCAACTTACGTCAATTTAAGCTCCGCCAATACTGAACGTATCCAGTCACGTGACTATAGATCAAAATATATTTTTCTATTACATACATGATTTTTAGTAATAGTAACCTTTTTTGTCAGAAAAGTGAGATCGCTCCCAATGTTTTCATACTAAAAAATAGACTACTAGCTGCAATCTAAATTTTCTGTTAAGCAGTTGTTTCTTTAAATTAATCCTATATGATTTGATGCATGTTATCAAACATATATCATGGTTGTATAATGTTATTACCTATCACACTACACGAGTATGTTCATTGATACATAGAAATAGCAATATTTCTAATAATTTCAAACATAAAAAACCCTTCATAAATTTGTCTTTCTGCTATGCTTTCATACTGCTGTGGCAATTTTGATAAAAAATGGTACAGAAACTAAAGGTAAAGGTGACTATGGGCATGGACGTAAGCTAGTTTATTCCGCATAAATAAATAAAATAAGAGATGAAATATTGTAAACTCTACAATACTACGTAGATGGAGCCACGGGCCCTTGCTAGTCTTGATATGTAGGAAAGAAAACAACAATTTACCTATACTATACAATGTCTCCTCTTCGGATTCATCTGTAGATTGTGTTTCCAACAGTTTAGCTTCGACTTTTTTCCTGTAACAAATATATATTTAAATAAAAAGTTGTGAAAAACCAAGTGAAATCATAATAATTGCTAATAATAATTGTACCTTGAAGATTTAATAATTTTCTTAGGCCTAATTTTCAATCTTTTGCCACTTGCTACTGGTTCATCATCTTCACTGTCACTGTGAGAATCAGATTTACTTTTGTCACTCATAGTTGCATCTAATAAAGATCTTTTCAATGATTTATTAACTCTCTTCTCTTTGACAATAGAAGTGGCAATATCGGTTGTCTTATTTAAAAGAGTATTGTCATTATCAGAGGTATTTTTCAAAAACTTTTTTCTCTTAAATTTTCCTTTACTTGCTTTTATTTTTTTCCTTTGAGCTATAGGCTCATTTTCAATTGCACTTTCCTGGTTTTCAATGGATTCATTGATTACTTCACTGTTATTTACATCTAAAGGATCTTTTTCTATGGAATGTGATTCGTTAATATCACTTTCTGGTGTAGATTCTAATCTTAACTTTTTAGGTGGTAAAGGTTCTTCCACTTTAAGATCCTTGTCAGGACTTTTCTCTTTTTCTGTGTCAGCATTTTCACCATCTTCCTGTTCTACAGAGGAAACACTACTTTTCCTTTTTTCTATAATACTAGTTTTGTTATCATTGCAATTTACACCTACATTATTAATATCTTTTTCCTCATTTAATTCCGATTTGTCTGTTAATATTTTCTTTTTCTTTACTTTAGTTCTGCCTTTTTTTATCCTACTTTTCCAGGAGCCCCCGCTTTCTGTATTATTTTTATCATTTACCGAAACCTCCTGTTGCAGATCAGTGCTCTTTGAATTTGAACTGTCAGATTTGTTTAAATTTCTAATGCAATGCTTTTTAGGATCAGATTTAAGAACTTCATTTGTGTCATTAGGCTGCTTCTTCAATGCCCGCTTAGTCAGAGTAGGCATGCTTGTTTTTAATTTTACAGATTTGCTTAGTTTATTATTTTTATTATTTGAATTTGTGATCTCCATTGTATGTTCTCCATTCTGTAATTCTTCATTGCCGTTTTCTGCATCAGATTTTTCTCCAGGACTATTTGCTTGTTCTATTGTTTCAGGATTTCCAGTATCATTGTCATACCCACTACCTTCACCATAAAAGAACATAACTTCTTCAATAATTTCTTCACCAATGTAGGAACTTTCACAATCTGCACCATTTCCTTCCCCTGTTACTAACATTACTGGTTCGTCTATAGCAGCACCAAGTTCATCTTTAGCTGGACTATTTGGAGATTTCTTTATTTCTAAGTTTTCTTCTTTATTTTCTTCCGTGTCATTAATGGTTTGTTCTAACTTATCTGTATTGGCGTCATCACTCTCCTTATTTAACGCCTCCAATTTATCACCTTTATCTTCATTTTCTTTTACTAATTCCTGACAATTTTCATGTTCAACCTGATCTTCTTTTGTCAAAACTTCATTCTCTTTGTCTAATTTTTCATCTTCTACACTTATTTTATTTGATTCCATATTCTCTATACTTAATTCTATATTTTTTTCACTTGAGTTATCATCTATCCTAATTACTTCATCCTTTTCTTTACTATGTTGATCATCCAATTTGGAACATTCTTCTGTCACTTGACTTTTTTCTTGATCTTCAATGTTATCTGCGATAGGTAATTTATTTTTATGTTCAGTAACATCTAAATTTAGGTCACAAGACTCTTCTGAATTATGCTTATCTGTAATTAAATTAGATTTTTCTGGTTCTGGTTTTGATAATTCTTTTGAAACTGTTATATCTTCCTGTTCTGATTCAGACTCAGGACTAAGAAACTCCTCTTCATTTTCTTCTTCTACCTCAGTCATCTTACTCTAAGAAAATTAAAAAAAAATGTTTAAAACACATTTAGCATAACATTTCATTTCTTGACATATGGCTCAAACAACATTAAAAATGATACCTCTAGTTGTGGTGGTACATCTGCACTGCTTGAATCTTCATTGGCAGCATTTGAAAACAAGGGGCAAACATTTTCACCACTTTTCAACTGAGATATAACTTTGACAAGTTCTTCACGGTTCCTATAAAATAATAATAACACCTTCATAAATAACAATATTGTCATGAATAATAAACAAATTAATCCAGAATGCCACAGCCGTTGCTAGATGTACTTGCGACCCAAAGTACCTAAATACAAAGGCCGTGTGTTACATTCCACTGGAATATAAACCTTAGCAGTGCGGCGCAAGAGTCAAAGTGCAATGACAGCTGCCGACAGATGTTACTGACTTTTTTACAACTCATACATGCTATCTAATGAGGGTGTTTATGAAAATTTAAGTCACCAGTTGGCGCTACTGTGACGTCAGGATTTGGAAGGAAGTTTTTGGTGCTAACTAAACAAACATGCATTTAAATTGATCCATAGACTATGAAATGCAATTTGACGGACGAGTAGACCTTTCGTCTCAGTACCGCCACCTGGTGCCCCTCATTCCAGAAAAGTATTTCCTAGTACTAGGGAACTCTTAATTGAACTGGATCTCTCTAAAATGTGTCATTTAGTGTAGATAAGGGCGCTCAGCTTTGGTCAGAAACATTTTACTTTCAAGGCGATAACAATTAAGTTACAATAGCGATCAAAGAACAATTACAAAGGTGATTAAAGTGCAAGTTAAGTGTTAGTTATATAATGTAAGTTAGTGTAAAATAGTTTTTACTAATTGTGTGCTAAATAAAAAACTGTTAAGTGTGAACTGGCATTTTGATTTCAAACCCAATCTGACACATTATAATATTTAATGCTGACATAAAGTAAAACACTATTTGACTAGTTCTACATATAACCAATGACTATTTACTGTTTTTTTCAAACAAATTGGATTAAACTGTTTTAGTCATTAAAAAATATCAAATACAAAATCATGTTTTATACCTGAAATATGAATATAACCCTATCTTACCTTTACAGGGCAAAGTTAACAGTTTAAAAACAACCACTTAATCTTAATACTATAGGTATTAAAACTCCATTGCAGTATTTCAGTATTCTCAATAATTTCATTGAAGTAGGCAATACTTTACAATAGGTAGGCATGGAAAAGTTTTGGATGTTAGCTGTTTGCCTAATTCATATACTTGAAATGCAGTAGGGGTTAGGTTAAGATGGGCAGAAGCAGTGAGCTGAGTAAGTGAAAGAATAAACAGTATTTATTTTTTTGAGAAAACAAATAATATAATGTAAAGAAAATTTTACTAGAAAAAATTTCATGCGGACCAGGCAGCAGACGGGACTCGAACCCGCACATTTTCTTTAGATTTAAATATTGAGCAGTTTCATGCTTAAAAATATAACAAATATAATATTATGTAACTAACCTTTATGGACTGGCTTCTCTATTCAATTAATGTAAATTTTCTATGCCTAGTTGTTTGATAAATATGTGGTATAAAAGTTTGCATTTGCTGTTTATTGACAACATTAAATAATGTGCTCACCAATAATGACTAAATATATTGGATATTGAAACAATTTCAAAGCTGCCCAGTATGATATTAATTGCTAATTGAGGTAGAACTATTTGAATTAAATCATATGAATGTAAAGCTTGAATTACCTAGCTACTAATTGCCATGTCTCTTCGTCCTGATCTTCTTTGTATAAACACATGTTGGCTTCATCATCTACTTGATACCAATATACACAACCATTTTTGTCTCTTCCAATTGGGTCCAACCGAAGTTCCTTACACTCTATTGAATTCACTGCTGATTTAAACTTTGGGTGACATGTAAATTGATATTCTAAAAGTAGCTGAAATTAATGGTAACATTTAAAATATTTAACATTTCATATTAGAAAAAAACATCTAAATGTTTAGAATGTTATACAAGTACACTGCATTACTACTCTCCACATTTCAAAAGTTTGCTTATGTTTATTAATCATTACTATGATTAAATAATAATAAAAGAATAAGATTAAGTGCATAGATTGCTTAGTGAAAGGCTAATTACCTTCAATACTTTCAGTTTTACTTGTGTGCTAGCTTTCTTGTAAGAAAATCGTTCTATTTCCCAGGCTTCTTGATGATTGCCTTGTTGATGACAGAATTTTATTAGACACCTTTCCCAACGATTGCTTTGTACCGATTTCAATGCACGTCGCAGTAATCTTAAATGTAATTCTCGCAATGGATCTAGAACTACAACAACACCAAACCAATAAGATGTTTGTTTATCATACAAGTGACAAATCACCACAAGACCAATTACCTTCCTGTGTATTCTCAATACACTCTTGTAGTTTTGCTATTGTCGGTACCTCCAAGCCATATATATTTCCAAACACTTTTAGAAAGGAGTAAATAACAGCAAAATTTGGATCATTCGTACATGAAATTTCTCCATCGGACGCCATCGTCGGAACTTCAATTAGCCTTTACACTATACATTATTTTATTGATGTTACTACAACTAGGTGATTATTTAGCTTATATCTACCGGGAAATTGTAAAAAATGCACATAATTCACGAATACAACTTCATTTTATTCACACAATAAGCTTCTTTTATTTTTTCTACAAAACTCAATGACATCCATCGTACCATAGACTAATTTTTGTTTTTATGGGATGCTATTCTGTTCTCCATTTCATAGACATTATAAATATAAGATAAATATAGTTTAAAATATCATCACCGCCATCTTTTTAAAATATATAAACTTTCATTTCATGGACTTAAACCATAGACAATAGACAGAATGAAATGTATTGTCAAGAAAAATTAAAAAAAAAATCCATACAATTTACTAAACCCTGTTGGAGTGTGTTTGATTTCGTTTACTTTCATGAATTTTTGATTTCTTTCATATTAGAATTTGATCTAATATTGTTCATTATGTCTTCAGTTTGCTGTGGAACTAAAAAGCAGAAGCTCAATAACTCTTATAGTAATAATGTGGAACGACCTTTGAATGGTTACCAAGAGTCTGTAGCTATTCCTGATATGTGTTACTTTTGTTTCGATGTTTTGTATTGTCAGCTACATAGTATGGATCCTCCACAAACGCCAAATTTCACTAACGATGCATAGTAAGTACAATTTAATAGCTCCTTCTTTCATTTTAATCAGTTATTCATCAAACTAGGATGTGCATCACAAAGTCAAATAACCAACAATTCTTTTGTTTCGATTCAAATAGGTCACCTTTGTTACCTACGGTAAACTTAATTTTTTAATCTGTATTTTAATATTAAAGTTATTAATCATTTATATTTATCTATTCTTAGATAGTTTATTGAAGATTAATACAGCCCCTGATATCTTTAATGCAATAGGGATTTCACTTTACTGCTAAATTTAATTATATTAATTTTATATCATTTTTGTTCCTAAAGTTTATAAGTGCCAGTGAATCCAGAGTATGACACAAACGGCATGAAAGAAGTATATGTGGTGTGAATATTGAAGAATGAAATAAGTAACCATTGTTGATTACAACATGTGGGATCTTATTTTGTTAAGTGTAAGCTAGGATTGTTTGGACCATTACAAACAATAGATGTAAGAAGATTTAACAAAGAAATTGACAGAGTAAATGTGCCTAGTTTAAGTATCCACATAACGCTTCAGCAGAGATGTTCACTGACCTGCTGGTACCATAAAGAACCTGTGTGAAAGGGTCTACTAATAAATGGGTATGTATGCAGTAAATAATGAATGTAAATGAAGTAAAAGATGGGTGGCTAAATAATAGCAAGTTGAGATCAATTAGTATCTATGTGTAGGCCCTATCTGGGAAATTGGCATGACCATTATGTATGTTTGTAAATCACTAGGATATTACATGATGAATTAATCCCAATTGTGCACTCAACATCAGGCTGGTGGATACAGTTTATAAATGACAGTACATAAGTTTGTAATGGAGCATTAAACTAGTCATAATATGCAGTGCCAGTGTATCCACCAACATGATCTTGAATGTACTAAATAAGTAGGCAATGAGGAATTTAAACTTTATGCTTAGTAATAACAGCATATTTAATTTCATTATTTAAAGTTTTATAACGAAATGTTATATTACAGCCCTTTATTTGTAACCTGGAAAATCGGGAAGGAGGATCGGTTGCGGGGTTGCATTGGTACATTCAATGCGATGCATTTGCATTCAGGTACATTTTCTATCTCAGAGTATACATGTCAGTTTTAATTAGATATTGGTGTCGATTCTGACATGATTCTCTAAACCTAAACTTAAATTTGACAACAGTGTATCATTGTCATTCTCTATACAGAATGAAAAGGAGTGGTTGATGTTAAATTTTGTGTTAAGTTCATCATGCCAGAATCGACACCATTGTCTTATAAATCTTTAAATGTACAAGTTTAGTATATAACAAAAATTGTGACTGTGTTGTGAGCCAAACTCAGGGCCCTCCAAAGTATTGACCATAGTCTATAGATGCTTGCTGACAATAGTCAGTCACTGGGTAGTAAAATATCACTACCCAGTTGAAATCTGGTAAACCTACTGTAGTAACACAATACTACAGAATTGTTATTTTACTGGCGGCAGTGTTTTGTTAAGTAGAAGATATTTCTGCAGTCTTCTACTCCCTCCCTTTATGTAAAAAACCCATTGTGGCTCTGTACTATTCTGTTTTAATGAGTGTTGACACTCCTTTATACTTGAAGATCTCTGTGGAATGGTTTGGATGAATATTATAAATGATGTCATTTAAGTTTCCACTATTACCTTTATATTTATTTAATCACCTTTATAAGCTGCACATGCATTTTTTTTATTTACATTAAAAATAGTGAACATGAATACCGTATTTTGGTATCTTTTCAGTATTTTTAATTTTATTTAAAGCTGCTCATTTGATATTGGAAAAATATGACACTCAACATTTGGCATGATGTCTCCTGAAAAATAGTGCACCAATTGTTTTCCTGTGTGACCTTGACTGATTGCACTAGACATGTGCACAGATAACAGAGATTATGTCAACATGTGTCGGCAAGCCAGAGTGCTAGTCGGCTGGGCTGTGTACGTATTTGCATAAATAATTTATAGGAACTTTGCAAAAATATTGTAATGTACTCCTCTTCCTCTTTTTTATCTAAACTACAATGATTAATTACCTAGTGAGCCCTGATATGCGCTATGGTAATAGAATAAAATTAACTGTAGCAGATGCAAGTACTATTGTTTTTTATTTTTTTATAGATAGGTCTGACAAATGACTCCACACCACCTGATGTTAAGTGTCAGTGAAGTCCAGACGCGAAGGTAGTTGGTACAGCAGTTCTACCTGTGTAACCAGTCATGCTCACCCTGCCAGCCTTCATGTTGCTTCTTCACACCTTAAAAAGGATTCCGCCTTTAAAAGGATCCCAGGTTGTAATAGCGAGGGAACACGTGAGTGGGCAGAGCATTCAATTTACTGAAAGTGTGACAACGAAATAAGTCACCAAATTTCTTTGTATGCAATGGAATGGTGTCCACAGTTAGTCGGTGACAATTATTTTATGTGTTATAATGTAGTGCAATCTACATAAATCACAATTAAATGGAAAGACTCTTTGCTAATTTAAAAAAACAAACATTAAGGACTAATTTTGGAACACTAATGTTGGACTAAATGGGAGCACTCATATTTCCAGTTATAGTTCCATGTAGTTTACACTATATTTGTATGATGCAAAGAGTTCCCTAATGATACCTATTTCCATCACTTCTTCACTCACTTTCAAGTATTTTAATCCAGTTTAAATGTCAATTAACAAAATAGTTGCTAAAGCTATTTTCCAATTAAGCATCTGCCCTGACATAAGCCTGATATAGGGCTGCCATCCGTCCGGGTTTCCCCGGATTTGTCCTAGTTTACGGGGCGTCCGGGGAGCGTCCGGGCGGGGTTTTATTTGTAGTCCGGGTTTAAAAATTTACGGCAACGCATGAGTGGCCCTAGGTGCTGCAAGTGTCCATGGGCAGCAGTGACCACTTATTATGAGGTAGACCGCTAGCTCTTTTGCCTAGATCAACATAAAAAAGTTGATTTGTGACATTTTTAACTGTTTTTTTATTGGTCTGTCCGGGTTCTGGGCTTCAAAATCCGGGGTTATCACGCGTCTTATCCTGGTTGCCACATTTTAGAGATGGCAGCCCTAGCCTGATAAGGAGTTGAATAGTATATTAATAATAATTGTAAGAAAACCAATTCAAAGTTCTCAATGCTGTTATCAAAATATTCTTTGTGATTTTCCTATCCATTAGGTATGTCATTTCAATAACCAAAAACTAATTACGAGTTATTTATTTCGTAGGCTTACGGGAATACGCTATAACTAGTGCGTTGAAAGACTCCCGATTCAGTCCCATCACGCGCGAGGAGGTGCCTCGGCTGACGGTGTCTGTATCCATATTGCAACACTTCGAAGAGGCAGAGCATTACCTGGACTGGAAGCTTGGCAAGCATGGCATACGCATCGAGTTCATCAGCGAGCGAGGCACTAAACGCACTGCCACTTACTTACCGCACGTGGCTACAGAACAAGGTATATTTCATCTTAATGGCCTGCGTAGAAAAAGGGCTTTTGCTCGTGGAGGACAAAAGTCCCTGAACGCAAAATGACAGTATCTTGTATGGTCATTGATCTTGTTTAATGTATCGTGACGTCACATCCAAGCATTCCGAAATTGTGGCTTTAAACAGCTCGTGCAAAGTGGCTAATTTTAATCTGCGCAGGCTATAAGAAGGTTTGATTAACAGCCAGTTTTAATAATCAACTTTCAGTAAAAGCTAAGCATCTTCTGGTTTCGTTGCTTAGCAACCGTTGTTATTTTTATCTAAATATTATAAATATAACGGCCACAAAGCTCTAATAGACCTATCACTTACTGGTGTTTGATTATTCATACTGACTATTAAACTCAAATTACCTACATATTTATTATTATTTAAAAAAATGTTATTCATGACTTTTAAACATTGTTACTGCTGGAGCATACTTTTCGAATTTATCTTATTATGCAAACTATAAAAATTAACGCCACCCTCCTTGATGGTTCTAGGGAATATGCATGTTTTTTTTATTATAAATTTGTTTCCGTCCCCTTTATACAGTATAAAAAAACGTCAAAAAATTGCTGCAAGTAGGTTGCGTAGGTACTAACCCACAATGTCAAATGAATACCTTAAAATTTGAAAGAAGAAATAGCAATTACAGTTATATTTGTATTTCTTTTAAGCATGTAACTGCTAGATGTTTAAATCTAAAGAAAATTTTACTAGTCAAAATTCCACATGGACCAGGCAGCAGACGGGAACCCGCACCCTTCGCTATCCGGACGAATTCACCAACCATTATGCTACCGTTGCCCTGACTCATTTTAGACATGTTTCGTAGAGCCATTTACTGCTTAAGACCAACACAATCGATATCAAAATAAAAATATTTACACTATTTTAATGTTTCATAGAGCCATTTACTTCTTATGACCAACACAACGATATCAAAATAAAAATAGTGTAAATAAAACTAGATTTTTACGGGTTAATGCACGAAACTTTATTTATATATTGACGTTTTGTAGCCTTTACAGGCTACGTCGTCGGAATCAAATTTTTATTTAAAATATTATAATATTTAACATATAAATATACATAACAAAAACAAAAATAAAAATTTGATTCCGACGACGTAGCCTGTAAAGGCTGCGAAACGTCAATAAATAAATAAAGTTTCGTGCATTAACCCGTAAAAAACTAGTTTTATTTAATGAGTGATGTGCGTGAAAACCTAAAAAACATATAAAATAGTGTAAGTTTATCTTTTTTTTTTTTCAAAACAACCGGGTTATGAATTAATGCAGTTTTTCTTATTATTATAGTTGGTTCCTAAGAACAGATCATCGTATGTGTTGTAGTTTCAGAATTTCCCATACTGACCGATTTAAATAAGACGCCCTATATGGTCACAATTGCTCTCGTCGCGTTCAAAATATTAATTTTTCACAAGTTTTTCGCACTTTTATATATTTAGTTTCTTGCTCAACTTGAAAGTAATAGAGTTTTAATAAATATAAAATGAGACTCATTTGAATTACATGCATATTCCCTATTGTAAGTGGAATCTAGTTGCGAAAATAGATGGTGCAGCATAGGAACATTATTCTTCAACTACCCGCGGTTCTGAGCTCAATAATTTCTTTTAACTCGTAGAGCTTCTATCGTACAGCAACAAAACAATTTTAGTAAAGATCCTCTATGGACTAAGTTATGTTTATGAGATGATATATAGAGCGTGAATATTAATGACTGGAGATTTGTGATGCCTAGTGAAGCGCAGAGTAGCAGGTGTAATAAATATTGAGTCACCTATTCAATTACCGTATACTTGGCAGAACCAATATCGAATTCGATCTCGATACTCGTCAATGTCAAGAATTCTTGATTGAAAAATATTTCATTTTTGTTATGTCCGTTGTGGCGCTGTTCAAATTTCCAGACAAAACTTCTTGATATTTGACGCGTATCACAATCGAGTTCAATATTGGTTCGTGCTTAGTGCACCGGTCTATGAGTTTCCAACATCGACAGTACATAGCAGGTTTACCATGGTGCTTTTACAGCTCCTCGTACTCACAGCTTACACCATAAATACACCCAATAGGGTAGTTGTGCGTCAAATCGATGATTAGTGACATTTGGCATTGGTTAGTGTATATATGTTACCGAAATTTTGTCTACAGTCCATTGCCTCCACTAATTTCCGAAACACTTACGTTGATAGCATTTTCATTCTTTTTAATATTTAATGTGATAACTAATAAAGGCGAAAGTATGTGAGTGTGTATGTTTGTTACTTCTTCACGTTTAAACGGCTGGAGCGATTTTAATAAAATTTGTTATGGAGTTGGCTGACACCCTAGATTAACACATAGGCTACTTTTATCCCGAAAAATGTTAGGTTCCAGAGGGATTTTCAAGAAACTAAATTAACGCAGACGAAGTCGCGGGCGACCTCTAGTAGACCAATATAGCCGACGTGGCTAGGAGGCATACACAGCTTCCACCTTTGTCGCGTTGGGTATATAACTTTGCCATACAAACGATATTATGTGTGCAGGATTTGGCGATGTATTGCGCCATTGTTTGTGTGACTGTCGTAATTACAGTTTTGTTGTCTACGCATGTATGTAAAATTTCATTTGTGTGCATATTTCCCCCATCTGCCGCCAAAGGTGACAGAACGATTTTAGTAGTATTAAGATTAAAGTTTATATCACCGTGCGGTTTGGGGCATTTACATGACAGCTTAAGTACACTTTCAGCAGCGCGTTCATGCAGACGATATATCCTCTAAGCTAACAGCTATTATAAACTTGTACCCGCGCAGTCATATGAACTTTGCCTTGTCACTATGGCTATTCCCATGTGTTGCTGCCTTCAAATTAACACAAAAACAAAGCTTCTAAATGGCGGGTTATATATCCAGGATGGGACCAAATCCAAACGATCGACTCGCTGTTGCGCAAGGGCGGCTACAAGGCGGCGATCACCATGGAGATGAGGCGCAGCATCAAGCTGACCCGCTACCAGTCCGAGGTGGTGAGCGCCTCGTACGGAGAGTATCTCAGCCGGCGCTGCTAGCACGCGGCCCCCCATCCGCTTAATAAAAATCTAAGACTTGTTTATCACCGTATACCTTATTCGTACGATCGTGTTAGTGGTAACTTAGCTTCTAAGCGTACGAGTGACGGACTACCTTGTTATCATGTAAATAGACACTCAAATGGTCACGCTTGTGCTGTGCGCTCGGCGAGCGAACTGTCGCCACTCATTCATAACGTATAAACCGGTCTACACTGCCGAATCGAATTATACATTCCTCCAGTCGAATGGTGCCATCGTTTACTCTCTTGAATGAATACCGTGCTTATGAATTAGAACACGTATATTTGTAGATAGCAAGTTCTGTTGGTACTGAATGTTTGTGTGATGAAAATTGATAATAAATTGTAGTGATATTTAAATTATACGATCGATGATGATGGTTTGACTCTTCGCGAAACTGTGGCGACACTGCAGGGGAACATTTAGATGGACTATGTAAGGCGCTATTGTGCCACTTGCGGTTGTGTAGAAAATACACTAGTTTTATTGTGATCTGATAACTAATTTTTATGTGTATTCTGTGAAACAAGAGAAGATTTTCAAATTTAAGTGTTGTATTTTCTTCACTCAGGCCGTGGATGCTAAAGCACCTTATATGCTTATCTTTAAATATGTAAACAGCGTATTTTAATTTTGATACATAGAATATGAGAAGGAGACAGGGGTAAAACGGTTACCCGTACATTAATTATATTATGACATATAAACTTAATTTTTAATGTAAGGGTCATAAAAAGGTATTTCACTTGAAAGAATGAGATCTCAAATAGTCACTGGCAATAATTTGGAGAACGACCTACATTGAATACTAAAAAAAAAAAGTGTTTAAATTAGGCGCAGTTCCCACTTACAATTATGTTAAGGAGATACATTGTAATAATAATAAATAATACTTATATCTTATAATATCAAGAAAGTGAAAATAAAATAAAAAATATATAAACACGAGTAAATCAAACAAAAAAAAGGTAATGTAAGAATTTTGTTATTGTGAAATACAGGTGTTGTCTGTATTAATTTTAATTATTTTTAAAATATGGTTGTTGTTATAAGGCTGGCATTAACGGCACTCTTCTACGATAATAAAGCTTCCTCTGTCAACTTGATAATCATTGTACAGCATAGTGAGTAATTTTGCCCCAACTCCAATGTCGAATATTCCTTCATGTCCCCAAAAGTACAATGGTTGGAAAAGTTTAAGGTTATTTTGTTACTTAGTAAATACTTTAGAATTTAAGGGAGCAAAACTTATATTCTAGTATTGATCTTTGCCAATAATTTGTGAGTTGTGAAAAAAGATTTTAGCTGAATATCAAGACATTTGTTACATATATTTCATGCGGGTAGTTTAAACTTAATTCTAGATTCTGTTCTGTAACACATAACTATTACAGCACATATTATATCGCATTATGTTTTTATGACCATAACAAAGTTACGAAAGTCGAATTGTACAAGAATCAGATTTTTTTATATTCATTGACGGCAGACTACTGGACGATAGAATTCAACTATTACAATAATTGGTGTAATATCAATAATTGTAAGTTATATAATCTTAAGCACAGGTATATTCAAAAAGTTGCTTTGAACACGCACAATAATAACTTTTCAAACATGTGAGTAATGTTATTTATTACTGAAAAGAGAATATCAGATTCTGGTGTCAAATTTGGGGAGTTCTGTGGGCCAATCGCCTAACTGGATTGCTTTGGAAAACGCTATCGCTTACGATTTCATTTTGTTATTTCTAACCGCCGAAATACCTCACGCTCATTTTCTTTAACATTGTTATTACCAATGCAAAAGAAAAAAAAAGAGCGCGAGGCATTTGAAAACCTCAGGGGGCTAGAAATAACAAAATGAAATCGTAAGCGATAGCGTTTTCCAAAGCAATCCAGTTAGGCGATTGGCCCCCTGGTTTGAATTGTATCGGCTATAATGGTAGGTGTGTCTCGATTGAGCTTTAAGATCTAAAGAAATAAATAGAGGACAGTCCAGATTGTTAAATAAGTTTACGTCAATAGATATAATAATATAATGATATCGATTCTGGCATGATTCTCTAAACTTAAAACTAAATTTAACATCAGTTTCTTCTTATCATTCTGTATAGATAGTGACAAGAATACACTGATGTCGATTCTGGCATGATTCTCTAAAGCTAAACTTAAATTTGACAACAGTGCATCCTTGTCCTTCTCTATATAGAATAAAAAGGTGAGACTGACCTTAAATTTAGTTTTAAGTTTAGAGAATCACGCCAGAATTGACAACACTGTTGTCAAATTTAATTTTAAGTTTAGAGAATGATACCAGAATCGACACCTATGTAGTATACAACGAATTAGAAATTATCTTCACGTATGGAAACATTACTCTCGAACTAAGGCCGCTAAGACATGGTTCCAAACTCTTGCAATTTACCGTGACAGCACACAGACTAAACAAAATACTTTGACAAATCAAATATCTTCAAACGTATTCGGCACGCCATTCATTGAGTAAGATAATGTTAAACGGAAATCCCAACCAACCCCATGATCGGCGTGTTGATTACAGTATTTTCGCCCCGCCCACTTGATCGCAGTTTGCGTGAAACCACTTTTTAGAGCCTTCGTATTCCATATTACTTCTAATTCGTTGGGAGTATAAACATTCAATTCAACACAAAAACTATACAGTCTACAATATATATTGTCGAAATACTGAAATGATATTAGGTCCTTATTTCACTCACCTTTTAAGTTCACAATTGATTAAAGAATTTAGTCATTTTGTGGTGATCTGACGTGCTCTTGTCCATACACACAATATCGCTTCAGACTATACGAAACTATAAAAATGCAAAATATTTTTTTAACCGTAGTGTTAGTGAAAAATAGATTGTTTTGACATTCTGAGGTAGCGTCTGTGCGGAAAGAGAATGGGCGTGGCGAAAAACGGAACTAACATTAAGATTTTTATTTGGCAATCAAACCCAGCAATCTGTAAAACGTCAAAGTTTTGTATTGATACGGATTTGTTGGTTGTTGTGATTTCTTGCGGTTTTTTGTATTTAATCATGTCTTAAAGGGGTAAAACCTTACAAATACGGTAGAAAAGCTCTACAGCGCCCTCCAATCTAAAACCCATTCTCTTTCCGCACACATTCTAGTCCGACGGGCTTTTATACATAAACATGTCACCATGTCAACCGCCTTCTGATGTTTTTTTTACTTAGTATAATTTTTTGAACATTGGTCCATGGTCACGTTCTTAAGTATATAGAAGGTAAATCTTACCACACTCTGCGCATGAAGAAATGGAGTCAACAACAACATCCTGATATCGTCAGTTTGCCGTGATCAAATTCGTTAATAAAACAAATTGAATTTTCTTATTGTACATTTATGTTCACATTTATAGAGCAGAGTTGAATACTAGACTAGAAGTGGACGTAGTTACGCGAAAACGTTCCAACCCACAAGTCACTCGAAAATGAGTTACCATAACCAGGGTACTATTTTTTACATATTACATCATGTGCACACAAAGATAGTAGTATTTTTAGGTTAGTTTCATCAATAAAGTTTCACCCAAATGTTCCATCCCACCATTATGCCAAGGACGTGTACTCAAAATAAAGTAAAAACATTACATGCATACTGAAACATATTGTTAAAAACTCTTAATAGAATAACATATCGTTATAATGTTCCACTTGTCTTGGAACATTATACTAAATTCATAAAACGCACATTTAATTGTTACTTAAATGATCCATGTGGGTTGGAACGTTTTTGCAAAATCTTTATACATTTTTTATTTCTGCAAAAATGTTCCATATAATTTAAAATCTTTTAGATTAATCCATACTGTTTTTTTTAAGTTGCGAACCCTGTTCTAAATAAATTGGAACGTTTTACTATAATATATTATTTTCTAATATTTTGCTATAAACGATCCACAATTACTTGATCTATTTTTGCTATTAAATATGTTCTAGAGAAAAAAATATTTTTAACCAAAATAAATAACTATGGTATATTTGGACGTAGTAACGCGAAAACGTTCCAACCCACAGCGACAACATTTTGAGATAAACGCAATATTGTGTTTTAGCGGTACACTTTTACCCTGTAATTATTTCAGGAAAATACTATTGGTTTTACTGTGGAATGCCAAGCTGGTTATTGAATAATATGCATATTTTTTGTAAATACATAATACAAGGGACATATAAATAGGTAAAACGAGTTTGAAACGTTTTTGCTAAATTTAATTTTGTATGAACCTTGTTAAATAGCAATTATGCATAAACGTTCCTAAACGAATTTAAGTGTATTATTTTAATAAATATATCTAAAATAAATATGTAAAATAATAAATAACAATGAGGAACATACAAAAACAACAAAAAGAAATTTAAAATGTATTACAAAAAAAAATTGAACGTGATCTTTTGAGCTTAGAACCTATGCCAAAAATTAGCTGATATGGTTCCAAAAGTTATCAAAAACTTACATTATAAACATTCAATTTTCATCATCGTATTCTATGATCTCAAAGCCCGGAACTCCACCAAACCCATCATCATCATCATCAGTAGCTTCTTCAGAACTTTGAAGCGTTCTATAAAATTGAAGACAATCCTCAGGTATGTAGTGGTACATGGATTGTAAGTCCACTAATTTCGCTGGAGCAATCGGTTTGCCATTAGGCCACAATAAACAAATATCAGGTTCTTTTATGTATTGCAGTTCTAGCTTTATTCTTTTATCAATTTTCAACTCATTGAAATTGTCTTCAATGAGTTGAAAATTGACATTCGTTTGCATAAAAATAGAAAACATTTTATCTTTATCCAACTTAATTTCTTTTGTATATAGCCAACTAAGATTAGTTGTACTAAAAAAATCAGTTTTTGTCATTTTGTAAACATAAAGAGGTTTAACTTTTTTACAGGTTTTAATAATATTGATGTATTCTTCAGGTGTATATACGCGTTAATGGGGCTTGAGTGCGGTTTCAATTTTTGTGAAATCTTTGTCAGTTGGTAAGAAAGTATGGCCAGACTCAAGGAATCGGCATGATGTAGTTTTCAAGGTTGGATGAGAGCTTAAAGCAAATGAAGAGAGATTTTGAGCAAGCACAAAATTCACCCTCAGTGGAATGCTTAACCTTTGATTTGAAGAAAACATTGCCTTTACCCCGCATTCACGAATATTGCATTGCACAAAAAGCAGTTGTGGTTCTACAATAGTGGTATCCATAGTGCATCTCATGATACTGGGCATTGTTATGTTTGGGTAGAAGGAGAGGCAAGAAGAGGTGCACAGGAAGTAGGTTCGTGCCTAATAAAATATATAAATCAATAACTAAAACCCACGGCTGAACATTTAATCCTATGGAGTGATTGCTGTGCTGGTCAGAACAGAAACATCAAAATCGTCCTAATGATGAAACCCATCTTACATACACAATCAATACATTTAAATTTTTTTTTATTGTTTTTGTATGTTCCTCATTGTTATTTATTATTTTACATATTTATTTTAGATATATTTATTAAATAATACACTTAAATTCGTTTTGGAACGTTTATGCATAATTGCTATTTAACAAGGTTCATACAAAATTAAATTTAGCAAAAACGTTTCAAACTCGTTTTACCTATTTATATGTGCCTTGTATTATGTATTTAGAAAAAATATGCATTTCATTCAATAACCAGTTTGGCATTCCACAGTAAAACCAATAGTATTTGCCTGATATAATTACAGGGAAAAAGTGTACCGCTAAAACACAAAATTGCGTTTATCTCAAGATGTGGTCGCTGTGGGTTGGAACGTTTTCGCGTAACTACGTCCAAGTGAAATTCATAGGAGCATCGCCAATATACCTACAAAGGAAGAAGTCTCGTGTTTTTTTTTTTGTTTGATAATTGACATGTTATGTGTTTAATAATGTTTAACATCTCATATCAAAATTATATCGAAAATTTGCAACCGGAGTGTATGGAATGCAACAATAGGTTTCTTTTAATGTGTTTTCAACACCGAGACGCGCCTTACTTTACCTAGCTACTACGCGTAAAATTAAACTAAATATAGTGCAGTACCGGTAAAGCTACATAATAAGTTACATATGTTATAGTGTATTTTATTATGGATAAGACTAGCTCATTCAAAAATTGAATTTTGAAAGCCACGTCACATTGTACTCCTCTTACATTTAAATTCCACGACTTGTAGCATTAATGAACTCCGCAAATGATAAAAATGTCTATCCACAAAAAAATAATTCGCTCAAAAATAAGTGGCAATAGGGGTCTATGATGTTCTAAGAATTTTTGTTACCTTAAAGCACGCTGTAAAACTTCAATTACTTATTTAAAAGAGCAGAAAAAGTTTTAGGTGTTAAATAATATCAATATGGAAAATGTATAAATAATTGATGATTAGATTTATCACTAGACTTCAAATGTAAGAAAAGTTGAATCTAAAATCCATAATTTATAATATGAATAGTTGGGAGTATCTACAGGTGCAATTAAGAGGAAGTTTTGCATGTGTTCAATCTTAGAAAGTGTACTTTTCTTATAAAAGTTTTGTGCATAGTTTGTTGTCCGTTTTTTGTAATTCATAGTTATAATAATTAACTAATATAGGTTACTTAAAATTGTAGTATTTTTTATTTGTCTGTTCTCAAAGTTTTTTAATTAATCCTGTAAGTATATTTTTTGTATTCGATTTTGCAGTATATTTTATATACTTACTGATAACTGAGGTTCTGACCGTAAATAGTTAAACCACCGAAGCCTTTCCGAATTTAAGTTGCGTCCAGACTACATAAAACATTGTTATATAACATAGTTTTGTTACAAGTATGTAGATAACTATGTTATATAACATACAAGTGTGGACGTATCTACAATGTTAGATCACATGGGTGTGTTAAATAACAGAAGACATTATAACATGTATAATCTGGACACACCTTTATACACTTCGTATCAGCACATGAAAATAGTTATTAATTGCGATATAAATCTCGCCAAATGGGCCCTATTAGAGGATGTAATGTTAGCACATTACATGAGTCTTCGTAATTTCCTTTTTGTACATTTGACAGCAGTCTCTCCTTTTCATTGCCTGCATATAGAGCATGTTATGAATGTATATGCTGTTAAATGTACAAATTCATTTTTCGTTCCATTGTTTTGTATACCGGCTGTATGATATTGTTTTGTACATTCTGTGTAATTAAAAGCACAATCGTATATTTATTGGCAAACATCTTGAATAATGCTGGCATTTCAGATGGCTATTCATATTTTTTATTTGTATGCTTTTTAGAGCAGTCTTCTTTTCGGTCCCTGTAGAGTATGATAAGAATAACCTGGGCCCTATTTCTCTAAGTCGACATATTGTAAGCCGACGGTTTCTTGTGGGGTGATTTATTAACTGCAACAATTTCATTAATTGCATATGTTTGGAAAGACGTATCATACATCATCACCATCATCACTAGCCTATTAATGTCCCCACTGCTGGGGCACAGGCCTTCCTCTTGGATGGAATAGTGAGGTTGGGCCATGACCCACCACGCGCGCCCAGTAAAATTTTGATAAATGAAACATAATTATGAACTGTAGGCAAAACATGCAATCGCGATATTTAAGACCCCCAGGTCATGGCGTCATCATCCTTTACTTACTAGAGGTAAAAGTTATCCCCTGGTGTCATGTATAGTTCTGTTTTAGTTTGTTTAAAATAAAACTATTAATATATTAAAGAGAACTTTATACAGTAATTAAAATCTATTAACATACTAGCTACATGACATTTAATAAGGCTTTCCATAGTTACCTAAGGCTTTCCTCATTCTCCAGTTTCCTTTCTATTTCCATAACCTCTCTTCTTATTGATAGAATATTCCTCATTTCAAAATATGTGATTAGAGCCGACGAAACCACTTGGAGTCCTGCAAGGGTGGCTACCGTCCCTTGGAGAGGTCTAGCCAGTTTGCTAACAAATTTCACAATTACCCTGGGGCCATCATATAGCTCTGGTATCCTGGCAGTTGCATATCTGTGACTCAACTGTAAAAGATCATTTGTCATTATAATTGCTAATCTTAAACAAGCAACCTTTTGTACGGAAGCAAAATATTAAAGAAAAATCATGAAATGTTAAGATAACAAAAGTATACCAGACATTAGAATAAACAGTACTTTTTTTCCTGCTGTATTCCTTATTCACCTAGGTTCATTTTCTATACTTGCAGACTTATCACTACTTGTAGCCTTCTATGTATTTTATATTTAAGTCTTTAAGTAAACTTTAATCACCAAAATATTAAAAGATACTCGTGAAACTAAATTAGTACTGACATACCTTACAAAAGATATTAAACAGAACATGTTAGTGAAAAACTAAGACTTTCAAAGCTTACAACCATTTCCAAATATCCAGTAGGATCATCATCCATCCATGGTTCATAAACAATTTAGGATTAGATTTAATCTAAGAGTGTGATTAAGTATTGAGTATAACATTAATAAAATGTATTACATTTTATTTTGCATCACTTGATAATTTTTCTTTATATATTTTTGCTACACAGTGTCCTTCAACATAATTTTTGGTGCATAGGTGATTTCCAAAAAAAATATATCAATAAGTAAAAAAAAGAACTTTCAAGTACATTAAATGCACCCAGGTGAATTAATTGGGTGATTATGATTCCTTTTAGTATGCTTAATGCACCCATGTGATTAATGTTTATAAAAATTTGGTAATGCATTTAATAGTCAATTCATACTAGCGCAGAGTTGAAGCATATCTAAGCAAAATTCAGACACAGTAATAGCAAATTACAACACTGCAATATAATACACATATTCCTTCTGAACTGATAATCAGCTGAATTTGCATCTTCTTTTTATCTCAGAAGGGATAAGTTACTTACGTTGCCGAGATAATGGTGAATTTGCATTGTTAAGTTTCTGAAATTCGCTTAGATGCACTTCTATGCTAGTACGAATTTACCATAAGTGACTAAACCTAGGTAATTTCAGTAACTAGTGATTTGTTGATGTAAATAGTGTGTGATGTGTGATGTTAAAAGGGTGGCAAACAAATGATATAAATACCATCATAGCTGTTGTCGGTGCAAGTAACATTGGGTAGACAACACCCAATCCAAGTTGAAGAACAGTAGAACGTATCTCATAACACAGCGGACATGTTTCAGCTTTCATAAGGAGCATATCTGTACTCACTATCTGAAGATAAAATTCTTTAAAAAAATATGCGTAATTATATTTTGCCTAATTCAAATTCAAAATATATTTATTGAAACTGGAAGCATAGTACAACTGTTTTGAATCATCCAAAACTTATCCCTACACCAAATTATGGGACATATTTTTTAGTTGTGGAGAAAAACAAGAAAAAAAAACTTCACAACGCAAAAAATAATAATGTAACAACAATAATGATAATTGAGAATACATACATATCTATGAAACAGTGGTGTCAAAATTCCTGGCATAAGTGATATGGGGATTGCAGATGATAAAAAACCATAGGGTCCAAGTTTCAGTTTGTTTCTAAAATGGTTATTGATAATAAGACCCGATATAGCATTTATGCCTCCCAAGATGAAGGGTCCAAATCTCAGTGCCCATCTGGAAATTAACTTGTGATATAGTAATATAATTTGAAACCACAACAACTCTAAATCAAAGAGATTTGTTGGATATGTTAATCACACTGCCTCAAGAGTTTGATAACGTTTTATTTAGCCATAAGACGTTATTCAAGACTTACACGTCTGAAGGAGTTTTCCACCCGTCAACGAAATCCCAGGCGTATTTAATAGCATCTTCTTCTGTTAGCAATACAGCATCTTTAGGCACGTTTTCTTTCGATTTCATTAACACCATGGCTACTTAGTGTTGTGCCAATAAAACCAATAATTCTATTCTTGTAAACACCCAATATGCTCAAAGGTAAGAAGTTTGTATCTACCTGGAAATAATATAGAAAAATAAATAGATAGAAAATGAGAGGCCAGACTGGGTCGGATAAACCCCAGTAGGTAAACTTAACCGCTTTAATTTTTTTGACAATGACAGCAGATAGTTCGTCCCTGTATTTTCCTTTTGATTTTCCTATGATATTCCTGTCTGTCAAAAACAGCTGATAAGTCTTAAGCTCTGAGTACTTAAACCCATGGAGATGGCATATTATTGGATTTTTAGCCGACAAAAAGGCTAAGCAGCATTTAAAAAGAAAAATGGCGATTGCTAAGTAACAATGAAAAAAATAAAAAATAATAATTTAATTGTTTAAATTGTTAATTATTCTTATAAAAATTCTAGTCTAAGGGTGCGGCCAGAGTGCACTCAGATTCAGAGTCAGATTCAGATTCTGAAAATAAGCGCGAGAAATAAACAGAGTAGTCTAAGCAGGTTGCCTGCTTTTTCTCGCGCTTTGTTTTCTGAGTCTGAATCTGAATCTGAATCAGGAGTGCAATCTGGCCGTACCCTTCGACTACACTGTTTATTTCTCGCACTTGTTTTCAGAATCTGAATCTGAGTGCACTCTGGCCGCACCCTAATACTGGTGTCCATTCTGTAGACATGGGCGTTTTTGGTTTTGAACGCAAACGGATATTTATCGGATTTCAGATTTCAAAATCGATTTTAAAATCCGTTTTTAAATATCCGATTTCAGATGTGCTGAACTTAGCCAATTCACTAGTTTGTGTTATGATTTGGTTTTATTAGCCAACGACAATCACAAACAATTAATTGTAGGAAGCAAGGATACTCGTAGATATTCGCGATTTTCCTTCATGCTTTAAATCTAGGCTTAGGACTAGCAAAAAAGTTATGTTTACGGTTAAGAGTAAAACTTTTGCGGCGCATTTAAAAATCGGCTTTTATACAATGATTTCTTTTTACACATTTTTTAGTATTTTTATTTGTTATTCTGTTTGTTTTTATTATTTTTCAAACCATTTACAAAATCAAACCTAATTACTTCAGGTTAGCGTCCAAAAATGTAAGTTGCTCGACTTTTGATGTTTTTAGACGACATATCTTTTCAGTGATAAATAATCCCGCCTCAGAGAACAGCAATAGATTTCCGTAAACAGCAAATCGAAATCGGAGTTCCGAGCACGAAATCTTACTTCCGAAAACGAAAGCACGAATTTCGAATCCGATTTAGATTTGGATACTTGTGGTATTTGGTTTTGGTTCGGTTAGATTTCTGAAATCGGATTTTCTTGTTGAGAAATCGTTCGGTATCGATTTGTGTTTGAAATCGGATTTTGGATTCGTTTTGATATATCGGACGCATGCCTACCATTCTGGCATGATTCTCTAAATCTAAACTTAAATTTGACAACAGTGTATCCTTGTCGTTCTCTATATAGAATGAAAAGGAGAGACTGATGTTAAATTTAATTTTAAGTTTAGAGAATCTCGCTAGAATCGACACTACTGGTGTCGATAATAAAGGGCTTTGGCCATGAATGGTTGATAACCTAAACCGTCAACCAAATGTCACTTTAAGTTGCGTTCAGAAACTCAATTTAAAACCTTCGTTTACCTAAAGGATGCATGTTCGTATGTGACCTAGTAATAATGCATGATTATTGATAACTACTCCGGCGGTAATGCAGATTTGAGCGGAATTGAAGAGCTAGATTCTGATTTATGTTTTTCCTCACACTTAATAAATAAATATTATTAAAAATCAGTTATTTTTTCTTCTCATAATTTGTAAAAAAAAGAAAATTAAAATTTGGTTTGAAATAACAGCTATGACGTCACAATATGGAATCGACACCATCATCAATTGACGTGATAAGGAAAGAAATTGTGCTGGTTCTTGTGAAGAATAAGGAATTCAATAGAAGAGTTCAAAAGATTAGACCTAAACGCTCATGAGAAAGAAAGTAGATAGCATGAAGAGAATTATGAGGAACAAGCAAACAACTTTTTATTTTTGCTACCGCTTCCTTTGTTCCAATGTCTAGAATATACATTACTTTGCACATTTGTATGTGCGCAACATCTCTAGCAGATATCTAGTTCTTATACTCAGCGCTTGTAGTGTTAAATAAAATAAACAATCAGGTCTTCAATATTCCTTGACGAACTTTTACGTTTTCTCCTCCGTCCACTTCATTATGATGTTTTCAAAAACTCAATCTCAACTCGCGTGGCGAGTTTAGTTTGCGGGGTGTGAACGATGCAGGAAGCGGGATGGACTTTCACTTGACTTGGAATATCGTTCTATTCACTGTACTAATTCATTAGGTCACAACTACTTAACTGGCAAATCGCTGTCAAAACGATGATAAAAACTTATCTCGTCAAAGACTGTGAGTTAATTCCTTTTGTACTTACCAAATTGTAAATCAGCCTTTAAGCCACAATGACAAATAATAAAAACATGGTATCACATGGTTATTCGTTTATGCTATTATTTATCATTTTGAAAGCAGATTATCCTTAACATACTCTATAGGGAGGGAAAAGAAAAGACTGCTGTCAAGTTTACAAATAGTTAATACGACGTGACGTGAATTTCTGTTATCTGTGCTACATTTTGTTTGACACTAACAGTGACAGTAGTTGTAGTTGTTTTCGGGTGTATTCCGTAATATATACCAGTATACTGGCCAGTGCTAATGACGTCATGGATCGACGCTATTCTGGTGAATTGTTCCGAAATATATTGGCCAGTGCACTGACGTCATAAATCGACGAAATATTAAAAATAGTGCGAATAAAGAAGATTTTTTATTAATCTCATCAATTAAAAGGATTTTTTTTTGTTCGGATGCCATTGAGGTCGATTCTGGCGTGATTCTCTAAACTTAAAACTAAATTTAACATCAGTCTCTCCTTTTCATTCTGTATAGAGATTGACTAGGATATACTATTGTCAAATTTAAGTTTAGGTTTAGAGAATCATGCCAGAATCGATACCATTATTATTCTTTAATTAAAAAAGAAATAAAATTCGAATGCATCTCACGCACGCGCTCGGTCATACGTCATATTCGTTTTTCCGGTAAAAATATCTATTTATTTAATTTTTGGGAGACCAACAGCTCTTAAAAACAGACATAGTTGAAGAAATAAAATTAGTTACAGAAGGCCAATTACAGGTCTCCACGTTTAAAAAACAGAAATCTTTATACTTTAACATATAAAAATAATTAAATATAAAAACGTGTGGAAAAAAAAATAGGATTGGTCTACAGAGTAAAGACAATTCGCCCTCATAACAATAACTTAAATGGTAGCATACCAGACAATATAGCGTCGGATCCGTGACGTCATTACCACTGGCCAGTATATAGATGTATATTTCGGAATACACCATCGGTTTGTTTTATTTTGTTTAGGTAGGGACACGATATCGAATAGAAAGTATCGATACTGTAATCATGAGTAGTATCGGTAAAAAAGTATCGTACTCGTAAAAGTATCGAAACAAAAGTATCGATACTTCAAAGTATCGAGTACATTTCATAGGGTCTTATCGGAGCCTCTGTGGCCTGATGAGCAACCCCCCCCCCCCCCCCGGTGTTAAAATTGAAAGAAAAACAATCGAATTTTATTATACTACGTATAACCAAAAAAAAAAAGGACATGTAAATTCACAAATTGCTATATTATATAATGAAAAGAAAATAGCTGTGATTTCTGACACTAAAAAAGTGTTCATTAATATTCTTTTTTTCAGGTGGTTTCAAATAAGTATACACAGCACAGACAGAATAATAGTGTTACACTTGAATAAATCAAATACAGTCAAGCGAAAAGCACAATAAACGGCGAATCAATCACAGTTCCTAACAATATGGTCGCTAAATAAATAACTATGAAACAAAACAAAGCGCAAAATAAACACAGTCACAGATTGGAAAGAATTTGAATATGTCAGTTACTGACTTTATAACAACGCAATGGGTCATTTGACAGTATTAAAAATAAAGTGCCAAAATAACGAAAAAGATATTAGTTTTCTTATCTATTGTCACGTGATCCAAAACGCTTCGGATTGGCGGAGCCTAAAATGACGTCACACGCAAGTAAACTTCCGTCAAAGTGACATTACATTGTATCGTTTGACGTTTTAATAACAGTCGTGTGACGTCACACACTAGTAAGACGCCATATTATCCAGAGAAACGTTTTCGCGGCAACTTGAAAATGGAGTTTTTGATTTGGATATTTTTACTGAAATACACAACAGAATGATGAATATCCACTTTTTATGGACTCCATAAACATTAGACAATAACGTGAGATCGTTGCCTAAAACTTGTCAAATACCCTATGGAACGTTTTAGAAGGTTTGCTATGATTTGACAAGATGGCGTTGCCATCAGTATGAGGCGCTTATCCAAATTTTTAAAGGTATCGATACTTGGCAAAAAGTACTCATTTAGTAAAAGTATCGAATACAAAGTATCGAGTACAAAAGTATCGGTTTCGAAAGGAAAAGTACTCGATACCACAAAGGATCGATACATTTTTCGTGTCCCTATGTTTAGGTTGTTTTATTTGTGAACGCTTTTTGTCAAGCTTTTTCAAGTACATCTTAAATGAGCGAGGAGTTATTTATATAATCGCAAAAGTAATTTGCTTCGTTCAATATTATTATTACACAAAATTTTAGCCGTAATGAAATAATTCACCTTACGTGATGAGTATAAAGAATGGAATAACAATAGAAGAATTCATAGAATCATGCAATAAGTTTTGTGAGATTTCAGAAAGACTAAGTGATGGCTGGAAGTTTTATGGAAACGAAGTTGATAAATATAAGAGCTACATAAAAAAATGCAGCTTTTTGCAGCAGGTCAAATCTGATATAAATACTTTGTTGAGAGCAGAGTTTGTAATATTTTATAACCTTAGTTATGGTGTTCCATCATTCAGTTTTAATGTTTGGAACTCATCTGGTGTACTTTTAAGTTTAGAGGAAATTAGGCAGATGTCTCTAATAAGGTAACTCTTTGTAAGTCATTATGTTCAATATTTAAATCGGATATACTGTACTTCCAGGGCCCAAAAGTAAAAACTTCACAGTTTTGTTGGTTGTAATTTCGCATTTTTGTTGTTAAAAAGGTTTCTGTTAACCACATTATTAAAAAAAATGTCACACTTATACACTGGTAGTTTTTTTGAAAAAAATATTGAAAATTTTTACTTTTCTTATCAAGTGGTGATACTTCACACTAGGTTAGGTTAGGTTAGTGTTGTGACCATAACGCGCGAGCCGAGCGAGCAAAGCGAGCGTGCCGCGGCAGCGGCCGGCGAAGCGCCAGAAAAATAACTGTTAAAAAGACCTTTTCTACAAAAAAAAAACAAGTATCACCTTTTGGGCCCTAGAAGTACAGTTTTACCTTTAAATCGGACTTGGAGAGAATATTAAATAAATTTTTATTGTGATAAGTGAATTAATCCATATTTGTTAGTGTTCATTCCAATTCTTACATTGGCCATTTTTTTATTTTTTGTTTTCAGTATAAACAAAGACAACTTTTTTTCTATTATTACTCAACAAGAACACCCTGTATTACTGCGACCTTATTTTGTGATTCATCCATGCCACACAGAAGTACTATTGAGGGAGTTAAAAGAAGTATCCAAGAATATAATAGTTACCTTCTTAGGATTGGTAACTCCTTTACTAAGGCTAGACTTGCCCTTTGAATATGGACTGTAAATAGATTGCAATTTCTTTATTTTACTACTTACATTTAAAGAAATTTTATAAACATTCATTCATTTCATTCAACATGAATATTCATACAAATGTATGGGGTGGAGTGAATATTTTTTTGTTTTCATTAAGAAGTATTGTTGGTTGTACTTTATTATTTATTCATAATAGTTTTATAATCTAATATTAAGAATGTGATGGTAGTTGTATATGTTTATGACTTTTGATGTCATTTTTCAATTGACAACACTGTGAAATAAAACAGGAATAAAAATCTTTCCTTGCTGAGTTTGTTACCAGTTCTTCTACGTACGAGGTCTCCCACCGTACACTTGTGATCCAATGGCAGAGCATTTGACATTTATAGGAGCTTGTCAACAGCCTAGACTGAATAAATTATTTTGAATTAAATTTGAGTTTATTTGAACTGTTCTTAGAGCTTGTAAATTATATAACTATGAAGAATGAAAAACCAGTCCTCAAGCTGCCTCAATCAATTAATATCAATTGACGAATGTAGATAGTATATACACTTAAATAATATGAATTGGGTGTTCATCCCCTCTAGCATGACCACCGAAACGCGATATGATAAAGCGACATATCGACATTAACTGTCAGACTACTGTCAAACTCCATAGTAGTCGGACAGTTAATGCCGATATATCGCTTTATCATTTATCTCGTTTCGGTGGTCATGCTAGAGGGGCTGGACTACATATCCAAGCAGACAAACCTTAAGTTAGGTTTTCAAAAATGCCAGGATTGAGTCCGAAATTATAATAGTCCTGTTCACACTTGACAGAACTTTATTCACCACACAGTTAACACACAATGTTAATCACAATACACACACTAAACACTTACTACGTACTAAAACTATGTCCGATTATCAACATGGCTTTCTTGTTTGCCGCTCTGCTGTTACAAATCTATCATGCTTTACGACTTAGGTACGTTCTCACAAATATGGATTGGCAGTTTGACGTGGTCTACAGTGATTTTGAAAAAGCATTTGATCATGTTGACCACGTCATCCTGCTCCGCCAGCTTTATGAGCGATATATGGTTATTTGCTGCACTGTATCCAGTCTTACTTCGGCGAATCGTTCTCATGCAGTTGTAGTTGGGGGATTCAGATCAAACTGTGAGGATTCCAAAGGTAGGTAAGCATTGGAATCCTCACAAAGTTGGATAGGTAAGGTAGGTAAGGATTTACTGTCATTTTGATAATCGGACATTCTTTTCTTGATAACTGGGTATATTGCGTTGTAGACAAGCTTTTCAAAGACCTTGCCCAAAGTATTTAGTATAGAAATACCACGGTAGTTTTCTACACATGCTTTGGAACCTTTCTTGTGGAAGGGTATAATTTGGGCATTCTTCCAAAAAGTAGGATAGGTGCCTTCTTTTAAAGACCGATTACACAAAAATGTAAAAGAAGCTAAAGTTATGGCGTAATGTTTCCAAAAAGATGGCATCGCAGCCAGTCCCTTTAGCACAATCTAAGCTAGACAGTGTTTTTAATATAATTTCAACAGACACATTTAAATTATAAATATAATCAGGGGACACAGATAACTGACAAGAAGGTGCCGTCGCGGAACCGGCATTACCAAATACACTTAAAAAAATAACTAAACGCCTCACCAATTGAGAACCCCTCTGTATATGATATGGAATTGAAAGTAACAGCCTTAGGATAGTTGGAGCACCCGCGCAATGATTTTATGACCAAAAAAATTTAGGACATGTTTTGACTGACAGTCCAACTTTATTGATATAGGTATAAGTAAGTACTTTTTGTAGCAAGCTTCTCGTCCCCTACTTTGTCTTTTTCGCAGCATGGTAAACTTATCACTGTCGAGCAGATTGCCATATAATTTCCATCTAGAATGTGCCTTTGGCTTTTCTTTAATTATTTTTATAAATGCCTTACAATACCAAATTGGTTACGATCGATTTCTAAACAGTTTTGTAAAATGTATCAGTTGCATCGTCTACAGAACCAAATTCCAGTAACCCCTGCCATTCAATCATACTGAAATGTCTAATAAGACTTTCCTAATCACCTTTTCTATTTATACTTAGTTACGCCTTAAATTATTGATTTCTTTCAAAGGTTTTGCCATAAAGTCTAATAATTCAATTAAAAATGAAGGCTGAGCACAATCCTTATAACTGAACTTGATTATTTGGTATGCTTCTTTCAATTTTTAATGGTAAATTTAAAAAAGCCAAGTCCAAAGTGTTTTCTGCATAATTTAACAGATTGTTATACTGGAATAGGGCCTAATACTGAAAAGTTATTTATAAAATTGAGACTAGCACCCTGAACAATGGCAGGCCTACGTAAAAATGTGTGTTTTCTCATAAAATTCTCTCGATAGAAACACTCGATATCTCGGAAACGTGCGTGCGGCCACGAGGACACAGGAGAGATCAAAAGACGCGGAATTGGAAGGGCTTTAAGATGATGTAAAAATATTTTGGAAAAGTTGTTTTATTTTAATAATCTATAATAGGTAGATTAATTTTCAATGCCCTTTCAAGTCGCGCAGAGCACGAGATCTGTGAATTTTGTCTAATTTGTGGTTGCACTACAATATTTTCCTCTTATTTTATCTATTGAGTATTAAATCAAGTAAAGTATTAAATCTTTTTATCTATTTAGTATTAAAGGCCCTGTTATGATCAACCTAAAAAGCTTGAACTCAATGGGAATGCTTCATTTTATTACAGCATTCCTATAGCCACCTTCCAGCTCCTTCATTGTCAGATTGTAGTTGGATAGGTACTATGACAATCAGTCTTATCAGGCAAGAAAAAAGCAACAACAGCGTTTCCATGGGCGCTTTCCGATGCCATCATCCATCAGAGCAGCTCCCATGTTATAATAAATAAATAAATATTTCCAACACTCGCACCAATTAGCCTAGCCCCAAAGTAAGAACTGTAAGGCTTGTGTTATGGGATACTAACGGATAGAATACATAAACTGTACATATATAAGTATATTTATATAGAAATACATATTTAACATCCATGACTGGAGTACAAATGCTCGTATTCATCACACAAACATCTGCCCCTACCGGGATTCGAACCCGGGACCTCTCGAGTCGGCGACACCATGAAACCCGGCGTACAAACCACTCGACCACGGAGGTCGTCAAATATTGTCATGTCATCCGATTTATATATGCAAACAGCTTATCCGGAGCCCAGCAGTGAGTCAAATTGAACGCAAGATGTTCGACGACCCCCTACCAACAGACAACGGGACAGGTTTTTTTGTAAAAAGAGTAGCATACAAACACACGACATTTACGTCGTAAATGCTCTAAGTATAGCCCGCCTGATTGTAAATACTTGCGATACCAGAGTATCACTTGCGCCGTTGCCTCTTCATTGGAATTGCCACCGGATGTAAATGTTGCCTACCGTGACCCCTCCTTCTACCACGTATTAAGCTCTTCATCCTGACTCACTGACAGCTTAATGGGAAGCCAGGGAGTAAGTCAAATTGAATTTGCATGATTTGATTAGTTACGAACACCACAACTGGATTTTTTATGTAAAAAGGTGGTAAACAAGATCACGGCACCCTGATAGTAAACGGTTGCCATAGCCCGTAGTACCATACACACAGACCGTCTTTCCCATTGGGCACTTTGGGCAAGTGCCCAGGGCCCCGCGATAGGGGGCCCCCTCAGATCAAATACAAAGTCCCTAGTTCCTGTTAAATCACCAAACGGAAGTCATAGGGGCCCCATTATCATTAATATGCCCACTGCCTCCAATAGGTCAAAGACGGCACTGCAAACATAGCCTGGGTTTGCTTGCGATACTACAAAAGAGATGTTCCCTGGTGATGCCTTATGCCTAACTAATCAATTGCGCCGTTGCCTACTTTAATTCCCCTACTCCGGGGAGCTCTCTTTCCAGAGGCGCGCTATGATTTGAGCGGTAAATACGTTATGCCCTACCTACGCCTACGACCTACGACCTTAGTACGAGTTTTACAATTACGAAAACTATGATAGTTTTCGTGAGCTCGCACTCGTACTAAGGGTACTGATTTTATTGTTTTCGTTTCAATACAAATAAACAGTGTTTAAATTCTATCATTAAATCGTTTGCGTCTTCTTAAATTTCAAGAATATTTGGTTACTTTTCACCAAAATGGGTATAGAAATATAATTTACAATTACGGAAACTATGATAGTTTTCGTGAGCTGAAACTCGTACTAAGGGTACTGTCTTCGGGGTGAAATGAAATATATTTATTTATTTTTTTATAATCAGGCTACATAGGGCCATAGATAAATACCTTATAGTCTAACATATATACAGATATAAAACATTGTTGTTAGTAAATAAAATTATTAATATGTTACTAAACACCTAACTAACACGTATAGATGGCGACGTGTGACGCGAAGTGGTGTCAGGTAACCGACCTCGGAAGCGCCGGAACACTACACCTTTCGGCCAAAGATCCTCCTTCATGAAAGTCGCCAGATGTTCAGTCGGGAAATGAAATATAAGCTTTGATCATTAGCTTGAATAAGTAATTAGCTTTTATCAAATAAGCACCCATCTCTGTGTACTGTCCACTAGTATTCGCGAGTTTTATTGATATAATAAAGCACTGATAAGATAGTTTCCATTATCAACCTTTTGTATCGTTTCAACTTCATTGTCGGTTAGTCGTTAGTGACAAACAGTTGTTTTCGTATGTGATGTGTATGTATGTATGTAATACTCGACAAATGTTCTTGTTAAAGTCAAAACAATGAAACCGTGCTGTATTTTAATATATAATTGTACACAGTGGTTGTGCCAGAGAGCTGTGTCGTTTTTTCAATTCATATTTTTTTGCTTCACTGTGAGTACCTTTGCATTAAATTATTACTGATATTTTACTATTTTTCTATGTGACGTGTTAATTAACTTCTTAAACTTCTCTAACCAAGGATTACGTAAAAATTCATACCAAAATTTGCTTTTTAAAATCAAATACATTCTGAATGGCTTATCTGCTCAATCCAGTATTGGATTTGGATATAGCAATCATTCGATTGGCCAAACAAAACATGGTCTGATTACAAATCATTAACCAATCAAATTTATGGTATTACCAACTCACCTGCCGACTATGTACAGGTGCAATTTACTAATGAAAAAAAAACGTAAAAATGTGATATTTTGTAATCAGTCTGTTTACACCGGCCATCTTTACTCTCGATAAAATAGTTTTAGAAACATTGGTAGGTATATTTGTTTACCTTTTCTCATAGAAGAAATTGAATAGAGTATAATATATAACTAATTGCTTTTATCCATTACATATATATCCGACTTTTGAAGTGATAACTTCTTAGGGGAGGGTAAACCATCTTCGTTACGTAATGCGTTAGGGCTCCAGTCTGTCTGGCTTCACTTCCTCTCACGCATACGGTAGCGTTAGACAGTCTTCTCCTCCCACTTTAACCCGCAGCGTTAGTAAGCCATTGGTTGAGCGAGCCTCACAGTAGTCGCGTAAGATGTGTAACATTTGAACCACACCTTATATTATTAAAAAAAGAAATAAAACCTACTATAAAAGGAATAAGCCCTTTGAACATTATGTTCTAAAAGCAAATCAAATAGCGCGCGCTTTCGCCAAATCAAATAGGGCTCGCTTTCGCGACTTCCTGTTACACACTTCCGTCCCATTTCGCTCCCACAAATTGCAGGAAAGCGAGAGGAAAGCTTTTATACATGAATAATGATACTAATAATATATATGCACAAAATTCTAATGTACGAATTCAAGAATTATTGTAACTAAGAATAAAATATATTTTATAATCAATAAAAGATTATATTAATGAATAACTTTTCCTCACATTATCATAATATGCATAAAGTTATAACCTAAGCTTTTCCCAAGTTAAAATTGTTTAATGAACTTAGATTAGTTTAAGTTGTCACTTCTGTCCTGCGTCTTACCCGTCTGCCCAATGCAGGAGCGCGAAGTGCGACGCGCAGACAAGGTATAAAGTCTTTAAATGTATGTATGTTCCTTTTTAAACGCTTTTATTATCTTATTATAATATAAATTACGCGTCACGTTGTTTGTCCGGGATGGACTCCACTACTTTACCGATTTTAATCAAATTTGCACACCGTGTGCAGTTTGGTCCAACTTCAAAGATAGGAATGCTTACATTTCAATTTATAGACGCAATATTATTTTATTACAAATTATTACTTTTGGGCGGTACGAAGTTCGCCGGGTCAGCTAGTTTTATATGAAATTGATTGACAAGCATATGACTCGTGTGAGTGTTGGTAAATTGCCATCATAACCTTGTTATATTTTATGTATTCTGTGACAACCTAAAATACAGAAACATTAAAATACAAGTCTTAGAGATAGATCATGTTCTATGTGATAGATTCTAGCGATTGACAGCTACACGCTTTGCCCACTCTCCCCCGTGGAGCTCAATCGTTCCCTATAACAATAAATAGCTTAAAATGCTTATATTAGCTTTATTGCGAAAATAAAACAAAAACACGCGTTTAAATACATAATAAGGATAAACATTCATATGGTACATGTGTACATACACACAGCCACAGTCGTTGGCAGATCGAGAAGTGGATATCACATTCTAGCATGTCGAGATTTTGGGATTGTTACCGGGAGAAATATTCACTGTTTGTGGTGCCTACTGTCTACACTTATATGTTTATATACATAAAATTTCCGAACAAACTCGCAGGCATCTGCTAGTTAAATAATAAAAGGGATACTCGTATTGCATATTGTGTCTTACTTGTCAATGACCTCGACTGTGCATGTTTTTACCTATTTTGGTTGTTTGAAGTATGCGTGATGCCGTGAACTATGGCACATGTATGGCCTTGAATAATATGGTAGTCTTCACTTTACTAACAACATTAAAGTGAAAGAAACCGGGCAAGTGACATTGTACAATTTTTTTTATGGCAATAAATTTCATTACAATAGGTATCATTTTCTATGACAAAGATGCCAATTTAACATGTATTGTGATTTTTGTTTAATCCAAAAACGCGTTTTATTTTCGAAATATGTACGGGTGATATGGCAAGATGCAAGTCAGACTTCTCTGTACTTCAAAAATTAACTCTAGGGTCTGTAATATTGGGAAAGCTCCCCAGGAATCCAGCCCCCTGATTCCTTCACTCGAATCCAGCCCAGCCGACCTATTCGCTAACCTTTCTGACATTTAAAGTGGTGTCGATTCTGGCATGGTTCTCTAAATCTAAACTTAAATTTGACAACAGTGTATCCCTGTCATTCTCTATACAGAATGCAAAGGAGAGACTGATGTTATATTTAGTTTTAAGTTTAGAGAACCCTGCCAGAATCGACACCAGTGTGTTACTAAAGAGAAAATTGCATATCCCTCAATGCCTTTCAGAACAAGTATCTTAGTGGCGTTATAATAAAGCAGTAGTGGATCACTAAATATCTCGATGGTTAACATATCCATCTATCAAAAGCATTTAGCGAATAGGTTTACTGGGCTAACAAGCATGTCCACCTGATGCTAAACCCCCGTCCTAGTATATAGAACATACATATTGACGCTTGCGGAACTAAAAATATTTCTCTCACCGATGCCAATCTGGCTCTATCCCATGCCCCGTGGAGCCCTGGAACTCCAATTTTAACGGATAATTCGCTTCGTTTATTTCATTCAAGCGACATTAGCTGATTATTAGCAGGGTAAAGCCTAGGGCTGCAGTCTTAATCGTAACGTAATCGCCGCGGGACGAGAGCTCGTGTTTCTTCGTGAGGCGATTGCTCTATGATTTCGATTAGTGTGCGTTACAGTAGAAAGTTTCATACAAAGAATACTGCTTTACTCGAGTTGATACGGCGACGATCCCTTTTCGAGTTGAATTGTTGATATATCTGCTACGTCTGTGGCTACGACCATAAAACCGATAATCGCTGTATCGTGAACTTGATGTGACGTCATGGCGTGTCTTACTGAACATCAAAACAACTGAATCCTACTCAGTAGGATGAGACAGCCGATTTATGGAAAGTCAAATTTAGGGCTGTTGGAATTGTTGCTTTTGTTTTGATTCGCTCATAGGCATTGAAAGAAACAAAATATCGCATACGGAGTTAAGACTGACCTTGTCTTAATAATATAATGTGTATCGCCTTATCATTATATTATATTATAGGTACATGAATGGATATCAATTATCTAATTAGAAATAGCAAATTCTTAAGCGTAATATCGGCTTATCGATTGATTGTAGGTAAAGCTACCTGATGGCGTCTTTTTTTTCACTGATTATTTTGAATATATTATCCGATTCCGAAAAGTGGACCACAATTAATTCATTTTTCGCCTTGTCTGTAGTTACTGAAGTACACGTTACCACGACAAGTTTTTTGCAAAATAATCTCACAAGAAATTCCATTTTTTCAATCGTGAAGAAAACGTTGAAACTAACATGAAAAATAAATGTTTTTTTTCTGGAGCACAACTTCTTGCACGACTACAGATTATAGAGTTTAAGAGTTTTCAGTTTTTTGTTTATTTTTAAATTACTAACCAAACTTACAACAATTGCTAACATTCACTGTCACTGGCAACAACCCTTCGCTTTATGTTTGCTTGAAGTATGGATTGTTAAGAGCGCATTTGAAGAATTGTTGTGTTTTTCATATAGGACCTACCTAATATGTGTGAAATCGGACATAACACCCCTTTATTTTATTTAAGATTTTTTTATAATAATCTATTCAAAAATTATTCTGAAAAAAAAACAATTTTAGAAAGAAATCAAGGGTCCTAAGTTTTTATCATGTTTTTCTCTAAATGTTGAAAAAATAGGTGCAAGGTGCGTCGGTGGTTAAACCACAGTTCGGCGACAGTATTCACTATCCGAAAATAGACTCAATATTTCACTTAAAAAAACATAGCAGTAAGTTAAATAAATTTTTCCTTGATCACAAGAAATCAATAGAAGATATGTCGATGTACATGAAAATTGAGAACAACACGTTTAATTGTTATATATTTTATAATATTCAGTCCATTAAGGCGAAAGCATTAATTTGCAACGGCATCAGGTGCTGAAAGTCGCACGATTAGCCTGGGCTGTGCCAGTAGTGGAGTCACGGTGATTGCCGTCGATGGTCAAATGGATTGTCGATTAGCGATGACCCGAGCCTTTACTGTTTTCTGATGCTAAAACAGCCAGGAAAATGAGGGTAATGATCTTTGTTTTTTATCGGTAGCACTCCGTTTCATCGTTTCCAGTCGAAATATCATGTCTATGTTCTTCATATCCATCTTTGATCTGACCATATGGTTACCTATACCTAATTTTACCATATTTTCACTTACTTACACTTGTTTTTCACTTCACAAAAGTTGCAGCAAGCAAAATGATGACACTTATAATATATACAGGGCATCCCACGGTTACCCCACACGGAGGGAAGGTATATTAAATATTGAAGATAGGATATTTATCTGAAAGAAGACATCATTTTTTTTAATAATAACTGGAACTGCATTCACAGATTTTTTTAAATTCGCCTGCTATAGCTGGGAATCAAACTCGTGAAATTAAAAAAAAAAACACGACATCATTTTATGATAGCCATCGAAAGGGATAATCATAAGGATTATTCTTTGCTAAATAACATAGCATTTTAAATGAAAGAAAAGTCATTAAATTTAACATTTTATTTAAAATTATTTTACACAAACTAATATAAAAACGAAACGGTGCAAGAAAAAAAATATTTATCGAATGTTCAAAATGTGATCCAGTTTATTGCATGCAAATTCTCACTCTTTTATTAATGATAACAGTAGG